CGTCTGAATTTTCTGGAGTAGACCTTTTACCAGGTGGCTCGCTTATTGACTTAGAATATGCCGATGACATTGTCCTACTTGGTGAAGACGCTGACAAAATGCAGAGTCTTCTGACTACCCTAAGCAACAATGCAAGCATGTTCGAGATGCGGTTCGCCCCGTCGAAATGCAAAATGTTGCTTCAAGAGTGGGTTTCATCGGCACCTGAACTAGTGATAGGGAGTGAAGTGGTCGAACGTGTAGACCGCTTCACTTATCTTGGGAGTCTCATCAGTTCCGATGGCCTGGTGACTGACGAAATCTCGGCACGGGTACAGAAGGCTCGATTGGCTTTTGCCAACCTGCGTCACTTATGGCGTAGGCGAGATATCCGTTTGCTGACTAAAGGACGAGTGTACTGTGCAGTGGTTCGCTCCGTCTTACTTTATGGCTGTGAAACATGGCCAGTAAGAGTAGAAGATACTCGTCGGTTATTGGTTTTCGATTATCGATGTCTTCGAAGCATTGCTCGTATATCGTGGGACACCCGCGTGAGCAACGCTGTTATTAGGAAACGGGTGCTAGGTAAGAATGGCAGATCAATCGATGAAGTGGTGAAACTTCATCAGTTGAGGTGGTTGGGACACGTGTTACGTATGCCTAACCAGCGACTCCCTCGTCGAGCTTTGTTTTGTAGTGTAGGAATAGGTTGGAAGAAAGTTAGGGGCGGCCAAACCAAAACATGACAGAAATCCATGAAATCATTGACGAGTGGACTTAGCCATGTCGGTAATTGTCGACTACCTGGTTGGGGTCCGCGAGATGATAATAATCGATGGCTAGAGACCTTGAATGACATGGCTCAAAATCGTTCGCAATGGCGCCAGTGCATTTATTCTTTGTGTTCTCTCAAATCCTAATCTTCTGAGTTCTTCAACAACTCTAGTTTCGACTTTCTAAACTTATCTCATTGAATCATACTTCGTGAATAATATCTTCTAATTCTAACCTCTCCGATTACTTCTAATACCTTTACTACCTCTTCTACTATTGGGTTTGAATTGACAAATTTATCTCTGTGCTAATAATGTGGTATGGCAACATGAACTGATGTACTTACGTACGAAGTTCTACATTGCAACTGACTGACTGACTGACTGACACGAACGACAGCTAACAAACTCTTTCGAGGTGAAGACTGGTGTCAGGCAAGATTGCTTACTCTCACCCTTTCTCTTTCTCCTGGTGATCGACTGGGTTATGAAGATGTCAACATCTGGAAGGAAGCACGGTATTCAGTGGATAGCTAGGACGCAGCTGGACGATCAGGACTTTGCAGATGACCTGGCTCTTCTATCGCACACGCAACAACAAATGTAAGAGAAGACGACCAGTGTAGCAGCAGTCTCTGCAGCAGTAGGTCTCAACATACATAAAGGAAAAAGCAAAATTCTCCGATGCAAAACAACATGCACCAACCAAATCACTCACTCTTGATGGAGATGCCTTCTACATTGAATCGATTTCAGTCACTACATTGATTCACAAGTTGATTTTAAGGTTGTTTATACAATTCAGCCAAGTGTATTTCAATTTCTACGGATCTAACTTTTGAAAACAATAGAAGCTCTTGCTATCTCCAGAACTACTGTGTGTACAACTATTATCTTCATTTTATTTCATACACGGAAATATTTTCCTCTCACTTTCTCTCATTTGGTTAGCGTTTTTTGAGCGAGTTAGTTTTTTGAGGGGATGGGGTCGCCAACCCCATGCCCAACCCTCTTCCTTTATCCGGGCTTGGAACCGGCAGTAACCCCGAAGGGTCTACAGGCGGATTGGCAAAGCAAGGGCTACATTTCTACAGTTGAAAAATATGAGGAACTCCAAGCAACCTTCAACAAAAACCAAAATCAGGATTTTCAATACAAATGTCAAGACAGTTCTACTGTATGGAGCGGAAACTTGGAGAACTACCAAAGCCATCATCCAGAAGATACAAGTGTTTATTAGCAGTTGTCTACGCAAAATACGAGTAAAACATTCGTTTAAGTATCTTTTAGTAGACAAATTTCAGACCTTTTTGATAAATTGTTGTGGTACGCTGTTTTTAATGTATGATGCATAAGAGAATATTTGTCTCGTCGAGAAATGGTTTGCGTTGTAGGAGAAGGTTGGAAAAAACCTAGGGGCAGCTATGTCAAAACATGGCACGGGTCCATGAAGTCACTGACAAATGGACTGAGTCATATTGGTAAGTGTAGCCTGCCTGGATGGGGTCCGCGAGGTTATAGTTGGAAACCTTGAATGACATGGCTCAAAACCGTTTGCAATGGCACAGGTGCATTCATTCTTTGTGTTGGCTCAAATCCTAACCTTTTGAATTACTTATGACCGTTTTTCTCTTTTTTTTTAACAGATTCTTCTGAGGTAACATCTCTTTGATGACTACTAATACTTCTGCTATCTCTTCTACTATAGGATTTGAATGGACAATTGCTTTACTGCTCTAAGGTGCTATGGCAACTTGAACTGATGTATGTACGTACGAAGTTCTACGTTGTAACTAACTGACTGACTGATTGCATAAAAGAATGTTTCTTGCACTTTCAGTTCAAAATTGAAAAAAAGTTTGTTTTAACACATCACTACACACTTTTAATTGTGTAAATAATAAGTATTTACCTAATTTCGGTGACAAGTATTATCAAATAATTGACAACTTTACTTGTCTAGTAAGAAATCAGAAATTTCTCCAGAGTTTTCATCTTCACATATTCATTAAACTAAGATTCCAGGTGCAATTCTGTAATAGATACACTAAGTATTTCTATAACCGAGTAAGAATAACTAATCACTATAAGTCCGAATATGTGGTGAATTTCTAACGCCATCAATCTAAAAACACAAATGCCCACAGTTACCGAAGTTGTATTTAAAATAAAGTCAGGTAAGCAAGGTTTGTCAGCTCAGTCTGTTACAATGTGAGAACTTCGTACGTAGGTGGTACATCAGTTCAAATCGTCAGAGTAAATTAGCACACAGAGATCGAATTGTCAATTCAAATCCCACAACAGTAGATGTAGTTAGAAGTATTAGGAGTAATAGCTAAGGCTAGAGTATCGAATATATGATTCAAGAAGCAAAATTCAATGAAGTAAACTGAACAATAACAAAAAAACGTTATGACGAATTCAGAAGATTAGAATTTAAAAGGAGCCAAAGAATGGATGCATTTACGCTATTGCAAACAATTTTGAGCCATGTCATTCGAAGTCTCTAACCACCGGTTACCCCAATCAGTCAGTCAGATGCAACGTAGAACTTCGTACGTAAGTACATCAGTTCATGGCGCCATACCACATCAGCACAGAGATATAATTGTCAATTCAAATTCAATAGTAGTAGAAGAGGTAGTAAGGGTATTAGAAGTAATCGGGGAGGTTAGGATTAGAAGATATTATTCAAGAAGTATGATGATTCAGTGAGATAACTTTAGAAAGTCAAAACTAGAGGTGTTGAAGAATCCAGAAGATTGAGATTTGAGAGAACACAAAGAATAAATGCACCGGCGCCGTTGCAAATGGTTTTGAGTCATGTCATTCAAGGTCTCTAACCATCGATTATTATCATCTCGTGGACCCCAACCAGGTAGTCGACTACTACCAACATGGCTAAGTCCACTCATCAATGACTTCATGGATTTCTGCCATGTTTTGCTTTGGCCGCCCCTAACTTTCGTCCAACCTGTTCCTAAACTACAAAACAAAGCTCGTCGAGGCAGTCGGTGGTTAGGTATACGCAACACATGTCCCAACCACCTCAACTCATGAAGTTTCATTACTGCATCTATTGATCTGCCATTCTTACCTAGCACCCGTTTCCTAATAACAGCGTTGCTCACCCTTGATGTACGAGCAATGCATCGAAGACATCGATGATCGAAAACCAATAACCTTCGAATATCTTCTACTCTCACTGGCCATGTTTCACAGCCATAAAGTAAGACGGAGCGAACTACTGCACAGTACACTCGTCCTTTAGTCAGCAAACGGATATCTCGCCTACGCCATCAGTGACGGTTACCCCAACATGGTTCAGTTCAGTTGTTAGCTAGCAGTTTGTAATTTATTCATCAGTCAAATTTAATTCTTGAAGCATTTAGTTGAAAGTGAAAGAAAAAACTACTGCATTCGAATTCTAACACACACATATTGTCTTCTCGCTGAGGTTCAATTTTCTTTTTACCAAAAAAAAAAACAGCTACCAATTACATAAGCAGGAAACAACTCATATCCATCAAAAGAAATTTCTATCTATAGCTTATCAACTGCAAACAACAGTATCTCATTGTGAACATTCTCAATGTTTCATACATTTTACATTAAGAAGGTTGAAAAATAGGTGTTGGGGATGTTAGACCCCCAGAACTCGCTTGTTAAATATCTTTATTTCGGATTTATTTGATGGGATGATCAGTTGACCCTTGAGATCACATTCCCCACCAGGAAAATCCTTCACTGTGATTGGTTACTGTGTTATTTTAGTGCGCTATTTTTGTGTCTGTCCCAAGGATGTTTCTATAGTGTATAAATAAACGCGATTGTGTTTGTTGGGTGTTTGTAGAATACACTTTCTACGCTAATATCAAGACTTCTCGTTAGTGCCTTTGGGTCAACGGATTAGAGTAGCCTACCCGGACACTGGTTCATTGTTTTGTTCTAGTTTATCGACTAAGATGAACCCGTAATAGTTTTCAAGTGAGTGTTTGAAAACTGCAGATAATTCTGTCCGAGTAAGGAGATCTTTTCACGCAATGCATAACCATGAACGCATAAAGAATCGCACGGAATTCAGTAGTATACGAAATCATAAAAAAAACTAACTGAAATTAACAATTGTAAATCATTGGAGAATGAATGAGTTTTTTACTACGTCAAGACTAGATATCATTCTTAATTCGATTAATCGCCAGATAATAATTTATAATAACATAACAATTTACATAAACATTTATTTACCTCACAATCATTATTCATTTCTGAAACTAAATTATTGAGTATTTGTACTCCAGTGAGGATTTTACTTGTTTGACCACACTGAAAACGAACGAATATGAGAATTGAATTAGAACAAATAAATGTCAGACAAATAAGTTTTTTTCTAAAGAAAAAAATCATAAATTTCTAAGGAGAAACATCAGGAAAAAACAAACAGAATCAGTCCTACTGTAGTGAACGAGAACACAGGTGGGGGCAACCGAATTGTATTTAACCAAAAATTACAGAGTTACTCAGTAAAATCCGAAAACCATATCGTAAATCGTTCATTTGCAAAATAACAGTTCATCATCTCGAACTGGAATGTTCTCGTTGCAAAATATCAATCCATTGTCACTACTATTCATGCATTTCATACAAATTCCATTGTGTTCTAACTCTTCCTGCATTTCTTGATCTTCCCCCATCTTATGCTGTCAGACATTACGTTGACACTCACGTCATATACTACTTATAAGTAGCTCGCACCACACGTACAGTATGAAATAATTATGTATTGATTCAGTCTGACAGCTCTTAATTTAATCAATGTGAATAATATTGTCCACAACTGCTTAATACCGGTGTCCTTTTTCCCCATAGTTTGTGTATTCACAGAACACCATTGCTTATAGTCACTGTTCAAGATGTTCATTGGTTCACGTTTGAGTTGTCGTCATGTAGTGAACGAGGACACAGGTGGGGGCAACCGAATTGTATTTAACGAAAATTACAGAGTTACTCAGTAAGATTGGAAAACCATATCGTAAATCGTTAATTTGCAAAATATCAGTTCATCATATCGAACTGGACTGTTCCTGTTGCAAAATATCAATCCATTGTCACTACTATTCATGCATTTCATACAAATTCCATTGTGTTCTAACTCTTCCTGCATTTCTTGATCTTCCCCCATCTTATGCTGTCAGACATTACGTAGACACTCACGTCATATACTACTTATAAGTAGCTCGCACCACACGTACAGTATGAAATAATTATGTATTGATTCAGTCTGACAGCTCTTAATTTAATCAATGTGAATAATATTGTCCACAACTGCTTAACACCGGTGTCCTTTTTCCCCATCGTTTGTGTATTCACAGAACACCATTGCTTATAGTCACTGTTCAAGATGTTCATTGGTTCACGTTTGAGTTGTCGTCATGTAGTGAACGAGGACACAGGTGGGGGCAACCGAATCGTATTTTTACGAAAATTACAGAGTTACTCAGTAAAATCCGAAAACCATATCGTAAATCGTTCATTTGCAAAATATCAGTTCATCATATCGAACTGGACTGTTCCTGTTGCAAAATATCAATCCATTGTCACTCACTATTCATGCGTTTCATACAAATTCCATTGTGTTCTAACTCTTCCTGCATTTCTTGATCTTCCCCCATCTTCTGCTGTCAGACATTACGTTGACACTCATGTCATATACTACTTATAAGTAGCTCGCACCACAACATTACTGATCAGTCAGTTACCATGAACGTACGTAGAGTATAAGACATAATTGTGTACTGATTCAGTCTAACAGCTCTTAATTTAATCAGTGTGAATAATATTGTCCACTACAGCTTAATACCGCTGTCTTTTTTCCCCATCGTTTTTGTGTTCGCTGAACACTATTGCTTATAGCCACTGTTCAAGTTTTTCATTGGTCTACCTTTGAGTTGTTGTCACTCTAAGTCCTCCTTTCAGCTTATCGAAAATCGATTTCCAAGCTAAACATCGATTTAAATAAGGTAACGAAATCAAACTATGTTTGAGAATCCAGAAGAGATGTTTTTTTGTGAGATTGACCACCAGAGCACCTCACTAAGAGTTGACGCGGCAGTCAATTTCTGGTTCAGATTGTTTGTTTTTGAAAATATAATCTTCTAAACTGACAGTGGATCATTATTTCGCCTTCATCTGAAACAGGTTCGTTACCAGCCATCTGAATAAGTATCTATCACTGCCTAACACCGCTGCTGTCTTTTTACTTCATCTCTTTTAAATTCACTGAACAACACCAATCACAGTCATTTTTTAGTCTAGATTCAAGTTGTCGTCACTCTTCCTCCCTCCCTCTAAGCTTACTGAAAATATGTTTATAAACTTTTATCAATTCACTAGATGTGACGAAATCCTACCGATGTTTCTTAAACTTTACGTTTCAGTCAAAAAACTGCTTCTTCTCTACATATTCATGATCTCTAGTATCATGAATCTGAACTGTAACAGGTTTCCCTGCTGTAGGCAAAGTAACATTACTGTATACTACAAAAAGCAATATACAATGTCACTTGTTAATTGAGTATTCGACAGTCTAAGACATTTTTCATTATGGAGTTATGGAGATCGTTGTTTTGTACTGAAATCGTGAATCAGTCATTAGTCATTAGACACTAACGCCATTAGATGCCGACTCAGTGATATAGAGGTTAAGCATTCACGCGCAAGACCGAAAGTCCTGGGTTCGATGCCTGCGAGTGACAGGAGTCATGGCTGCGCACAGCTGATAAATCCCACCCCAGGACGAAACGGCCGTCCAGTGCTTCCATGTTTCTAATTATGGTCTAACGATGATCGATTCACAATTTCAAAGTATCAGTCAGTTAGTCAGTTGCAACGTAGAACTTCGTACGTAAGTACATCAGTTCATGTCGCCATACCACATCAGCACAGAGATGTAATTGTCTATTCAAATCCAATATCAGAAGAGGTATTAAAGGTATTAGAAGATATTATTCAAGAAGTATGATTCAGTGATAACAGCTTAGCAAGTCAAAACTAGGGGGGTTGAAGAATTCAGAAGATTAGGATTTGAGAGAATACAAAGAATAAATGCACTGGCGCCAATGCGGACGATTTTGAGCCATGTCATTCAGGGTCTCTAAACATCGATTATTATCATCTCGCGGACCCCAACCAGGTAGTCGACAATTACCGACATGGCTAAGTCCACTTGTCAATGACATAATGGATTTCTGCCATGTCTTGGTTTAACCGCCCCTAACTTTCTCCCAACCTATTCCTACACTACAAAACAAAGCTCGATGAGGCAGTCGGTGGTTGGGCATACGCAACACATCACAACCACCTCAACTGATGAAGTTTCATCACTTCATCTATTGATCTGCCATTCTTACCTAGCACCCGTTTCCTAATAACAGCGTTGCTCACTCGGGTGTTCCACGATATACGAGCAATGCTTCGAAGACACCTATCATCGAAAACCAATAACCAACGAATATCTTCTACTCTCACTGGCCATGTTTCACAGACATAAAGTAAGACGGAGCGAAATCGTGAATCAGTCATCAGAATTAGACATTAACGCCATTAGATGCCGACTCAGTGATATAGAGGTGAACATTCACGCGCAAGACCGAAAGTCCTGGGCTCGATGCCTGCGAGTGGACAGGATTCATGGATGCGCATTGCTGATAAATCCCACAGCAGGACAAAACGCCCATCCAGTGCTCCCATGTTTCTAATTGTGATCTAACGATGATCGATTCACAATTTCAAAGTATAATAACTACCGAATAAGGAATCGCCGCAAAAAGAAGAATATTAGATGCAAATAACTCATGTTACACCTACACTATATACTAATAGTTTTAATATTATATTTTTACCTTAACCAATTTTACTCACCTCAATAAACTTTGTTGCACAATCCAATATATCACAAAATCCAACGTTACCACCATTAACCACTGAATCTAACCAACCTAATTTTGTTAGACGACAAATAAGTGTAATCAATGCTTGTTGTACAAATTTCTCTAAACCAACATGTGCAGCAAGATAATTTAACGCGAAATCTCCTGTTTTAAGAAACAATCTATGCATAATGAAATAATGAAACTTACGTATAGCTAAACGTGATGTATGTGAAATGATTGCATCACGATTAGAAACATATTTAGTTAAAGCTGTAGCAGCAATAATTTGTGAATAACATGACTAGACAATGGAGATATGGTTAAAGGTACAAGCAAATAATGAAACATACAGTAGAGTGTTGTAAAAGCAATTGGCATATAGAAGGACAATCAGCTCGTTCACATAAAGAAGAACAAGCTTTTTCTGCTTGACTACGTAATTCTGGATCATTAGTTGTATATAGTTCTCTACAGAAGTACTCTAATTGTTCAAGTTCCTGTAGAAAAGAAAAGTCAAATTAGTGGTAATAAAATGAGGATTCCGAAAATATAAAAGAACCACTTCAGAAATAGAATTTCAGTCAGTCAGTCAGTCAGTCACAACGTAAAGCCTGATAGGAGGTGTAGAACGGATTAGATTCTGATCGATTTGGTCTTGTGTGCTTTTATAGGTATGAGGGCGGATGTTACTTCCCGGCTAGCCATACCGTGGAAGGGCTCTGGTTGTCAGAAGGGCCATCGGCCTCGTGACATTCCGAAGGAACTCGGCTTCCATCATGAGACGTCATCACTCTTGTAAATGAAGACCTTCTAGCTCCCAGGACAGAATTTAAATGGTTTGAATTATTTTCTCTTGCCAGAATTTTTTTAGTGAGCTAGTGTTTTGTGGGATCGGGTCATCAACCCTCCTCCTTTATTCAGGCTTAGGACAGGCAGTTGGTCCGGAGAGTCTACAGGCGGAGGCTTTTTCCTTTTGTGCTAATGTGGTGTTTCAACTTGAACAGACACATATGTAGCCTGACACACACGTGAGTCTGTTCAAGTTGACACACCAGTTGAGTATAGCAAGAAAAAAGTATCATAACAAATCCCAGAATAGAAGTAGAGGCAGCAGTATCAGCAGTAGCAAAAAGAATGTGATTTTAAATGGTGTATCATCACTAACTTAGACCTGTCAGCCCTTGTAGACCATGGGCTACTAACCTACTCTGTCCTGGCCCTCTCCTTTCCAGTTGCCTTTAAGTAATATAAATTCTTCAGATACCTAACTCGATTCCTGAGATTATATGTTCTTTAGTGTGCCTCGTTTTTTAGCTTGTGGATTCTAAGTTATGGCTTGCCTTTTGATGCAGTTTCATGATTTTCGCCATGAGTTTTTCCCTAATTTTCTCTTCAGCTGAAAGCTGGTGTGCTGGCCAGATTTAAAAAAAAAAGATGCCAATTACAGCCAAAATTACAAACCTACACGTTATTTCTGAGGTCAATTTTGCTTGCTCATAAACTGTGTAGATGTTGAATAAGACGGAAGATGTTTCCGAATTACCAGTAACGGAAAATAACCTATTTTATAACGATATTAGTCAGTGAAAGAATCGGTGGAAGGTCAGCATTTTCTGTAATATTTAACTGCGAGTTTATAGATTAATGATTAGATGGTCAATAATCTGATATCATTTCCAGACTATGATGAGAACAGCTTGATTGATTGTTATTAACCCCAGTAGACGTTTGAAACAAACTTATAGATCCTGTGGGTTTTTCCTAAACTGACACACACATGGAAATCATTCAAACCGAACAATAAGCAGTATGCGAGTAGAACAACTGCATATTTACAGTAATTCGCAACAATCATATGATTATAAACTGCATTTAATGGACTGAACAATTAGGAGCCGATTGTATGAAAAACCCCAAATCACCGAGAAAGGGAATGCAATGACCACCAAATTTGGCTCAACTCTCACACCTTGAAATCTATAACACGACGTCTAACTCGAGAGTACTAAACTATTTTGAGATCTAGTCATATTAGTATTGATGAAATAAACATATACAATACAGCTTTAGCCATATTCCTCCACTGAGGAACGGTATTGGATACTGTTGTTTGAAGTCTTTACACAGATTTGGACACTAAGCCTTGTGCCTTTTAAATATTCAAATTGCTAAAGAGTTCTAAGTCAAACATATATGAACATAATAAAAGTTATAATAAGTTGTGATTGTGAGAATTATCCATTTCATCTCTCATACACAAGTTCTAAATCAACCCAGGGAGCTAGTCGTGTTAACTTTATGTATGCATATAGAAGACAGGTCATTTTGTGGTGGTCAAATGTTATATTCGATAATAGCTTCTCCAGTTTGTTTGTAAGATAGGGTATACTTTCGAACAATAAGAGGTTTGAATATTACTCAAATATAAATGACTGAGTACTAATTTTTAGAAAAAACTTGGTTAGAAGACAAGGAGAAGGCAAATCTACCACCCCAAGACACTGTAGTTAACTTGGCACTGTATTGTTTTTGGAAGCCAACAGAAATCACGCTAGATGTTATTCTGATCACATGAGCTATTTAAAAAATCCGAGGTTAACAAACAGTATATTTAGCAGTTTACATTAGCTATTAAGCAAACAACTAATCAAGCAACTCTTTATAACACTATTTACGATTTATTTCGAGATAGAATTTCACAATCAAACATTGTCTGAATTTATATGTATTTTCAAATTCATGTATACTGTGTATTCATTTCAAACGACGATAATAATAATAATAATCGCTCAGGTGATCCCGAATAACTACTTCGGTTGCAGTTTTAAAACCCAGTATAGCGCCATATTCAGGTATGATTATAACACCCAGTGATTTACTTTATTCAATACACAAATTCTGGTACAGTAGGGAGTCGAAAATAAGATGTATCGCACAAAGTATGAATAACAATGAGGGTTAGTTCAGTTGAGAATACAGATGCAGCAATCAAGAACTGTTTTTTAGTTGAAGATTAACATTAAATTTATGGGGAATGTAAATAATAATTGCAGTACATTGGCTAAAGAATGTCAGCAAGACTTCGGAGATATAGATGATTAAGCACATAGTTATATAGTACCTTCAACTTGAAGTTGCTCTCACCAATACGCGGTAAACCTGAACTTTCACATCCAGACTAACATTATGGTTACACTAAAGATTAATCAGACTGACATGAGCCACGATAACTTTCACTGTAAACAGACTAGTCTCACTATACACGTCACCACTAGCATTCACACGATTAGCCAGATAAACAAACTTACGAACACATACGGACCATCACTGTTTATTTATGCATATACATACACTTTCCGTTGTACTGTATGAACATTTCAGATGGTATTCACCTAATTACAGTTTGCGCTGTGTTCACATAACTACTTTTCAATCCAAATATATGCTTTGAACGGTTTCTTAGTTGTCGAATCTTCTCTACCAATACTAATACTGTGACCACATTTAATACTCTGGAATTATTGACTATCTCACCTCGCCGTGCTAGTCATGAGAGGTAACTAGAAACGATGTACACATGCACCAGGGGTAACGTTGTTCACAAGTGACAAACATAATAGTATGAGTCTAATGAAAATTGCTTACTTCTGAATTTATATATTATTTGTATCAAAGTAAGCACATTATGAAGTAGTTTTAAACTTGAGTCCTTAACTAAACGCTGCGGCAACGCAAAATTAATCATCCCACGGTTCTGAAACATTACAAAAATTTCTCAAGCACGAATACGTAACGAGTGAGAGAGTTTGCTTTTTAAAATAAAAAAACAAAGCCGTTGTCGTTTTAAGTCCGATAAGTCGAGGTATACATGTATAAATAATCATAGATATACTTCATATAAGGCAGTTAATTTCGTTAAGATGTTGTTTATGTATTTGAAAACTTCACGAAAAGAAAAAAGACTGGACATTAGTTTTCCTTCATGATCAACTACTGGGGGCAATTGACAACCATCTTTATTTTTATAAATTCTACTACAAAACACTCTTTTAGCTAAAGAAAATAAGTCAAGCGATAAGACTGACATGGACGTAAAAGAATTCTGAACAATTTAATGAAATCTGATGTTTCCCTGCTTGAGACTGAGGAAAAGCAAGCATAATTAGTAGCTTACACTCATTTTTTAGTAACGCATCAATTTATAATGTGCGCTTTAACACCTGAATCCAATATTCAATACGTTCCTTGACGAGCCAATGTAAACCAAATGGTTATTTGGTCTCGATTCTTGCCATTTTTCTACGGTTTCAGGTATTTTACAGTGTTTAGTAGATAGCAGTTTGGTCAGTCAACTACACTATCTCTAGTTATTTGGCGGATATTTATGAATTTGTGTCCTGTGATTTGCATGAGTCTGTTTTAGGGTGCTAGCGTTTCTGGATACCAGCAGCTATCACATAATCAGGCCGTTGATCAGTTACTTGCCATGTGGGGAAAATTCTGATGCTATTGAAAAGAAGGAAATTTCAAAACTATGTAAAAATTATAAGCGATTGATTGGTGGTGAAGATTGTGTGAGAGGACCAAAGTTTAAGCGAGAGAAAAAAACTACGGTAATGAGTGAGAAAAAATAGGTTGGTGATCTGAGGAAATGACAATGGTGACAACTAGCAAGTTTCGAGTCATGGAACAGATAGAGCTGGTTCAAGGGTAACATGATAATCAGGATGTGAGTACGTGTTCGGTAAGTCTCTTTTCGAAGATATCAACTTGAACGGCTCTGGTCACCTCAGCCAGGAGAGTTTTCCGAGTTACCACAGATCTTGATGCGTAAAAACTTTCGCGAACCCGAGTGTTTACGCTTTGATTTGCAAGTTTTCGAAGATTACCTGGAGGGTGCGTAATTGATGTTCCAGCAAGATACTCGTGGTAGGATGATTCAGCGCAGTTAACATGTGATATGTCATTGACAGATCCCCTCCGATTCTCCTGTAACTTAGAAAGAATAATCATAAATGCTGAAGTCTATCTTCGCGTGGTCTATTTTTTAAACTATATAACCCATTTCGTTGCTAGTCTCGGAACTTGACCCAAGAGATTTATGTCTCTTTTGGGGAGAAAGTACACGAAGACGTTGTGAGCCTTAAGGGGTGGGCATGCATGCGATAGCGCCAAGTTGTCTTCGTACGAAGTGAAGAGGTGCATTAGCCTTAGCTGCATTCCCTAAGTCGTTCGAGCTGCTGTTTATGCTATCATTGGTTAATAAACCAAGGTCGCGTTTTCGAAGAGTCACTATGGAGCATAATTTCGCTCAGGATATAAGTTATTTTCTTTAAGCTGGGCAGAATATTCACAATGTAGCATTTCAACTGGATTAGTCATAATCCCGTTTGCCAATCCTTGTAGATGGCTTTTCTACCGTAGCAGTTCAATTCGATTCCAATAGACGTATGTTGAACGCGCCTTCTCTTAGTCGAATATCAAAACACAATAATTCTAGGAGAAGGTGGTCTATTTATAGAGAAGAAATGGAAATGCAAACTTTACCTAACGATTTTTACGTCTTCCAATTCAAAATTACTCTGAATGAGTATCCAGGTTCCAGAGACTAGGTGAAACTCGTATACTGCAACGATATCAAATCCAAAAATGTGGCTGTAGCCATATTATATCAAATCTAAACAACATGTGTACAGTTCAGAAGCAAACATAAAACTTCAATATAAGTACAAAATATAGAAATAACAACAATATACAATGATAAAATCTCAAAATGGAATCAAATGGAGTACCAAAACGTCAACAGAAAGAGTCAGTCATATCATAACACAAATATATAAACATGGAGGGATTTTCCAAAAAACAAAACATTCATAAAAGATTCTACATCCGTACGCAAATGTTCAATAGGTAACAGTCTGGCTACTCGACTGTACTTGTTCTTGTTAGTTTGGTAGCTGTTTAGTAAGTTATTTAATTCAAGTGTGTTCGTTTGTTCCTGAGTAATGGGGTCCTTGTAACAAATACCTTTATAGGTTGGTTGTTTGCAATGTAGAAATAATGAAGAGAAACTGTGAATGCTGAAAGGATGCAATTTCTTGAGTAGTCACTAAATAAACTGCAAATTTAATTAACTTATAATGAAGATCATGTCAGGTGAAAAAATTGTAGGAATAAAAAAGGAAACCGATAATGCTACGAAACCCCTTGAAATGACTACCCACCTTAGGTGATTTTCTTCTCACTATCTTGACTATATCTGAATTATTCTTTCGATCTCCTTCATCTCTGACTTTATGGTACCGTGTAAATAGCATCTCAGACTTATTAAAGTTTTTAATGATCGAATATTTTAAAAAAGAGCAACACGATTAATTAACTTTACTTTGTACTTTCACCTTCAAGTTTCATTCAAATCTCATTTTTATGACAGATTAATAATATTTATATATTCAAATGAAAATATTTTTAAATCATAAGTAGATTATAATTGAGGCCTTCATTAAAAAGAATGTCAATCAATCAATTTTAGGTTACAAAACTAACGTTTAACTAAGAGTTTGTGTGTGACAAGACTATATTTTATGCATAACCTTTGAGAACATTCACTTACTTACTAGGATTTAAAGAGGGTTGTAAATGAGGGTGAAATTTCAAAATCAGAACTTAACATTATGATGGAGAGCTAGAGCTTTCATCATAAGTTGACATCAAGTGTAATAAATTCTAAGACGCTACTTAAGCAATATGAATATATGAATTTTGCTTTAAAATCAGAGACTAGCTATCTTAAGTCTGATTGGTTCGTTCATGATTTACAGTCCCGCCATTTATACTATAAAAACTGAAGTTTACATGTAATAAATAATTTCACTACGTTCTTTATTATTTCAAAAAATACTATGATAACGCATGAAATTGATGTAGAAACTATGAGGTAACTTCCGTGCGATGTCAACGAAAGGAGGATAAACTAAGACGAACAATCAAGAAATTCTGATTAAAATTTCCAAGGACAGTTAATATGAATTCATGTGACCATGCATTATGTAAATAACCCCGAAAACCAGAATCAGTTTGCTCTCGTACGTCGGTCAGACTAACCGAATGACTGCTGAGATTCTGTTACGCCTGCACGTAAACACGTCAACTTGATATGCTTGAACTATTATTACTAGTTTACAGATAATGCGTATTGATACATTTAGGTCGAATAGGAAACAGCATCGAAGTCTGTGACATTGACAGTTAAGACAACTAATAAGAAGTAACATTTGAAGTGACATTAATAGTCAGGACAACCAATAAGAAACAACATTGGAGCACGCGACATTGATATCTAGGACGACCATAAAATTGACCAGTAGGAATTAACCAATAGGAATTGTTCAATAATTCTCTTAGGATGTTGGATGAATATCCTAACAGATCCGAAGATATCACATCTGAACAAGAATGTTTGAAATAATAAATGTTTTGTAGAATTGATAATTACTAATACTATATTTGTTCTTAATCCCAAATAATGTTTATTGAATGGCTGTTTAGGATGAAATAACGTCAGCAAGTATTAATCTAGTCGTTCTGTGAGGATCATCTCCATTTATAGGGATTGTTTGTAGTGTTTGTAGTGTAATAAGCAGCAGTGGCAACCTACCAAGTGATCTTGGAATTTGTTATTTGTTAGCTCTGCTTCCCGGATATAATGATAGGATTGTCTTTTCTTAGCTTTTTGTGCACAGTCAAACCATGTTTACTTATGAATTCGGCTCACACCCTTCACATTCGTCTGCAAAATAACAACCAATCAAGCTTGGCACTCTCCTTACTGCCACACATCTCCCTTTGTTCTCATCAGTATCAACATTACCTCTCTCAAACAACTGATATCATTAGATAGATTTCGGGGCAGATATGGCCAGAATTGATGACCAGAACCAATAATTCATTTGCATAGCTAGTTAGTAACAGAGACGCAACAGTAAGAGGTCTTTATTTCATGCACCAATGTGATAATTAACAGACATGTATATACATATGATGTATAAAAATATTTGGGCTGTCCTATCGGCCTACAAATGTGTCTAGAAAAACTTGTTGAACATGTAAGACAATTCTTGAACAATTTCAGAACAAACTTTATCTCGCTGACCACTTGATCTCTGAATATTTTCAAAAGAATGAACTTCTATAAAAGTATAGATATTACTTTAGAGATATTCCTATTGAGTCGGGAACGTTTGCTGAAAATTCGCGCCATTTAATTGGGCCGTAAAAAGAAACAACTTGATACATTGGGACCTGCATTCACACTAACTTTTTCCTCAAATCGCGTTCTTATTTAACTATTCTTGTTGACATTGCACGAAAACTACCTCATGGTGTTCACATGGATTTCATGAAAGACAGTAATCAGGAATATTTTCATACACTCTTTATTCCTTCATGATTCTCGACTTCATATGAACCATCGGTTTGGAATCAAGAGTTTAATGACCTTGACTTTTCTTGCTTTCAATTTCGCAAACAACACATATCCAACGAGAATGCACTGAGTGGAACTTCTCTTTTAATGCTTTTTAAAGCTACTGTTGAGCATCTTTTCAACGTAGTCTAATAATTAGTGAAAAGTCTTTTAAAAATGTGTAAAATAATGTCATTAACTTGGACAATAACTACCTAAAACGTATTAGGCACACAGCTATCATTCATCAATAAACATTAGTTGTCATTCTAAAAATTAGAAAGTTGAGCGTCGATTTCCATCGCTTACTATGAGTGCATGATATCCACCTTACACTAGTCATTTGTACAAAAATGAAAAACATATCTTTGAATCTTTACACAATAGTACAAGAAATATATTTGTGAGAAATTTGAAATTAAATGTAATTTTCAATTTCATCATAAGGTATTATATATGATTTTAGTCCTAATTCCCAAGTCCTTAGCAGTATAACTTATTAAACACACAAGTGATTCAGTCAAATAGTTCAAATCCTTGATTAATCATGATAGAATTTAACGTGTATGTATTCATGTTTTCTTCTGGTTACTGTTTTTATGGCGAGTTAGTTTTCTACGGGATAAAGTCACTGACCCCATGTCCAACCTTCCTCCTTTATCTAAGCTTTGGGCTGGCAGTTGCCCCAGAGGGGCTCCACGGAGAGTTTCGGGGCCCAACAGGAATTCGAACCCCCGACTACTTACATGTTATCATGAACTACTTGCATTTGAATTAGTTCTGCTTCATTTCATATTAACATAATAATTATAAAGTTTTATTCTGTTTCTTATTGATTTTACCCTTGGATTTACTATAAACAAGATTTCTAATATCCAATCAAAAATGGTAACCAGTCTTCAAAATCAAAAATTCTAGGGAATAATGTTTTATATTGACAGACAAATTTATTTACTTTGCGCCAGGAAATGATCAATTAATCAGTCAGTATTTAGTAAATGAGTTTTTATTTGGGATATGGTGGTTATTTTTGTTAAATAAGGCATACTTAGTTAGTTAGCTTGTGAAAAAAATTTCTGGAATTTTCTAATTTCTTATTGGTTAATAATATATGTGATGAGTCGAGACACAATTTATCTGCCATATCACATCAAAGGAAAATTGACCATACTTAAAGATAGATTTATCATTGAACATACATGTCTATACTACTACTACTACCACTACTACTATTACTACTACTACTACTAACTCACCTATATGTATGTATATTTGAGAGAGATAGAGAGAAAAAACTCAATACTCTCTCTAATTGGTAAAAAGCTGGAAAACACAAAAACATGTACAGTATGCTTATTATTTAAACAAACTATTATTGATCAAGAGCAATTTTTCCTAAATTCTAAATCATGGATCATATATAGATGTTCTTTTTATATATAATATGAATAAAGACAGTGCTTTATTGTCATTGATACCAATTATTTGGAAATTCGGTAAGTGTGTATGTAACTAACTAATTATATTGTAATGATTACATTTCGTTCACTGGTTGAGGCTTCTCACTAGAATTTCCTCGCGAATTTCTTCGCAAAGCTAGTCATTAGTGGGCACATGTTTATGATTTTATGTCATAGAATTATGGAGATCATTGTTATACACTGAAATCATTGCGGATGCATACTGCTGATGAGTACCATACTATGATCGAAACGACCATTTAATACTTCTAGATTTGCTCAATTTATGATCTCAATTTGAAACAATGATCTTCACACTTCTGTGATGAAAGATATTAGTCGATATCAGACTTGTTTCAAACATAATCCATACAGTTGTATTCAATTCATTTTAGAATGTAATAACTTTGTTTCAAATAATATATATACATATACCTGAAAATACTAATGCTAGTTATAAGTTATTGGAGCTTGTATTTCACAATTATCAAGTTAGTATTGCAGTCAACGAGAACACAGGTGGGGCAACCGGATTATACTTAACGAAAATTACAGAGTTATTCAGTAAAATTGGAAAACCAATATCGTAAATCGTTCATTTGCAAAATATCAGTCCATCATATCGAACTGGACTGTTCCTGTTGCAAAACATCAATCCATTGTCACTACTATTCATGCGTTTCATACAAATTCCATTGTTTTCTAACTCTTCCTTTCTTGACCTTACCCCATCTTCTGCTGTCAGACATTACGTTGACGCTCACGTCATATACTACTTATAAGTAGCTCACACCACAGTATGGTTTAAGTTAGATATAAAGAACTAAGCGAATATGAGAAATTGTTAACTGATGTGCGTTTCCTTATATATGGGTGAAGGATGCGTCACATGTACCTTACTAATGCCCTACTAAAATGTCTTATACTGGTTGGGTTATTCCAGAAGAAAGCTTGTGTTGACTAGATCAAGACTTGTTATCAATTCACAAGATTATTGATTGTCCATCTGAGGTGAGTTAATAAGTGTTGACAGGGTGTTTCGGTATGCATGACAACTGCGTTGAACGTTTGGCAGCCCTAGGTGATATGGGGTAAAATCCACAGCTGTTACGCAAATGGCTATTGTGGTATGATAACTTGAACTAATGTACGTACGTACGAAGTTCTATGTTGTAACTGACTGACTGACTGACTGACTGACGCAGATAAACGTTTTGTCCATGCATGAATCTACCTCCTAAATCCTAAAGTTAAATATTATTTTCCACATTACCATTATTTATAACGTGTTTTATTGAACAATATTCTTTACTTTTACTATTATGGGCGGTAATGTATTTTCATGAAAAAAATTCCTCTAAGTTTAAAATGTTAATCAATTCTAGATTCACTTTCATTGAGTTCGAAATTAAAAAAAATAGCAAACTATTGAACAATTGAATTCTCTCGTTTTTGTAACAACACAATGTCTATCATATTGATTATTTAACTATTGATTATTGAAAGAAAGATATTTTATCTTATCAAAGAGAATACTGGATGATTTCTTATGATATAGACTTACTCCTGATAAATTTCAAAATATTATAATCTTAATGAAATTGAACATTGTAAAACAATGCCCGAATGAATGAATCACAATCACTGATGAGACTTAATTCGCCTTGTGGAGTTATGAAGAGTGTTAGGATTAACTGAAATTATAAAATCAATCATTGTTAGACCACCACCATTAGTTGCGTGGAAGTACTAGACGACCGTTTCAGCATTCGAGCATGGGACTCATCAACAGTGAGCATTAACGACTCCCCCCCCCCCGCAGGAATCGACACCAGGACCTTTGATCTTGCGGACGAACACTTAACCTCTAAACCACTGAGTCGGTATTAAATGCGCACTGCTAATGAGTCTCATAATAGATAGAAATGGTCGTCTAGTGTTTTCAGGTTTCTTAAGATGGTCTAACAATGATCGATTTATCATTTCAATATGACATTAATTAAAACTACCAACATGAGACTAGTAACATTGACAATTCACATATAAAATTCATGCAATTTCGGATGTCATTGACTGAAAATATATGACTATACTTTCTGTAGGAAAAAGATTTTTATATGTGGATGAGTGAATGTTTATTCTCTAATTCGTTCTAGTTAGGAAAGCTTGCATTTCATCCTCGGGTATTCTCAGTCATTTGATCAGTCCTACATCAAGTATAGTAGGCCTTTTACCAATATCTACATTGCGTGCAACACATTAAAACTACACTTCTTGGTCAAAAGGTACGGTAATAACACGAAGGATGGTTATTTGATGAATCCAAACGTATCCATAAAGTGTATAGAAACTAATCAAACTTAGCTTATTTGTCTTTATTCTACTGAAAACTACCGAATAAATGTAGATAAGTTAAAAATACTTATGTAAAGAATTATTCCAATACTAAAATCATAATCAGTCATCTCTTTCCAACTCTTTAAACCTCATATTCTTCAAAATCAAATATTTCAGTTTACGTTTTGTTTTTAATAAGGACGTTATTTTATTTATGGTAATTGTTACGCTCGTCTCTAGGTATGCTTCAAATATTACGAGTTCACCTTAATCGAATAACGAGAACAAAACAATGAATCAGCGTCCAGGTAGGGCTACTCTGATCCCTTGACTAAATTGGATCAGCGAGAAGTCTTGATATCGCGTAGAAATTGTATTCTACAAACACCCAGCTAGCACACAATCAATCCAAGCATTTAAATTGTGTTTATTTATACACTATAGAGACGTCCTTGGGACAGTCACAAAAATAGTACATTAAAATAACACAGTAACCAATCATAGCCAAGGATTTTCCTGGTGGGAAATGTGATCTCAAGGTCAACTAGTCGATCCATGAAATAAATCCAAAATAAAGATATTTATCAAGCGCGAGTTCTTGGGGATCTAACATCCCCCAACAGTAATCCAATCATTTATGCAATCTTACTTATTGTCTTACTCATATATCATTCTTTGTTCATTGCAAACCCAGTGAAAGCATTTCTTTTTTAAAAGTCTCTTCATTAGGACGATAATATTTTGATGCTCTCGTTCAGTCTGGTTGTTTAACGTGAAATCAATCAATACATATTTATAATTGTACTGATTACACATCATAAAATTGCTTGAAGAGATCGTTGTTTTTTTGCCAAAACAAACTGCTGTATTTATATATTGAAGGTTTCATATGAAGAAGGAAACTTGAACAGATTTCTCAAGCATTTATGTTTGAAAAAAAATGAAACGGATAGTACTCTAAAGTCTTCATATATGATATATTAAAGATTAAGGTTGCAGGATGTATCAATCAACCATGTAATGGTGTTTGCATAATCTGTCAAAAACAGTCTATTCAAATTGTCATAAAAACGTGAAGAATAAAAATAGGAAGTTGTCTAGTTTAGATTATACACGATGTGTAGTAAGAAATTTTTAATTTATCTGCCTTTTTCCATTTGTCTAAAAAAACAACCCACGATGAAGTTGGATGAAAATTTCCTTCCTTTTCTGTTTTTACATGTTTCACAACATCAAATGTTTTGGAATCATGTTTTTTTATCAAGATAATTTCTTCCCATTTGATCAATCAGCAAAAATGTAGTAGGACAAAAGATGATATAAGTTATGTTGTAGTGAAGGAGAACACAGATGAGGGCAACTGAATTGTATTTAACGAAAATTACAGAATTACTCAGTAAAATAGGAAAACCATATCGTAAACGGTTAATTTGCAAATCTTCAATTCATCATCAATCCATTGTCTGACATTTCACTCACTATTCATGCGTTTCATACAAATTCCATTGTGTTTCCCCCACTCTCCCTCCCTTTCTTGATCTTCCCCCATCTTCTGCTGCCAGACATTACGTTTACACTCGCGTCATATACTACTTATAAGTAGAGCGCACCACAATGTGATTTCATTCACAAAACAATATCAATAATCCTCAAAGATTTGTATGTTTACTGCCCTCATATGAAGAAAGTGTTTACTCTTGCGTTTTATCGAAAGATTTAACAACTGAATTCACATTTTTCCTCGAGAATCAGCTAAGAGAAGTAAAATGTAAAGGTCACATCTTGAATTTGATTGAGACATATCCTACTTTCAAAACACAATGTTACATTAGAGCTGTTTTCGATTTTATCAGATAATAACATGTTTTTCCATCCTGTTCTTTGTAATAATAGAGTTGTTTTCTACATAAAAGTACCTGAGAAAGTACTTCAGTTTCTTGTTATAGAATGAAACAGGAAGTCTAGTTGTAAATCATTAGTCAACTGTATGTTTTCTGTTTGTTATAAATTAAGATAAAAACAAAGGGTTTTAATCGAATAGTGATATGTGAGGTGGTTGAAAGTAGTCAAATAGAAGCCTCAGACATAAGTTTCCTATTAGTTAGTAATCATCAGAACGGTGTACATCAAAATCTTGTAAGTAGTATATGTTATTTGTGAGTTTCGAACTCACATCACCGAGCTTTACATTCCTAGTCATTTGGCTAGACACTAACCTGTGGTAGATTCAATCAATTGTTAAAGGTTAGTGTGATCAGTCAGTCAGTCAGTCAGATGCAACGTAGAACTTCGTACGTAAGTACATCAGTTCATGTCGCCATACCACATCAGCACAGAGATGTAATTGTCAATTCAAATCCAATAGTAGAAGAGGTAGTGAAGTTATTAGAAGTAATCGGAGAGGTTATGATTAGAAAATATTATTCAAGAAGTATGATTCAGTGAGAAAAGTTTAGAAAGTCAAAACTAGAGTTGTTGAAGAATTCAAAAGATTAGGATTTGAGAGAACACAAAGCATAAATGCACCGGCGCCATTGCGAACGATTTTGAGCCATGACATTCAAGATCTCTAACCATCGATTATTATCATCTCGCCGTCCCCAACCAGGTAGTCGACAAGTGTAGTGTAATGTTTATTGTTTGACAGATATCTTATTTAAGAGTTGTAGATGTTTGAGTCGAAAACCTATGAACACCTATACTAACCAATTACTTTTGTGTCTCTAGCATTATCCACGGCCTCATATCAAAAGAGAGAGGAAAAAGGGATAGTCCAAATGAAATAAGTGTGTTTCATGGTATCAAAAAAGAATACCGAAACGTATCAGATAAATGGGTAAATGTACAGAGCAGCAAAAGTAGGAGGAAAGTACCGTGCAAAAGTATGATTAAACAAACGTTTCTGTAAAACGTTCACTGGTACACTTAGTGCTAATAATAAATGTTGCTATTTAACCAATCGTGTTTTCTTTGCATTAGTGAAATCATTACAGAGTTTTATATGAATGATTCTGACGATGTAAAATTTAAAATACAATATGTTTTTATAATAATTTGTCCTTGAAATAAATATTGTAATCATGTATTGATCGATGTTAGACCACTATTAGAAACCTGATAGCGTTGAAAGACTGCTGTTTCGTCCTGGTATAGGACTCTTCAGCAGTTACCTTACTTACTTACGCCTGTTACCCCGCAATGGAGCATAGGCCGCCCACCAGTTATCTCCAACAAACTCTGTCCTGGGCTTCCCTTTCCAGTTCTGTCCAATATTTGTTCATTCCTCTCATATCTTTCTCTATTTCTCGGCGTAATGTGTTCCTTGGCCTTCCTCTTTTCCTTTTGCCTTGAGGGTTCCATGTGAGGGCTTGTCTCGTGACACAGTTAGGTGCTTTTCACAGTGTGTGTCATATCCACTTCCACCGCTTCTTCCTGATTTCCTCCTCCACTGGAATCTGGTTTGTTCTCTCGCACAGTAGGCGGTTGTTGCTGATGGTGTCTGGCCAACGAATACGAAGAATTTTGCGTAGACAACTGTTAATAAACACTTGTATCTTCTGGATGATGCCTTTCGTAGTTCTCCATGTTTCCGCTCCATACAGTAGAACTGTCGACATTTGTATTGAAAATCCTTATTTTAGTTTTTGTTGAAAGTTGTTTGGAGTTCCAGATATTTTTCAGCAGTGCGCATCCACAATTCCTGTACCTCGCAGAATTCGAACCCAGGATCTTGCGCGCCTGCCACTGGGCTGGCATCCAACAGTGTTAATGATCTAACAGTGGTTGATTGATTGATTGATGATTTCACTGTGCAAAAAACATTAATCTCCATAATTCTAATTGAAAAATCAGATAAATATGTTAACATAAAGTGAATATAGTTATTTTGCAAAGTGTAACACACTTCAAACACTAATGTAGTGAACGAGAACACAGGTGGGGCAACCGAATTGTATTTAACGAAAATTACACAGTTACTCAGTAAAATAGGAAAACCATATCGTAAATCGTTAATTTGCTAAATATCAGTTCATCATATCGAACTGGATTTTTCTTGTTGCAAAACATCAATCCATTGTCTGACATTTCACTCACTATTCATGCGTTTCATACAAATTCCATTGTGTTCTAACTCTTCTTCCTCTCTTGATCTTCCCCCATCTGCTGCCAGACATTACGCTGACCCTCACGTCATATACTACTTATAAGTAGCTCGCACCACACTAGTACCTGATCTGCAGATCGATTTTAATGATAATCATAACACTGATGCTTATTAAATAAGATAGATAATAATATTTTATTATATAAAATAAGCTTTCATCCCACAAGGACATCAATTGTAAAATTATTGATGGAAAGTGACTTCAAATTCCACTCACTATCTTATCTATTGATAGTTATTTTTTCAATTATAGAGTAATGGAGATAAGTGTTTTTTTACACATTTTTGAAATCATCAATCAATCATTGTTAGACAATCATTAATTAAAAACCTTAAAACACTTGACGACCGCTTCGTCCTGGTATGGGATGCATCAGTAGTGCGCACTCACAACTGCTGCACCTCACAGTCATTCGAATCCAGAATCTTCGGTTTTCATTGATTGTATAGATAAGATGGAATAGAGTTAAACGCCAACTTTTGTTTCAATAGAACGAACAAAGATAATCAACTATGCTTTTCATGTTACATAAATTAAACATACTCAAATAATAAATTGGAATCAAGGTTAAAATAAATAAAATAAATTCATTGTATTCTACAAAAAACTTTATTGTTCTTTCTAATTTTCTTCGTTTATAAAAGAGGTCAAGTAAGTAATTGGAATAATAGTGTGGTGTGAGCTACTTATAAGTAGTATGTGACGTGAGTGTCAACATAATGTCTGGCAGCAGAAGATGGGGGAAGATCAAGAAAGGAAGAGTTAGAAGAACACAATGGAATTTGTATGAAACGCATGAATAGTGAGTGACAATGGATTGATGTTGTTTGCAACAGGAACAGACAGTCCAGTTCGATATGATGAACTGATATTTTGCAAATGAACAATTTACGATATGGTTTTCCGATTTTACACTGAGTAACTCTGTAATTTTCGTTAAATACAATCCGGTTGCCCCACCTGTGTTCTAGATCACTACAATAGTAGTCAACATCCTTTACAAATTCAATATGAGAATTCTAAAAAAGTTGATACTAATCCATTACTGAATTATTTATTTACTTACTTCTGCCTTTTATCTCCAAGCGGAGCATAGGCCGCTGACCAGTATTCTCCAACCTTTCATAGTCCTAGGCTTCCTTTTCTAGTTCTATCCAATTTCATATCTTTCTCTTTATTTCTCGGGTGAAATGTATTTCTTGGCCTTCCTCTTTTCCTTTTACCTCGAGGGTTCCAAGTGAGAGCTTGTCTTGTGATGTGGTTGAGTGCTTTCTGCAGTGTGTGTCCTATTTACTTCCATACTAATCCATGAAGTCAGTGAAATCAAATCTTAAATTTAATAAAACCAGGTACAAGAACAACATTAGAGTAATATCAATTCATTCCTTGGTTTACAATGTATTGGTTAATTAGAAAACGAAATGTGTACATGTATATCAGAAAATTGGTCATTTAAGAAAAATAGTGAAACAGGCCAACAAACTATTAAATGATCATAAAAGATATTCATATTTGTCTGTTAAACAGTGCAAATATCTGAGAAGGATATTTTCAAAATACATGATTATAGTTTAATATTCAAAATAACGTAATAACACCTACAAAATCGGTTTTAAATGAGTAACGTTCAGGCAAAATGTCAAAAAAAAACAGTAAACAAGATCAATTCACAGTTTCATTGAAATGATGAATCAGTCAATGTTAGATCACTATTAGAAACCTGGAAGCACTGGATGGCCATTTCGTCCTAATATAGAACTCATTGGCACTGGGCATCCACGGCGTCTGCACACGGGAATGGAAACTAGGACCTTCATTCTCGTGCACAACCTCTCAACATCTGCACCACTGAGCTGGCATCCAATTGTGTTATTGTCTGACTTCGATTAATCTACAATATGGAGTTACCACCATCTATTGTCTTTGGTGGGTAATTGCCTCATGCTCGACACGTATGGAATTAGCTAGTAACAGCTTCTCACTAGAACTTAGAGAATTTCCTCATAAAGCTGGTCACTAGTGAACACATGATAATTTTCATTGATCGATTCATGATTTTGATGAAACTCAACAACAGCCACAACCGTTTAGTGATAATTTCTAATTGCAAATACAAAATGGAAATCACTGACTAAACTACCTAGTCACTGTTACATTTCAATGCAGGAGACATAATTACTTTTATAAATTTTTGAAACGATACATTTAAAATCGATCAATGTTAGACCATCATCGGAATCTTGGAAGCACTGAAAGACGGCCGTTTTGTCGTGGTATGGGACTAATCAGCAGTCCGCATCCACGACTCCTGCACCCCGCAAGATTCGAACCCAGGACGTTCGGTATTGTGCGCGAGCGCCCTAACCGTTAGACCACTGAGCCGGTTTCTAACGGTGTTAATGTCTAACTTGATCAATTAAAGGTGTTGCGCAACCTCATTCACAGTCTTCGATAGTTACTGTCTACACCCGAACAGGTGAACTTCACTGATCACGACTTCCCATTAAAACTCAAAAGAAGATTCCTCACGAAGCTAGTATCTAGTGAGAACAGGTAATTGCATTATGGGGTTGTGAAGATTGTTAAGTGGATGCGCATTGCTGATGAGTCCCATATCAGGACGAAAAGGCTGCTAGTGCTTCAAGGTTTCTAATGGTGGTCTGACTTCGATCGATTCATGATTTCAAATGTGTAATTTAACAATTTTCACAACTCCGTAATGCAAATAATTATTTTTGTTATAGAAATTAAGCCAGTGAATTGATTACTGAATATATTTCAATGATCAAATGTACTTTAATAATTATCTCAATAATGAAAAAAATATTGATCAACTGTAACGCATAACTCGGTCATTTTTTGTTTTATTAAGTCAAAATAATTATCAGAAACTCCTGTTACACAATAACAAACATGTTTTGTTATAATTTTGTTTTTTTTTACAGATGAAAATAATTCATTACGTCAACGAAAAGATTTAATCAATAGATTAAAATTAAATGTGAAAACATTAATGGAATATGCATCAGTTTGTCGTTCAATTCCTGAAGATAGTACACATGTAATTCATTTTTGTGGTAAGTAAGTTGTATCCCATATAATCATAATAGTTGGTAGCAACATAAATGCGTAATAGAATACCTATTGCTCTGTTGTGCGGTGTCTGCATTCTTAGATTGATACAGATGTTAGCCCTCAAAATACAATACTTGAACAAGAGAGCAAGGTTAGACGTGAAGGTTTATTCGATTATGGAATCCCATTTATAGATATTCATATATATTTCCATTCTTCTAATGTAGAAAATGAATACATTTCTTGACCAATCATATGTATTTGTCATCTTGAAAATTTCTGAAGGTCATCGAATGGCCTTTTGTTTTGAGCAGTTTTGATTGGCTCATTGTATCACTGATTTATTGATCTTGTTTTCATTCATTCATGAAAACCAAGTGTTATTTTGTCAGTAATTACTATGAAACTGAAATATCAGCTAGAATGATTTGCATTTCATTTATCAATCAATTTGCCTATTTTCAACTTAAATTATAGTGAATTCGAAAAAGGGTAATTTATTCTCATAGGAAGTGATTAGCAAAGTCGATTAGCCTGATCATAGGGATATTGTGAATATCTTATTCTAAACTTAGTTTAACCACTAATTTATTTGAAACTAACTGATCAACACTTGATAATTGAATGCTTCAAATTAATTTTTAGTCATTTTTATAAATGTCATATATTTTGTATAAAAGTTTGTAGTTTTGTTTTTAAGATCTGACAATTTATTGAAATTATAGACGGATCAATGTTAGACTATCATTAGAAACCTGAAAGCATTGAACGTCTGTTTCGTCCTTACATGGGACTCATCAGCAGTGCGTAGGCCTTACTGCCTCTTTGATCGATTGGTGATTTCAATGAAACCTAACAGTCTCAATAATCCTATAGTTAAAATTATCATGTGAACACTAATGACAAGCGTTGTGAGGAAGTGTCTCCAATTTCTAGTGAGGAGTTGTTACCAGAGGGTTGTAACCCTGTCAGGTGTGAAATACTGCCCAAAGAAGACAATAGATGAGGTTGCACAAGACCATGGACCGACTAACTCCGTTGAATGCCGGCTCAGTGGTCTAAAGGTAAAGCATTTGTGTGTGAGAGTGAAAACCCAGGGTTTGATTCCTGTGAGAAGCGATCATGGATTCGCACTACTAATGAGTCGAATATTAGGTCAAAATGGCCGTCCTATACTTTCCGGTTTCTAACAGAGGTCTAACATTGATCGATTCATACTTTCAATGAAACTCAACAACAATGATAATAATCGTTTGCCAGTTATAAAAGAAAACTTCAAATTTCTTTGAAATTTTGATCAAGTCTCTACATGCGTAAGATAAGCATTTCCGCTATGCTTTCCAAATAATCAAGTCCCACATTCACTTGATAAAGTATTTCAAATTCTTAAAACAGTATTGTAAAGACAGTTGAGTTTCATTGAAATCATGAAACAATCAAGGTAAGACCACCTTTGAGATTTTGGAAGCATTAGTTAGCCTTTTGAAATAAGTATGGGACTTCTCAAAACTTCAAATCCACAACCCTGAATGAGAGAATCGAACCCAAAACCTCATTTCTCACGTGTGAACACTTTCAAACAATCCACAGTATTTTCTTTCGTGGATATTTTCGATGATTACTTCGTTTGTTTTGAACTTGTATCTAATGGATCTAAATTATTTTTCAAATAAAATGCCTAGACAAGTTTATGTTTGACCAGATTGTTTGGTAAACATATAATCAATCAATCAATCAATCAATAGCAACATAGAACTTCATACATACGTACATACATCAGTTTACGTGGCCATGTCACATTAGCACAGCAATGTAATTGTCAATTCAAATCCAATAGTAGTAGAGGTAGTAAAGGTATTAGCGGTAATCGTAGAGATTAGGATAAGAATATATTATTCAAGAAGTCGAATCTAGTGAAACAGACTAAGAAAAATAAAGTGATAAGGAATTAAAAAGTTTAGGATTTGAGAGAACACAAAGAATAAATGCAGCTACGCCATTGCAAACGGTTTTGAGCCATATCATTCAGGGTCTCTAACCATCGATTACTATAATCTGGCGGGCCCCAACCAGGTAGTCGACATCTATCCGACATACAGCATCAATACATCACTTTTATTTAAAATCAACTCTATCTTCTCATTGTTCTATCAAAAATCTCTAGAAAAAAGGACACGTTGCTTTAAAACAAAAATGACATGTGTACTACTTTCTGATTGCGTATGCCTAACCACCGATTGCCTCGACGAGCTTTGTTTTGTAGTGTAGGAGTAGTTTGGAAGAAAGTTAGGGGCGACCAGACCAAAACATGGCAGAAATCCACGAGATCATTGACGAGTGGACTTAGCGATGTCGGTAAATATCGACTACCCGGTTGGGGTCCGCGAGATGATAATAATCGATGGTTAGAGACCCTGAATGACATGGCTCAAAACCGTTTGCAATGGCACCGGTGCATTTATTCTTTATGTTCTCTCAAATCCTAGTCTTCTGGATTCTCCAACAGCTCTAGTTTTGTCTTTCTAAACTTATCTCATTGAATCATACTTCTTGAATAATATCTTCTAATCCTAACCTCTCCGATTACTTCTAATACCTTTACTACCTCTTATACTATTGGATTTGAATTGACAATTATATCTCTGTGCTGATGTGGTATGGCAACATGAACTGATGTACTTACGTACGACGTTCTACGTTGCATCTGAATGACTGACTGACTGCTTTCTGAAATCGTCAACACAAATTAGTTAAACGAAGTTATGTTTCTTGTGTTGAGATGAATTACTACTATACAAATAACATTTATTAGACAGTTAATATAATCATTTCTAAATGTCCAAGTCAATTCAAACGAAAGTTAGTAATAAAAATGAGAAATATTTACCACTCTGATACAAGAAATTTGAAAACAACTCGAGTAATTCAGGAGTTGCATGAAAGCTCTTTCAGATACTTGACAGATAACTTATTCTACTCTATTTTTAAATTAAAAATAAAGTAGAGGCGCTTTGCCAGTTCAATGCTTCAAGTTTTTTTATCGATTATATTAGTTAATGATCAGCCATATTGGATTTCCAATGCTTTCCACTCCTATTTTTGTGTTCTAATCAAACAAAGCGTAATTTGATTTAAATTAAATTCTTTATCAAAGAAAATTGAAAGTTTTTTCTGCGGAGTATTAGATTAGATCAAAGATTCAGCAATTTTCGAATTCACAATCAAATTCTAACACTATGTTTTAATACAGTCGAGAGAGAGAGTATAAAGTAATTGACAAACGGAATATACACTCTCTTTCAAAATATTTACTGATCAATGGATGGAGAAAATCATGCAGATACTTTAGCTTTCGATTTTTTTGGTCAAAAGTAAAGTATTAGACTGTAAACAATAGTGGTAGCGACACTTTAAATGTAAATAAGACTTTAGGTTGATGAATATCGATATTTTATTGAAATGATTGTTAGACTATCATTAGAAAAACCTGGAAGAAGTATTGGACGGTTTTTTTGTCCTAGGAGTATGCATCCACGAGCCTGTATGGGGGAAACGAACTCAGGACCTTCAGTCTCGCACACAAACGCTTAAGCTCTAGACTACTGAGTTGGCAGGCAATCACCTGTGTTAAAGTCTAACTTTGATCTAACGAAGGTATTGCGTGATGTCACCCAATGTCTTCAGTATGTCACCGGATCTATCTGACAGGGTTGAACTGCATTGGTTTCAACGGCTTCTCAATACAAATCCGACCATCATCTCTATAAAACTCAATAATCTTCCGAACTGTATAATCAGAATATCAATATACTGGAACTCCATAAAAACTAGTAACAGATTGAAAAAAATGAAAAAATTTGTTAGTTTTATGTGTTAGTATTAAATAAAAGATGTTTTCTTTTTCTAAAAAATACCATTAATATACTTTATTATTTCTATTTAGAATTAGTACATGAATCTCTTCGAATTGGTTTGAAAACGCCACCATTTCTGTTCTATCAAAATATTTCAACTTATTCATTAATAATTCATAAAATATCAAATCAATGTGAAGCAGCTTTAAAAGTGATTAATGAATTTGAAAAAGATTTCAATAATATTGAAAATTTAAACAATACCAATAATACACAGTTCAATTGTCGACAACAACAATCGAACATTTTAAACAAAAATGAATATAAATTAAATTTTAAAAAATTATTTCATTCTTTGGATAATAATAATAAAAAAAGCAAAAATTTTCATGTAAATGATCAAATTTGTAAAAAATCATCATCTTTAAAGAAATTTTGTCCAAAATTAAGGTAATTACAGTTTATTATTATTATTATTATTATTATTATTATTCTGATTATTATTATCTAAAAATCAATATTTTATGAGTCATTCGTTGAACTGTGAACTTCAGTTTCAACTATGATTCATAACTGTCTTTTGATCTGCCGCTAATTATTAAAACTGTGTTACCCGTTAGTTCAATAAAAATAACTTCAAGCTATTTAGTAAATCGATTAGGTTAGGGAAAATATATGTACTAGTGATTTCTGACTAAATGATTTGAATGTACACATTTGAAATCATTAATCAATCATCATTGTTAGACCAAACCAATAGAAACCTGGAAGCACTGAAGGATGGCCGTTTCGTCCTAGTATGGGACTCCTCATCAGTGCGCATCCACGACTCCTGCTCCTCGCAGGATTCGAACCCGGGACCTTTGGTATTGTAGGCGAATGCCTTACCATCGGACCACTGGGCCGGCATCCAACGGTGTTCATGTCTAACACTGATTGTTCTAGAGATTTTGAGCTACCTCACCCATTTGTCTTTGGTAGTTACTGCCTACATCCGACAGGGTTGAACTCCACTGGTCACGTCTTCTCAACTAGGACTCCGAGAATTTCCTCACGAAGCTAGTCACTAGTGAGCACTGTTACGATATATTGGGGCACAGATTTTTTGGAGGTTTGCGTTTTTTACACATTTGAAATCATTAATCAATCATCATTGTTAGACCACCATTAGAATGTAATTAGGTTAGTTTGGCGCCTGAATGGTCTGTCTTTGATTTAAATTGATATTGGATGTATAACGAATCAGTTATTTAGTGTTCCTCAGTTTCTTGCTATTCTTCAATAGATATTTATTTGACAGAAAGAAATTCAGTTCAGTTTGATTGAATACATTTACATTTTACCCATAACAAAAAACTAGTGAATATTTATATTATGCTCATCTCTAGGTACGCTTAAACTATTACGAGTTCACCTTAGTCGAATAGCGAGAACAAAACAATGAACCAGTGTCCCGGTAGGGCTACTCTGATCCCTTGACTCAACTGTACCAGCAAGAAGTCTTGATATAGCGTTGAAAGTGTATTCTACAAACACCCAGCCAGCACACACAATGAATTTAAGCACTCAAATTGTGTTTATTTATACTCTATAGAGACGTCCTTGGGACAGTCACAAAAATAACACATTAAAATCACACAGTAACCAATCACAGCCAAGGATTTTCTTCCGGGAAATGTGATCTCAAGGTCAACTGATCAGCCCATGAAATCCAAAATAAAGACATTTATCAAGCGCGAGTTCTGGGGATCTAACTGATTACTTCGTCACTTAGGTATAAAACTTTTCACCAAAGCCCAATCATGAACACTTCTACTACTTTCTGGTTTTTAATAGTACCCTCTCTCTTTTATTATTTTTTGAAGAAACATTTTTTTAAAAATAAGTTGAAGATTATCTTAAATTTCAGGATTTGCAGTCATTTAGCAGGTGAATATTTCATATTACATTTGTAATTTTCACTAAAATTTTGGTTTCACGTGTGTCTAGTTCATTGCAGCTCTTTATTATAAATATGTCAGTGTAGTATAATCTAGAACGACCAATGAATAACATACGAATAAGTTAGCGTTTGGAAAGAAGTATTTACTGAAAACTACGATCTTATATGCAGTACCCAATAAATGAACGGAAAAATGAGCAAGATGGCTGAATACATTACACTTATTGAGTGCTAAAACATTGTAAATGACCTCAGTTATGTTTCAAACATTTTAACTAACTATGGATGATGGAAAAAGATTAGGAATCAACACAATAAAAGTTCAAAACAGTGGTTCACTTTGATAAATTTGAACAGAGAAGTAAGAAGATATATTTTGTGAGATAGTACAATTTCGTGCTTTCTCGTCAGTCACATACAAGCAACATGTTATTTGTGTAAATACAGCAGTTTTGAAGATAAGGTCAAAATTTCTTATTTAGCATGACATTCACTCACTAGGACCATGCTAAACAAAGGTCAACAAACAGTTGTTTTTGAACACATAAAGTTGGACTTTTCTGCTCAATCAAGATAGCTTCGAGTAGTTCCAGTGTGTGTGGGTTTTGATGACATGTCACAACTCTAAAGGCTGATTTTGGGTCAATTTGATGACCACTCATCATTAGATGTTTTGCAATGGACGAGGCTGGGTTTCTTGATCGATTTTGAGATGATGGGCTAGGTTGATGAATCATGGATTTGATTAACCATTTTGGAATATGTTTGATTTAAAATCAACCACGTTTCTCACTGAAACAGATTGATTATAGGCAACCGTTTGATTCTAGACGCATGTTCTGTTTGCTGAATGCACCTTTATCCCGAATAGGATGAAATACTTGTCTAGAATTTCACTGAAAGACTCGATCCATCTTTGTCTGTTCGAAACCAACTTTCATACGATCTACCAAATTCCAAAGGAGACGGATCAAGATTCAATCAGGAATAGAGAGAATGAGATAATGAAAATTCTCCATCAAAACGATGTTGATCACCTTTTATGACATTGTTAAAAAAATAAGTATAACTCCACAGTCCTTTGATTTCATAGTTTGAAACAAAGCATTCAATCCCTAACAAATGCTATTGATCAGTGATGAACTTAATCTATCTTACATGAGTACCAAACATAAAGATTCAAAGATAAGGTTCGATTAAATTAGTAATCAAATCGACATGACAAACTAGGACAAGTAACTGCTTACAATTCACTATTGTGGATAAATCCACTAGACAATATCTGTATTATTCCGTTTATATTTTTTTTACGGATCTTACAGTTCTAACTCAGACATTGAATGGATACATTTTGCCCTTGTTGAGAAACTACTTGAAACCATAATACGATATATTTGCAGTAAAGCAAAGTAAGTGAATATAATTTTCATTTGTAGATAAAATCTAAACAATCTTTAAACTTGTAGCTCGATGTTAACGATCATTTCTAACTGTACATTTGTTAGTAGTGTTTAAATCTTCAGTTTATTAGCCTTTAAGGACTGAATTTTTGATCAGTCTCCTTTCAAAATATACACATCTTGAACGGTCTACCTGAATAAAACCATCAGGTGACACGTGTTTTAAGTAAAGATAGATAATAGATGGTATTCAGTGGACAGCTAGGACGCAGCTCGACGATCTGGACTGTGCAGATGACCTGGCTCTTCTAGCGCATAAGCAACAACAAATGCAAGAGAAGACGACCAGTGTAGCAGCAGTCTCTGCAGCACTAGGTCTCAACATACATAAAGGGAAAAGTAAGATTCTACTATACAACACAACCAAATCACGCTTGATGGAGATGCCTTGGAGGACGGTAACACCTTCACATATCTTGGCAGCATCATCGACGAGAAAGGTGGATCCGATGCAGATGTGAGGGAGCGGATTGGCAAAGCAAGAGTTGCGTTTCTACAGTTGAAAAATATCTGGAACTCCAAACAACTTTCAACCAAAACCAAAATCAGGATTTTCAATACAAATTTCAACACTGTTCTACTGTATGGACCGGAAATGTGGCGAACTACGAAAGCCATTATCCAGAAGATACAAGTGTTTATGAACAGTTGTCTACGCAAAATACTGAGGATTCGTTGGCCAGACACCATCAGCAACAACGTACTGTGGGAGAGAACAAACCAGATTCCAGTGGAGGAGGAAATCAGGAAGAAGTGGTGGAAGTGGATAGGACACACACTATGAAAAGCACCTAACTGTGTCACAAGACAAGCCCTCACATGGAACCCTCAGGGTCAAAGGAAAAGAGGAAGGCCAAGGAACACATTACACCGAGAAATAGAGAAAGACATGAGAAGAATGAACAAAAACTGGAAAGAACTGGGAAGGAAAGCCCAGGATAGAGTTGGCTGGAGAAAACTGGAGGGCGGCCTATGCTTCATTGGGGGCAACAAGCGTAATTAAATAAGTTCCAACGTATATGTGACTCGTTACATAGATGTACTTGTATCCTTGTTTAGATGTTCACATAAGGACTATAACCTATTACCTTTTGACTTGAGAGCCCAATATATTCACTGAACTACTTAGTAATTTACTGGTAGTATTGAAGCGACTAGCTCAAAATGCATGCCAGAACAGAAAGATGGAAATTCGGTCTTCAATATCAACAACTTTGAGACTCGAACTCAGCACCATTCTTTTCAAGCATTACCGCCTTATCCATTTTGCTGCTAAGTCTAGAAAGCTAGCGATTTGCACAACTGCATGAAATTCAGTTCATTTCTATTGGCGGTTTGAATCTTCGCATTGACCTTGATGTTTGCTATAGGTATATGTACATGGTGAATAGATTACCTCAATATTGGCATTAGATCACAAATATTATAAGCAGAAATAGTGAGTGTCTAGCAATCGAATCCAGGACGCTCAGGAAGCATGTATATTTTCAAAAAGAGATCAATCGATCGCAATCCTGTGTGTTATTGGGCAGATTCAAATAATCAATGCAAATGAATTATTCAACATAACAGTTTTGAATTATTTGCAGAAATAATTAGGTTTTGTTACCATTAAGTAATATGTCTCGATCAGGATAAAATTTGAATTTCAGTAGTATCAGTTACATCAAGTAAACCGGTTGGTCAAACTGTAGATTTTATATGAACTGATATATATATATATATATATATATATATATATATATATAAATATATATATATATATATATATATATATATATATATATATATAAAAGAATTTGGGGGAGATTGTATTACTTTGAGAGTTAAAATCACGAACTGATCTGAGCTAGATCATTATTAGAAGTCTAGAAGCGCTAGATAGCCGTTTCATTCTGAGATGGTGCTCATCATTGGTGTGCGTCCAAAATCTTGCTAGCGGAAATTGAACCTTGGACCTCCACAGTCTCGTACATGAACGCATAACCTCTAGACCACTGTATTGGTATTCACTGCTGTTAATGTCTGATTTCAATCAATCCATGATATTGAACAACCTTCCTCAATTGTCAGCGGCGGATAACGATCTCCTAATGAACACTGATTTAATTCCATTGGTCATGACTTACCGCTGGAGCTCCAGGGATACAACATGAATTTATTCATTAGTGAGCAGATGGTCGCTGTCACATTAGTGAAAGCGATTCGTGGAGGTTGTGAAGTCATGACCAGTAAAGTTTAATCCGTCTCCAGTAGGAGTTCGTTTTACACCGCTAGCAGTGGATGAAGGTTGTGCAACATCATGGATTCATTAAAACCAGACAATAACAACAGAGAGTGCCAACACAGTAGTCTAGAGGTTAAGCTTTCGCGCATGAGACCGGAGTTCTTAGACTCAGTTTCCACTAGCAGGATCGTGGTTGCACGCCACTGATTAGCTCTGTATCAGGATGAAACAGTCATTTAACGCTTTCAGATTTCTAATAGTGGTCTAACTTAAATCAATTCATGATTTCAACAGTCAAAATATAAAATGTTCTCTATTCATAATTATACACAGAATTCTGTTTTCTTTTGTTTCAGAGAATTTTACAACTCTGATAGTATTATCGGTAATAAATGTGATATGAATGTATTTTTATCCTTGATTAGTAAGTTCTTAACATATAAACATGTTTTATTTACAAAGGACAAATACTTTACATGTAAAAATTTTAATTAAGTTTACTCTGACCTATTAAATGAAATAATTCAGCTCTGTTAGTGCATTAAAGCAGCCTAAATTTGACTCCTATTTTTTCCCCTAAACCCAGTAAGTGTCGGTTAATCAATATAGAACCTGGTGTGTGTGTGTGTGTGTGTAGATCGGTTTAAGTTACTGCAATATGCCAGAGTAGTAACGATAGTAGCATTTTCAGTAGAAGCAAAAAAAGATTAGGTGTATAAGTGTTACGCCTGCACGCAAACATGTCAACTTGATATACTTGAAATATTACGAGTTTATCTAGTCGGAAAACGAGAGTGAGGATCGAAGATCCGGCGACACGATATGCTACTCTAATCCGACTGTCCCAACAACCATTAAGTAAAAGAAAAAGACTTGATATGTAGTAGAACCTGTATTCCACAAGCATCCAGAAAGTGCGAGGTCCGAATGCAGAAGAAAATCAGGATCCCGAACTAGGGATCCGGGACTGAGCCCTGGTCCTAGTCGTGGTCATAAAACGTTACAGATAATGCGTATTTAAACATTTAGGTTGATTAGGAAACACCATAACTCCGCCAGTAGAACCTTAGGGGCTACTGCCGGTCCCAAGCCCGGATAAAGGAGGAGGGTTGGACATGGGGTTGGCGGCCCCATTCCGTTGAAATCTAACTTGCCAAAAAAACGCTAACCAGAAAAAATAATTCAAACCATTTTAACTCTGCCCTGGGAGTTGGAAGAAGAATTATGACGTCGCGTGATGAAAGCCGAGTTCCCTCGGAAGTCACGGAGTTGATACCTCTTCTGACAACCAGAGCAACCATTTTTTTAGGTACATGGAACGTTCGTACATTGTGGGAGACTGGAAGACTATTTCAAGTTGCGGCAGAAATGAAAAGATACAACCTCGAGGTACTCGGCATCAGTGAAACGCATTGGACACAGGTAGGACAACTGGGACTTGCTTCAGGGGAACTGCTGTTATACTCTGGTCATGAAGAGGAAAACGCTTCACATACACAAGGAGTTGCACTGATGCTGTCCAAACATGCACAAAAGGCACTGATAGGATGGGAATCTCATGGACCGAGGATCATTAAAGCATCCTTCAAAACAAAGAAAGAGGACATTACAATGAACGTCATCCAATGTTATGCACCTACCAATGACTACGATGACGACGTTAAAGATCAATTCTACGAAAGGCTGCAGTCAATCGTCGAGAAATGTTCACCAAAGGATTTGACGATTCTTATGGGAGACCTGAATGCCAAGGTTGGAATGGACAACACTGGATATGAAGACATCATGGGACGACATGGACTGGGAGAAAGGAACGAAAACGGTGAGAGATTTGCAAACCTATGTGCCTTCAACAAACTGGTCATCGGTGGCACAATATTCCCGCACAAACGCATACACAAAGCCACATGGATTTCACCGGATCACACTACTCAAAACCAAATTGACCATATCTGTATCAACAAAAAGTTCAGAAGGACCATGGAGGATGTGAGAACCAAGAGAGGAGCTGATATAGCTTCAGATCACCACTTGCTGATCGCCAAAATGAGATTGAAGCTAAAGAAGCACTGGACAACGGGACAGACAACATCACAGAAGTTTAATACGGCCTTTCTTCGGGATACTGTAAAGCTCAACGAATTCAAGATAGCCCTCACCAATAGGTTCCAGGCCTTTCAGGATCTACTCAATGGAGAGGAAGCAACATTGTAGAACAATTGGAAAGGGATTAAGGAGGCAATCACTTCAACATGTCAGGAGGTCCTTGGTCGCAAGAAGCACCATCACAAGGAATGGATCTCTGTTGGTACTCTTGAAAAAATTCAAGAAAGGAGGAACAAGAAGGCAGTATTGAATGTCAGCCGAACAAGAGCAGAGAAAGTTAAGGCGCAAGCCGAGTATACAGAAGCAAACAGGGAAGTGAAGAAGAGCATCAGAGCTGACAAACGAAAATATGTGGAAGATCTAGCAATGACGGCGGAAAAGGCTGCAAGAGAAGGAAACATGAGACAATTGTACGAAACAACAAAGAAGCTCGCCGGGAACTATCGTAAACCAGAACGACCAGTGAAAAGCAAGGAAGGCAAAGTAATCAGCAACACTGAACAACAGCGAAATAGGTGGGTAGAGCACTTTCAAGAACTCCTAAATCGACCAGCTCCACTGAACACACCCAACATCGAAGCAGCATCCACGGACCTCCCAATTAATATTGGCGCACCCACGATTGAGGAGATCAGTACAGCCATCAGACAAATCAAGAGCCGCAAAGCAGCAGGACCAGACAACATTCCAGCAGAGGCAATGAAAGCAGATGTAGAAGCAACTGCGAAAATATTTCACATTCTCTTCAAGAAGATTTGGGATGAGGAACAAGTACCATCAGATTGGAAAGAAGGATACCTGATCAAAATACCAAAGAAAGGCGACCTGAGCAAGTGTGAGAACTACAGAGGCATCACTCTTCTTTCAATACCAGGCAAAGTCTTCAACAGAGTATAGTTAAACAGAATGAAGGACTTCGTAGACGCCCAACTTCGAGATCAACAGGCCGGATTTCGTAAGGATCGATCGTGTACTGATCAAATCGCTACATTACGGATCATTGTGGAACAATCAATTGAATGGAACTCACCACTCTACATCAACTTCATCGACTACGAGAAAGCATTCGATAGCGTGGATAGGAAAACACTGTGGAGGCTTCTTCGACACTACGGTGTGCCTGAGAAAATAGTCAACATCATACGGAATCCTTATGATGGATTCAACTGCAAAATCGTACACGGAGGTCAGCTGACAGACTCTTTCGCGGTGAAGACCGGTGTCAGGCAAGGTTGCTTACTCTCACCCTTTCTCTTTCTCCTGATCATCGACTGGATTATGAAGACGTCAACATCTGGAGGGAAGCACGGTATCAACTGGACAGTTAGGACGCAGCTGGACGATCTGGACTTCGCAGATGACCTGGCTCTTCTATCGCACACTCAACAACAAATGCAAGAGAAGACGACGAGTGTAGCAGCAGCCTCTGCAGCAGTAGGTCTCAACATACATAAAGGAAAAAGCAAAATTCTCCGATGCAACACAACATGCACCAACCGAATCACGCATGATGGATATACCTTGGAGGACGTTAACACCTTCACATATCTTGGCAGCATCATCGATGAGAAAGGTGGATCGGACGCAGATGTGAGGGCGCGGATTGGTAAAGCGAGGGCTGCATTTCTACAGTTGAAAAATATCTGGAACTCCAAACAACTTTCAAACAAAACCAAAATCAGGATTTTCAATACAAATGTCAAGACAGTTCTACTGTATGGAGCGGAAACATGGAGAACTACCAAAGCCATCATTCAGAAGATACAAGTGTTTATTAACAGTTGTCTACGCAAAATACTTCGTATTCGTTGGCCAGACACCATCAGCAACAACGAACTGTGGGAGAGAACAAGTCAGATTCCAATGGAGGAGGAAATCAGGAAGAAGCGGTGGAAGTGGATAGGACATACACTACGAAAAGCACCCAACTGCGTCACTAGACAAGCCCTCACATGGAACCCTCAAGGCAAAAGGAAAAGAGGAAGGCCAAGGAACACACTACGTCGAGAAATAGAGAAAGATATGAGAGGAATGAACAAACATTGGACAGAACTGGAGAGGGAAGCCCAGGACAGAGTTGGTCTGAGAAAACTGGTGGGCGGCCTATGCTCCATTGTGGGTAACAGGCGAAAGTAAAGTAAAAGTAAAGTAAGGAAACACCATCGAATTCTGTGGTATTGACAGTTAAGACAACCAATAGGAAGCAACATTTGAAGTGAAATTGATAGTCAGGACAACCAATAAGAAACAACATTGAAGTATTTGACTTTGGCAGTTAAAACGACCATAATTTTGACCAATAGAAATCGACCATTAGGATTTGACCAATAATTCTCTTAGGATATTGGATGAATATCCTAACAATAAGCAAACAAAGATTCGAGGAAATCAGAATACAAAACTCACCTGGTACTTGGAAACTTTGGATTTAAGGAGAGAAACATCCTGAATGATCCAAAATTTTTTCATTTAACTCAAATGAATCTAGAATGACAGAGAAATAATAGGTATAATAGAATATAATAAGTGAACAGTTCAATCCAATTCGGAAAATTAGGTATTTAAATGTTTAAGTAACTAGAATATAATCTACTTATTTGAAATCAGTTTAGGCTTATTGTACAACAAAGGTACTGAGTACAACTTAACATCACTATGGTAAACCTAGAAGCATTTTATGGTCATTTCAATCCAGCCATTGTATGCCAGCTTAGTGACCCTTTGCATATGAGAGTGAAGTTTATTGGTTAGATTCCCCCTAACACAAGTGTGGGTGCATACTTATGAGACGTCTCATACAGTAGTGAAGGAGAACACGGGTGAGGGCAACCGAATAGTATTTGACACAAATTACAGAGTTACTCAGTAAAATAGGAAAACCATATCGTAAATGGTTAATTTGCAAATCTTCAATCCATCATCATCAATCCATTGTCTGACATTTCACTATTCATGCGTTTCATACAAATTGCATTGTGTGTTCCCACTCTTCCTTTCTTGATCTTCCCTCATCTTCTGCGCCAGACATGACGTTTACACTCGCATCATATACTACTTATGGGTAGCGCGCACCACAATACTAGAACGAAACAGCCATCTAGGGTTTCCAAGTTTTTGATAGGTGGTCTAATACTAGTTATTGTATCATTTGAAAGATACACAGCAATCTCCACAAACATATAATGATATTTATTATCATTATTTTCAGGCAGAGCTTTGGAGGTTTGTGTTTACACATTTGAAATCATCACAATCAATCATTGTTAGACCACCATTAGAAACTTGGAAGCACTGAATGACGGCCGTTTCGTCCTGGTATGGGACTCATCATTGGCAGTGCGCATCCACGACTCCTGCACCTAGCAGGATTCGAACCCTGGACCTTCGGTATTGTGAGCAAACGCCTAACCAATGGACCACTGGGCCGGCATCCATCAGTGCTCACTAGTGACTAGCTTCGTGAGGAAATTCTTTGAGTTCTAGTTGAGAAGACATAACCAATGGAGTTCAACACTGTCGAGTGTAGGCAGTAACTACCGAAGACAAATTGGTGAGGTCGCGCAAAATCCGTAGATCAATCAGAGTTAGACATTAACACCGTTGTATGCCGGCCCAATGGTTAGGCGTCCGTGCACAATACCGAAGGTTCCGGGTTCGAATCCTGCAAGGTGCAGGGGTCGTGGATGCGCACTGCCAATGATGAGTCCCATACCAGGACGAAACGGCCGTCCTTCAGTGCTTCCAGGTTTCTAATGGTGGTCTAACAATGATTGACTGATTGATGATTATCATTATTGTTTAAATCACTTTAATGTTCAATATTCAATTGTCATTAATTTAGGCGGTCCTTGTGCAATTAATTATTCATCACCTATACATGAAGAATCATATTGGGTAAATTTACATGCAGATGAATTGATTGAAAGACAACGTTTCACATCAATTACAAATCATAATAAAATTATGAGTAGAAGTTCATTACAAGTTCGAGAGAAAAATAAATCACCTGTAAGTCAATTATTTTTCTTATAATAATATGAATTTTCGTATAAATTTTAAATGAACAGTTTCACAGCAGTTGATCTCACACCGAATTGATGTGAGACATTCAAGCTCCACAAGTTAACAGTTATGCTAACACTTCTATTGTAGTGAAGGAGAACACAGGTGAGGGCAACCGAATTGTATTTAACGAAAATTACAGAGTTACTCAGTAAAATAGGAAAACTATATCGTAAATCGTTAATTTGCAAATCTTCAATCCATCATCAATCCATTGTCTGACATTTCACTATTCATGCATTTCATACAAATTCCATTGTGTTCCCACTCTTCCTTTCTTTATCTTCCCCCGCATCTTCTGCTGCCAGACATTATGTTTACACTCGCGTCGTATACTACTTATAAGTAGCGCGCACCACACTACTATCGCTACTACTACTGGATTTTAACTGACAGTTGCATCTCTGTGCTAATGCAGTATGACAACTTGAACTGAGGTACGTACGTACGAAATTCCGCGTTATATCTGTCTGTCTGTCTATCATTATGAAATGTGAACGTGTTTTTTGTTTTTCCAAAAATCAATGTTAAATCAGTTATCTATGATTTAATATTGAATAGTATTCACCGCGTTTGTATGATCTTTCAGTAGTACTAATATATTTGGATGACTTTCTTTCTGATCATAACATTATCTGGAGCTGTGCAGTCCTATTTATAAGTAATCTTTCCCGTCATAGTCTATGGTAAAATAGACGAGTTTTACAATAATTATCCATGATAGTCAGACTTATTCAAGCAGAAGACAATGAAATTGAAGTGGTCTTGTACAATATGATCGAGAATATAACTGTAATAATAATTTCTAAGTGGTGTAGTGTGTCGATTTACTGTGTGTTCTTAAGCTCGGTAATTAGTTCGTCCAGACAATCGTTTCTAACTAGCGTCTGACAGTTTATAAATCAGAAGGTAAACACAAAGTGTTGAATACGTTTATTTTGGAGAAGGCTGTTGAGCCAACTCCTAGTGTAGTGAATGAGAACACAGGTGGAGGCAACCGAATTGCATTTAACGAAAATTACAGAGTTACTCAGTAAAATCGGAAAACCATATCGTAAATCGTTCATTTGCAAAGGATCAGTTCATCCTATGGAACTGGACTGTTCCTGTTGCAAAACATCAATCCATTGTCACTCTTCATGCGTTTCATACAAATTCCATTGTTTTCTGACTCTTCCTTTCTTGATCTTCCCCCCATATTATGCTACCAGACTTTACGTTGACACTCACGCTATATACTACTTATAAGTAGTTCGCACCACAGCACCACACTAGGATTACAATGCGAACGAATGGGCGAAGGAAGCGAACGAACAGGCGAAGCCCGTTGGAGAAGGCTAACGAGCCAACTCTAAGAGATGGAGCGTGACTAAGAATATATGGTCAGACAAATATAAGACAGACATGTGATCAACGAGATAGGCGTGCACACACATCAATAAAAGCGACGAATGATTGACAAGGTCAAAAGACAAGTGGGACACGTCATGTGAGCTCATACAAACCTGACAATAACAAGAACGAATGGTACATCTAAATTGTTGCAATACAAATGGCTTGGCCAAATAAATTAATCGAAAAGGCTTAACCAAATTAAATGTAAACGAACTCGAATACATGTGGAGGCACTACACTTTATTTAATTTGAAATAAGTTGAGATAAGTGTGATCGTAAACAATTGTGCAAGTTTGTAGTGCAGATCAATTCGGTAGCAAAAGTTCTTCATTTTCAATCTTTACTTTCGTTGTTCTTTGAACTGACACTGGTTCATTGGTCAGGAGGTTAGGCGTTCGCGCGCAAGACTGAAGGTCCTCGGTTCGAATTCTGCGAGTAGCAGGAGTTCTGGATGCGCACTGCTGATGAGTCCCATACTAGGACGAAGTGGCTGTCCAGTGCTACCAGGTTTCTAATGGCGGTCTAACACTGATCGATTCATGATTTCAATGAGTAGCTTAAAAATCCTCACAACGTTGTAATGTTCATGTTTTCTTCTTTCTTTTCAATAATTTTTATACGAACAGTCAGTTTTCATTGGAAATTTCAAAGAGAAAACTGAGAAAACTTTGAAAAGAATTCGAAATTCTTCATCTTTATCTGATTCATCATTTACAGATACAAGTGTTGATAGTTTATATCAAACGAAAAAAAGTACATTACTTTATGGAAAAAATAATGTTATGGTAGGTATTGTAATTTTTTTTATTATAATAATTATTATGTGCGAAACTTCACTTTGCTATTCATTAAGATCAGTGAAATGGTGGTGCTATTGAAACTTAACGGAATTGACGGTAGAGTGACACTATGTGGAACCTGCGGTTTGCTGTAGCAAATAAACTTATAAGGGGCGTATCTCCAGTGATCCTAAGGTGGCCTCGGGCGATTCGCTCAAGGAAGCAGATAAAGGCTCCTGGTCTACAAGGCGACCAACCTTATGTGGTTGTCCCAAACACTCTGCATCTCGGTGTAGTGTGTCGACTGGCATCGAGGCCTTTTAAACAAGGGTCTCCAGTTGGGTTATGCGATCCAGTGCTGGAAGTGTACTGGACGCCAATGATGTCTGCCCATTTATGTAGTGGGATTAACCCTGCTTGGCTGAGTGCTTGCGCTTTCTCGAGTTCATGACATTTTCCTCATGGAAAGATGTACGTTCCAGCTGACCTTCTGGGACAAATTCGATGTTTAGCTTTATGTTAGGTCTGAGGGATCCGATCGATTGTATCAGCGCAAGGCAGTTGGAGGCCAGACGGTTGGAATGGCTGCTGGTTAGTGCACTGCTGGGTGGCTCGGTAATCCATGTAGCTGGTAAAGCCCACCTCGCCGCCCTTGCTGATTGGGGATTGTGGGTAGTGGATTGGTTGTAAGGATTAAGTTGATTCATAATTACCCGGACGGGGGCCACTGCTCGTGCGCGTGCTTTTTGGACATCCACTTGTATGCAAACCAACCTATACAACATGTACGTTCCCGTATGGGGCAGGGGTGATCGCAATATTGGCTCTTGTGAGAATCCTTGTGTTGCTTAAAATGCAGCGGCTTACATGTGCAGCAGGCTTGCTGGTTAATCAAGAATATAATTATTATTATTGCTTACTTACTTACTTTACTTACGCCTGTTGACACCCAATGGAGCATAGGCCACTGGCCAGTATTCTCTAACCTACTCTGTCCTGGGCTTCCCTTTCCAGTTTTGTCCAATTTATGTTCACTGTTCTCATGTCTTTCTCTATTTCTCGGTGTAATATGTTCTTCGACTTTACTCTTCTCCTTTGACATTGAGAATTCCAAGTGAGGGCTTGTCTTACCAAATAGATGGGTGTTTTATGCAATATGTATCTTAACCACTTCCAGCGCTTCTTCCTCAGTTGGAATATGGTTCGTTCTCTCTCACAGTTGGCTGCTGCTGATGGTTTCCTTACAACGGATAATATTATTGTCATTATTTTGAATTCACTTATGATTTTAATGTTGATTTTATGTACTTCAGTTCTCGGTTAATTATTATCACCTTTTTGCGGTTCTCTTGTGGTTATCAATATATTTTTGAGTAAAATACATAATGTGTGTGTATACTAATATATGTTGAGCTCATATGGCTTGTCCCAATTACTGAACTAATCTATTTACTATTGTATAGTAAATAGTCAACACATTTGAAGTTATTCATATGTTTAAATAGTATGGAAAATTAATCAATAGTGTGTGCCAAAAATGTTAAATTTAAAATTATTCTTCATAGCACGATAATTTACCAATGAATATTCGGAAATAAAGTTCTTTAAGCAGTATTGTGGTGCGCGCTAGTTATAAGTAGTATATGACGCGAGTTTAAATGTAATGTCTGGCAGCAGAAGATGGGGGAAGGTCAAGAAAGGAAAAGTGGGAACACAATGGAATTTGTATGAAACGCATGAATAGTGAAATGTCAGACAATGGATTGAAGATTTGCAAATTGACGATTTACGATATGGTTCTCCTATTTTACTGAGTAACTCTGTAATTTTCGATAAATACAATTTGGTTGTCTTAACCTGTGTTCTCCTTAACTACGGTATGACGCTTGCTTGTGTAAGGCAGTTTACTCACCGAGGACAATAAATGAAGTCATACAATATCCTGTGTCTATAGAAGTTAGATATTAACATCCATTGGATGTCAGCTTGTTCATGGGCGAGAACGAAGTTCCTGGACTTGATTGTCGCTAGCTGATGCACATTACTACTGATGAGTCCTACACTAGTACGAAACAGCTATCCAATGAATGCTTCCAGGTTTCAAATGATCATCTAACCTTGATCGATTCATTATTTCAATAAAAATAACTATACATGGGTGGTTTTGTTTTCTTTTCCTTTTTAAGTTAGGTGATAATCAACATTCTTTTGGTTATTTTGAATTAATCAGTTCAACAAATGATATACTACTTAAATGGACATCGAATAATTTATTATTACAAGCTTCAAATGATAAATCTTGTCATTGTTCTAATGACAAGGATGGTGATGATGATAAATATCATGTTAACGAATGTATCTTAAACAAATCTACATGTGAATTGAATAATCCTAGAGGAATTCGTGATAAATGCGCTACTGCACAACACTCACAATTAATCAAAACCGCTAATAAAAGAGTTGATAAGTAAGCTTAAATTTATTTAATTTCAAAGATTCAAACATCAGCTGAAAGCATTATATTGAATATAGTTCAGAAATTTTACAACATGGACTGATGATAGTTAGACAATTAGAGGTTAAGCATTCGGTGCGCAAGAACTAAGGTCCTGGGTCCTATTCTTGCATGTTGGAGTCGAGGATGCATATTACTACTGATAAGTGTCGTACTGGGACAAAACGGCAATCTAGTAATTCCTCAATTCTAATGATGATCTAACATTGACCGATTCATGATTTCAAAGTAACTTAACAATCTTTACTTTACTTGCTTACGCCTGTTACCCCCCAAATGGAGCATAGACCGCCCACCAGTTTTCGCAAACCAACTCTGTCCTGGACTTCCCTTCATAGTTCTTTGCAGTTTTTGTTTATTATTCTGATGTCTTTCTATATTTCTCGGCGTAATGTGTTCCTTGGCCTTCGTCTTTTCCTTTTGCCTTGAGGATTCCGTGTGAGGGCTTGTCTCGTGACGCAGTTAGGTGCTTTTCGTAGTGTGTGTCCGCTTCTTCCTGATTTCCTCCTCCACTGGAATCTGGTTTGTTCTCTCCCACAGTTCGTTGTTTTTGATGGTGTCTGGCCAACGAATACGAAGTATTTTGCGTAGACAACTGTTCATAAACACTCGTATCTTGTGGGTGATGGCTTTCGTAGTTCTCCATGTTTCCGCTGCATGCAGTAGAACTGTCTTGACATTTGTATTGAAAATCCTGATTTTGGTTTTGGTTGAAAGTTGTTTGAAGTTCCAGATATTTTTCAACTGTAGAAATGCAGCCCTTGCTTTGCCGATTCGCGTCATCACATCTGCACCGGATCCACCTTTCTCGTCGATGATGTTGCCCAGATATGTAAAGGTGTTAACGTCCTCCGAAGCATCTCCATCAAGAGTGATTTGGTTGGTGCATGTTGTGTTGCATCGGAGAATTTCGCTTTTTCCTTTATATATGTTGAGACAACTTAACAATCTGCATAACCCTATAATGAAAATAACTAATAAATGTTAATAAGAATGGGACATGTGATTTGGAATTCCTTAAAACTGCGCAACCACAATTATTATGAGGAAGGAACTTTAGTGTAAATTAAAAATTAGGTAAACACCACATACCTCCTGTGCTTATGTCAAACATTTTTTGTTTCCCAAGGATGCAACTGAAACCAGACCAAAAATATCACTTTAATTAACTTGCCGCTATGTAATTGAACCAGTTATTACGAAAGTCCTATCTGTGATGGTTGATTTCTAAGAGCAAACCAAAACTTTCCGTTCTTTGTTACATGCTATAGTCACTCGAACTAGCGATAAAAACTTTTCTTCATTTTGAATTCTCAATTACTACGTTTCGATCAATATTTTTTAGCGTTAAGTTATCTGTAATATGATTTTCGTTCAAATAGATTTAAATGACTATTCATCATTATTCGACCGATACAATCTCACAGGAAATACAGATGAAATGTGATCATTATCAATCAATGATTTGGTTCAGTTTATTTAATCACTTGATATTCTGTTTGTGTAGAATTTAATTCACTGCATGATCCAGTTATTGAGATTTTGATGATGACATAATTTTACACTCAATAAATAGAATATGATAGCTGTGGCTAAGTGAATAACGCGTTAGTGTTTGGAACAAAAGCTACTGAGTAGTGGCGTCGACATCAACTCTACCATCTTACTATATTCAGATGATAAGTCCCAAATAGGATAAAACGCTCGACCTTGATTCCTCTACTTGGGTACGTTTCGTCCACTCTATGTCGAATAGTTGTGAAGTAGTCAAGCGTGTTAGTCACTTCACTTATCTGGGGAGTCTCATCAGTGCTGATAGCCTGGTGACTGACGAAATCTCAGCGCGGATATAGAAAGTTAGATTTGCTTTTGCCAACCTGTGTCACTTATGGCGTACGCAAGATATCCGTTCGCTAACCAAAGGACGGGTGTACTGCGCAGCAGTTCGTTCCGTTCTCTTATATGGCTGTGAAACATGGCCGTTAAGAGTAGATATACGTAGTTTACTAGTATTTGATCATAGATGTCTTAGAAGCATTGCTCGTATACTGTGGGACAACCGAGTAAACAATGCTGTCGTTAGGAAACGAGTACTACATAAGGATGGCAGATCGATAGATGAAGTAATGAAACTTCATCAGTTAAGGTGGTTGGGACATGTGTTATGAATGTCTAACCACCGACTGTATCGACGAGCTATGTTTTGTGGTGTAAGAGTTGGTTAGAAGAAAGCTAGGGGCGGCCAAAAACCAAAACACGTCAAAAATCCATGAAGTCACTGACAAGTAGACTGAGTCATGTTGATAGATGTAGATTACCTGGTTGGGGTCCACGAGACGAAAGTCATCAATGGTTAGAGACCTTGAACGACATGGCCCAAAATCATTTGCAATGGCGCAAGTGCATCCATTCGTTGAGCTCTCTCAAATCCTAATCTTCTGGATTCGTCAGCACCTATACCTTTGTCTTTCTAACCTTATCTCACTGAATTATACTTCTCGAATCATTTCTTCGAACCCTATTCTTCTTCATTACCATTAATACCTCTACTATCTTTATCATTATGGGATTTGATTTGACATTTGCGTCTCTGTGCTAATGTGTTATGGCAACATGAACTTATGTACATACGTACGAAGTTCTACGTTGCAAGTGGTTGATGTCGAATAGTTACGTTCAGTATTCATTAAAAAAATGTTAAAGAAAAAACTACTCTACTACTTCCAAGTTCAAAGCCTTTTAATTATTAAATCGGGTATTTTATTTATGATCTGATATTTTATTGATTTTTATTTCTAGTGATTTCCAATTTGATATATTCACAGTATCAATGAACAAAATGGAATATGTTCATCTACATCAAGGTAATCTACATAAATGTCACTTAGTAAATTAATAATCAATATTGTTTTTACTAATCAATACAAGTTCAATAATCCAAGCGAATTTAAATTGACTTTTACGATTCAAACTTTCATTTATTATAATTGATATAGAGAGAGCCAATCAAAAATGGCCAAATGAGAAGGTCTTTTGGCGACCAATAGAAAATGTCCTTAAGGACGAAGACCTATTATTGGTCAAGAGACGATTTTCTTTTCGAAGGAGGCTGAATCAGTGCATCAACAAGCATTTGGACACATTACAAGCTAGCTAAATAGCGTTCCTATTGTAATCTTGTCTTCTTACTTGAGGAGTCAGATTGTGTGGTTGACGTGTATGGCGTTCAGATCTGGTACAACTAATATATATGTATATATAACTGGCTTCTTACTGCAATGATTGTCTATTTTGGTAAATCTGTTTGACCCTTAACAAGGATAAAAACATCCTGCTCAATATGATAAAATCGGTTTTATTTAATTGCAAATAAAATTAGAGTGTTGAACCAGTAAATATTCATGGCTAAACAAACGACAAGTTTGGTGCACAGCATTTCGCTTCGTCCTACTTTGCGGATGTGATGCATGGCCAATAAAAGTACAGGATGTTCGTAGGTTACTAGTTTTAGATTATAGGTGTCTTCAAAGCATTGCTTGCATATTTTGAGACAGTTGAGTAAACAATGCGGTTGTTAAGAAACAGGTATTAGGTAAACATGGAAGATCAATAAATAAAGAAGTGAATCTTCATCACTCGAGGTCGTTGGGACATGTGTTACGTATGAGCAACCACTCACTGTATCAACGAGGAATGTTATCTGGTGTAGAAGTAGATTGGAAGGAAGCTATGGGCGGCTGGACCGAAACATGGCAGAAATCCATGAAGTCATTGACTAGTTGACTGAGCCATGTTGGTAACAGTAGACTACCTGTTTAGGGTCAGCGAGTCGGTTAGAGATGGTGAATGACACTGCTCAAAGTTGCTTGCAATGGCACAGATGCAGCTGCTGTGTAATCAGTAAGTCAGTAAACCTCAGATAACTAATCAATAACAAAAAACCAATGATGAAACGCTTAACCTATAAACCACTAAGTCGGGATCCATTGGTGTTAATGTACAATTTCACTCAATCCATGACACTGTGTGACCTTGTCTATTGTCTTAGGTAAGTAAGTGATTGAGAGATGGTAGATGCGTATTACTGATGAGTCTTATGTTAGGACGAAACGGTCGTCCAGTACTCCTAGGTCTTTCATTGTAGTCTAATACTTATCAATCCATGGTTTCAATGAATTTCCAAAACCCAATAATGACAATATACCGATATTTGAAATCATTAATCAATCATCATTGCTAGACCAGCATTAGAAACCTGGAAGCACTGGACGGCCGTTTCGTCCTAGTATGGGACTCCTCAGCAGTGCGCATCCACGACTCCTGCTCCTCGCAGGATTCGAACCCGGGACCTTTGGCAGTGTAGGCGAACGCCTTACCATCGGACCACTGGGCCGGCATCCAACGGCCGTCCAGTGCTCCCAGGTTTTTAATGGTGGTCTAACAATGATGATTGATTAATGATTTCAAATGTGTAAAAACGCAAACCTCCAAAACTGTGCCCCAATATATCGATAATATTATCACCTTTATGTTTTCAAAACAGCAAAAATGTGTTTTCTCTTAATTATCCATATTCTAAGTCGTTGATGTTTCAAAAATATTTTGTTTAAATTTTAATTTACTACTTATTTAGAATGTAAATTATTTTTTAAACTTACTTCTTTGACATAATATTAGATTATCATGAAAAAACCTTGGATTATTTTAAAAAAAACGTTTTTCTTTGTAATTTTTCACAATGAAAATATCTCTTCATTTTTTCTTACAGATAAATCTAGTGAATATTGTATCATTTTAATTGGTTCCGATGGTATTCCAAATCCACCAATCAGATTATTTGGTGGATTCAATGCTGTTTATAATTTTCTATTATGTTTAGATCAAGGATTACAACCAAATGGTTGTTTAAATCCATCACCTGCCGATTTAAATGGTAACCGTTTTTTTTTGAAATAAAATTAAAATTGATGTTCCTATGTTGATTGTTAATATGAATGCCAACTGATTAGTCTAGAGGTTAAGTGTTCGATCGTGAAACCGGAGATCCCGAGTTTAATTCTAATGAGTAGGAGTCTAAGGTGCGCGCTATTGATTAGTTCCATACTAGTGTGTAACGGTGTAGTGAATGAGAACGCAGGTGGGGCAACCGAATTGTATGTAACAAAAATTACAGAGTTACTCAGTAAAATCGGGAAAACCATATCGTAAATCGTTAATTTGCAAAATATCAGTTCATCATATCGAACTGGACTGTTACTGTTGCAAACAACATCAATCCATTGTCACTCACTATTCATGCGTTTCATACAAATTCCATTGTGTTCTAACTCTTCCTTTCTTGATCTTCCCTCATCTTCTGCTGCCAGATATTACTTTGACACACGTCATATACTACTTATAAGTAGCTCGCACCACAAAGGCTGTCTAGCGGTTCCGGTTTATAGTATTGGTCTAATATTGATCGATTCATGATTTTAAATGAAAAGAAATAATACTTATATCGATATAATGAAAGTAAGAATGATCAATAATATCATTTTGAATATTGAATTCGAATAACTAAATACTAACAACAACAAAAATATTTTTTTACATAACAGACAAATATTGAACTTTTCCATGACTACGATTTCAATAAACTTTACAAAACTGCTAAGAATCAATTCATATTAATATTGTGACATGTTTTAACTACGTGTTATAATTGAATCAAGCTGAATTTTGTTGTTTGCCTAAAATTAGGCTATTTAATTGTAAATTTGCAGATATTTCAGGTATCTATTCGATTACTCTTACTTGTAAATCATTGTTACTTTTAAATTCGTATGTACATTTCTACAGATAAGTGAATTAGTATCTGAAGTAGGATTAAACACAATGATTTACAAATCAATAATCGTGGGGTTTTTTTACGCCTGCACATAAGCACGTCAACTTGATATACTTGAACTATTATGAGTTCACTTAGTCGGAAACAACAGCAAGGACCGAGGATCCGGTGACACAATATGTTACACAAATCCGATTATTACAACCCCTACATTTAGTTAAAATAAGAAGACATGATATGAAGTAGAACGCGTATTCTAGGAGCATCCAGAAAGTACGAGGTCCGAATCCAGAAGAGAATCAGGATCCCCGACTAGAGATACGCGACCGAACAGTGGTCCTGGTTGTGGTCATAAAATGTTACAGATAATGCGTATTTATACATTTTGGTCGAATCGGAAGCACCATCGAATTCTGTGGCATTGACAGTTAAGACGACCAATAGGAAGTAACATTTGAAATGACATTGACAGTCCGGATGACCAATAAGCGACAACATTGAAGTATTTGACTTTGACAGTTAAAACGACCATAATTTTGACCAACAGAAATCGACCAATAGGATTTGACCAATAATTCTCTTAGGATATTGGATGAATATCCTAACAGGTTTGATTATAGAGTTATGAAGATTGTTGTTTTCACATTAAAACCAAAGTTGATCAGTGTTAAACATTAACACTGTTGAAATCCTGCTCATTGGTCTAGAGGTTAAACATTCTCGCACGCGGGTCATAAATACGCACTGTTGATGAGTCCTATCTCTAGTCGGACAAAACAAGCGTCTAGCGCTTCCAAGTTTTTAATGTCGCTCTTACAATGATCGATTTGTAATTCCAATGATATCATAATCTTAAAAAAACTATACAATTCATAAAGAGTTATAAGTAATCATTTGTGAATGTAATCAAAATGTTTCGTAATTTAAGTTGAGTCGTTTTATCTAGCGAATTAGAAATTACTCTTACTCTACGATTATTACTTGAATAAGTATGAGTTTAACCCGATTACAATTTTTCTAAGGAACTTTATAAAATTAAGGAAGAAAGTAGTTGTGGTTTTTATTCTGTCGTCAATTTTTGACAAACCACTTATATTCTATATAGATCCCCTTCATGATATATTTGTCAATATTCGACTCCTGCGAGTAGCGTGAGTCATGGATGAGCACTGCTGAAGAGTCCCATACCAGAACGAAATGGCCATCCAGTGCTTCCAGGTTTCTAATGATGGTCTAACAATGATTGATTGATGATTTCAAAATAATTCAACAATCTTCAAAACCCTATAATCCAAATGATATTCCTAAAAAGTCTTTCCTGAACTGATAAAATACAAAGTTCACGTTTTCACTCCTAATTCAAAAGTGATACCAAGGTTATTATGCCATCACAAAGAAGATGAAAAAATCAATAAAATCCAATCCATGCTGTAGTATGTTTTCGTACATTAAATGCAGTTGATGTAGGGTTGGTGAATTCCATTGATAACTTTCGGTAGTGTCGTGATTTGGTCGGTACATGATTGAATTTAACAGAACCCACCCTGTTGATCTCGAAGTTAGGTGTCTACTGAATTTTTTTTTGTCAGTTTAACAACACTCGGTTAAAGACTGCCTGGTATTGAGAGTTGTGTGATAAATACCTCAGTGGTTCTCATATTTCCTGAAATCTCCTTTCTTCGGTATCTTGGTGTGTCCTACTTTCTAATCTCTTGGTATTTGTTCTTCCTTACAAATCTTTCAAAAAAAGAACGTGGAACATCTTTACAGTGAATTATTAATCATCATTAATCTAAATAGTACATTTTAATGAATAAGACGATTTTATTAAACTTACTCAAATCTTATTGATGATTTAATATTTTCAATTGTAAATTGATTATCAGTTGATTAAAACGATTTCTTTCACAAAGACAATAGTATAAATTTTTTGAAACCATGAATCGATCAATCTTAGACCATCATTAGAAACCTGGAGGCACTGGACGGCGGTTTCGTCCTGGTATGGGACTCACCAGCAGTGCGCATCCACGACTCCTGCACCCCGCAGGATTCGAACCCAGGACCATCGGTATTGTGCGCGAACGCTGTGCTGTGCTGAGGAGTCCCATACCAGGACGAAACGGCCGTCCAGTGCTTCCAGGTTTCTAATGGTGGTCTAACAATGATCGATTCATGGTTTCAAAAAATGTGTAACTTAACAATCTTCACAACCCCGTAATGCAAACAGTATAAATAAAACTGATTAATTCTTTCCTTTTCAGAAGTCTTTGAAAAAACTGAGATCCAAAGTATACAACGACCAAATGAAAATCAACAAATCAAGTCGAAACTTTGGAATTTCATTGATTTTCGAAGTAGAAAAACTGAATCAAATGAAATCTGTAAACAACTAACTGATATCAAGTGTAAAAATCGTGACGACAATGATGTTGAGAATAACACGGACAAAACCAACTTGACTCAATTGGATAATGAACAGAAGAATAAAACATGTTCTCAAGATAAAATGAACGAATTAAAAACATCATCATCATCACCATCATCGACAGTTTGTACAGAAAAATTCAAAAATATAGAAACTAAAGGTGTGATTTTCAAAATTACACGTTACGAAGTAAGTTGATTTAATTTCCTCCCAACAGAGAAGTTTTATATATATATATATATATATATATATATATATACGTACGTATAATCCTAGTGATGAATTTAACAGATATCATTTTTTTTAGTGAAACGAAGTCAAAACAATTCAAGAATCAATTTATTCAACTGACAAGCGCGAAAACCATTTTAAATATTCATTACTCTCTCTCTCAATTCTAGTGTGAAGTACTATCTACTCTATCATCAGCAGAAAAAGATTCTTTAATCGCATGATACACTTAAAAACAATTAACAGATTAAGACTCAATGAATGTAAATCTCATGCTTAAAAATAACAAATTTTTCATCGCAACCACTTATTCTCTGCTGTTATTGAAAAATTACAGTTTTAAACAATAGACTATAGCCATCTGTTTTCATCGACCTTATGTTCCTTTGATTACAAATGGCATGTTAAGACTGAAAGTTTGGGAGTGCCTAGAGCAGTAGTCAATTACGCGGTTCCATCAGATTCTTTTAAAAAGCTGAATAAACCAACTATTGGATACTAGTTGGTTGAAGATACTTGGACAAAAACATCTTAGGATAAGTTGCTCGTCAACAGGATATACCTAGAATCTTGAAGAAATTAGAGTTCCTTCCATATATATATATATATATATATATATATATATATATATATATTATTTCAGCCCACATTAGACAGTTTTGAAACTCCAGAAGTTACATTTGTCCCAATTAGAATGTGAGTGACAAGCCTACAGGACTGAGATATTTACACTAACTAATCATTGGATGATAAACAATGTCATGATTGTATAATCAACATAACTAATCGATTTCTATCGATCAAGTTTTAGTGTGGCCGTCAACCTACTCGTTAAAATATATAATACTGAAGGGGGATTTGTGGTGATTGTATTGTTTTCATAGTTGAAAGCATGAACTGATCCTAGCTGGACTATCATTAGAAACCTGGGAAAATTTGACGTCTGTTTTATCCTAGAATGGGACTCACCTGGTTCGATTTCCGCGTGCGGAGGTTGTGCAAGCGTGGTGTAGATGTGTCTTTAGTAGCAAGGAATCAAACTTCAATTCGGGAGGAGTGAATACGTTATCAAACAAATTTCTCCTTTATTTTTGGATGACATTCTTAGGCGAACCTCATTTGTGCAACAGTGGTAATCGAAATCCCGAAACGGTTTTTAATTTGAATGAATTTATTTCGCACATTCTCTTAAGAAAACAGACGATAGAAACCAAAAACGAAGGAAAGGGAAGCGGAGAACGCTAATGAGTCAACTCAATTGATGAGTCATGACTAATATTTATAGCTGGCTAAAAATTATCTAGACATCTGATTGGCTACGTAAACAATACATGCACACACAAACAACAGTGAGCAAGACTGTAAACCAATAATTGACAAGGTCAAAAGACACAAGAAGAAAATGTTCATTGATTTATCTAAACTCTGAGACAAACTATGTGGACTTAGCATATATTTTAGTACAAAAACAACAAGTCCCAAGCCAAGGCCTAACGGCCGTCCATTAGTTCCAATTTTCTGATGTTGGTCTTAATAGGATTAATTGATATTTTCTCATTTTATTCATCAGAGTATGTTTCTGTTTTCTTTTACTAAGATCGCAAACAATAAGAATCATGATGTTTTTATGGAACAAGACAATAAACATATACAAGATCAATTATCAATGGAACCAACAAACAACAATGAATTAAAACAAACAACAGATGAGCAAAATGATCAAACATCTCATAAAGAAGAATTCATCAATTCAATGGATATAGTTGTAACAATCAAATTACAATTATTGTTGAGAACTTTCAAAGCATGTAAGTTGATTTTTAACTTATGTTATCATTAGAAGAATATACAATAGAACACAATCAAGCAAAATGATCTATTCACTATAACTAAATTTATCCTTGAATTCAAAAGTTGGCTAATTTTGCGGCTTAAATATTTCATACACTCCAACGCAGTGTGTTAGAGATGATATCAACTAAAACATTTTAATACATAATAGATAGGATGTTGTTAGCAATGAAATCTAGAACAAGCGTCTTTAAGTTCCTCAGTGGTCAAGAGGTCAGGCGTTCGCGCGCAAGACTGAAATTCCTGGGTTAAAATCCTGCGAGTAGCACGAGCCGTGGATGAGCATTGCTGATGAGTCCCTTACCAGGACGAAACAGCCGTCCAGTGCTTCCACGTTTCTAATGGTGGTCTACCAATGATTAAATGATGATTTCAGTGTTTAAGTTTTTCAGTCATAAAATTGTAAGAACTGTATTTATCAATTTGAAACACCTCATATATTTTTTTAAATAAACCATTTCATTGTGGGGTTGTAGAGATTGTTGAGTTTCACTGAAATCATGAATCGAACAGTGATAGACCACCAGTAGAAATTTGGGATGACCAGATGGCCGTTTTTTCCTTTAATATGGGACTCATCAGTAGTGCGCAGCCACTACCTCCACTCTCAGGAATCAAAACCAGGAACTTCGATATTGCAAGAGAATGCTTAACCTCTAGATCACCGGGGTAGCATCCAACGATGTTAATGTCTAACTTCAACTCTGTCGGGTGTGAAGCAATTCCTACAGAAATTAGTGGATAAGGTCGCGCTATATCGTGGATTGATTGAGGTTAAACAATAACATCATCAGACTCCGGCTCAATAGTTTACAGGTTAAACGTTCGTGCACAAGATCGGAGGTTTTAGGTTTGAGTCTCTTGTGCGAAGGTCGTAGATTCGCACTGTCGATGAGTCCCAGACTAGGATGAAACAGCCACCTAGTGCTTTGAGGTTTTTAATGGTGGTCCAGCATTGATCGATTCATGATCCCAATAAATATTTTCTAGGGTTTTTCAAATCAATGGAGCACTCAAATGCAATCAATTGACATTTATCCTTTTAAATACAAAATAAATCAAACTAAAAAGTTTCCAAAAGTTACAAATGCACTACTACAACTATGATTCTCTCGCTTTAAAAAATCAACAGAATTCCATATTTATCAAAGTCATTCAGTTCACTGATTAGAAATGACAAAATGGTCAAAACGAATAGCTGCATAAATCAGTACAACTACAACCAAAATTTCATCATAGTTATAGGGCAATTTGAGTGAACTGATCATTAATGAATATCATGAGTATTCGAATTATTTGTAAGAGGTTTAACTGATAGATCAAAGGGCAGTCCACACATTGCAAGAAATAAAACATCAATGATTTATCCAGCTGTTAGGAAAGCAGGTAACAAGTGAATTACGAAGTCAGACTCAGAAGATGTGGACTGGTACAAGATATGATGGTTAACTGATGAGTGGGATGTATAGTTTAGCATAAGTAAAGTTTACTTAAGTTCAACAAACGTAAATCTTTCTGAATCTTAAGCATTAAAATTACTCCTTTTTCAAAGAATTTATGTCTAAATCTAAATTTTACAAATATACAACTGATTATCGCAATGATAAAAACGTTAGAATCAAAGAACTGTTCAAATGTTTTCAGATTATTCAATGTTCAATTTCCCCAACTTTTGACTTTCTAATAAATTTTTTTTAAATATTTTGTTTTAATTTTCTAAAGGGCTTACATACACTCGCCATATGAACAATGTACGAAAACTCTTATCATCACTAGTCATACATTCTGACAGGAACTATACAAGTTCACTTGATCGACATGAGAAACTAACTAGAGAAAAATGGAATGAACTATTTGTAAATATTCCAGATAAGCAAGTAAGTAAATTAAATGAATAATTATACTTGTTTATAGTGTTATACCTTTTCTGGCAAAGTTCAAGTACCCAAAAAATCTGATATATTTAGTATTTTAAAGAAACTTATAACTTCTTATTTTACCATTTAAAACTTTCTTTACATTTCTAAATATCATAAAGAAAAGATTGTCATTATATTTTAACCGATCACAAGCTACTTCATTAAACTTTGTAACTTAACAATCTCCATGTACTCTCTAGTGACTAGCTTCGTGACGAAGTTTCTCCAAGTCCTAGTCAGGAATCCTGACCAGTGGAGTTCAGCCCTGTTCTGGGGTGAAGCAGTGCTCACAGAAGATAGTGGATGAGGTTGTTCAAGACCGTGAATTGATTGAAGTTAGATATTTACGCCGTTGGATGCCGGCTCAGTGGTCTAGAGTTAAGTGTTCGCGCATGAGATCGCAGGTCATGGGTTCGATTCCCGTGAGGAGCAGGAGTTATAGATGTGCATTGCTGATGAGTTCTATACTATAGTATGAAACAACCGTCCAACGCTTCCACGTTTCTAATACAGGTTTAACATTGATCGATTCATGATTTCAATGAATCTGTCCTAGAGAGTAGAATATTTCAATTCTTATCACTTCTCCCTTCATGCTCGATTTGAAAAATTGTCACGCTTAAACAAAAAATTCGACTGATAAGAAAACTTTGATCGATTTCTAAACTCACCAGTGATCTAACCATTTACATCTTGAAAGTGTTGAAATAACATACTTACTTACTTACGCCTGTTTTCCCCAATGGAGCATAGGCCGCCGACCAGTTTTCTCCAACCAACTCTGTCCTGGGCTTCCCTCTCCAATTCTGTCCAATTTTTGTTCATTCTTCTCATGTCTTTCTCTATTTCTCGGCGTAATGTGTTCCTTGGCCTTCCTCTTTTCCTTTTGCCTTGAGGTTTCCATGTTAGGGCTTGTCTTGTGACGTAGTTAGGTTCTTGAAATAACATAATATGACTGAAAGCACCACTCGCCTAAAACAGAAGTCGATTTTCAAAAATCGATATCCATCCTATAGTTTTAAAAAAATACCTTGACATCATTCAATATGGTGTAAGCGTTTGTTTTATGGAATTGTGTAAAACAGTAGAGAACGTATTTTCAGAATGTACAAATTAAGAAAAATAAACAAGAAGTCAAAGGCTATGGAACATGTACTGAATTGGCTTCAAAATCAGTTCAGATAAGATAAAATTGGGGACTAGAAAACCGTTTTCATCAGTAGCAAAACATCTAAATGAAACGGGGCATAGGATTGACATGAAAACAGCTTATGAAAAGTTACATAGAAATAGTTAATGACGAATCGTGATGTTTATGGAAGCCTTAGCTATGTGTAAATTTATACCTCCATTTACGTGAACTGAAACAATTTGTTGTAAACTTGAATTTAACCTGGTAGGTTAGTGTGTCAATTTCCTAACCTTTCTATACGAAGTTATTTTTCTCAATCTCCTTTTTATGTCCAATTGTGACCTTATATTTATTTGAACCTTTATTCAATTGATCGTTTAATTTTCACATAAAATGCCTTGTCAAGTGTGTGTGTATGCATGATCAGATGGTTCGAAATGTTTAGCACAAATAGATTACCTAATTTCATATCAACTAAATCTCCTTATGGTTCTATCAAAATTTATAAAAGGGACTAATTGTTTTAAATTGAGAAAATGATTGATTTTCACGTATTCATAAAGTCCTAAATAAAATAGAATCATACTAAAATAGACTGGGTAGTTCTAGGCAGGGTGAAATGTCTCTGTCAACTAGGCTATGACTATTCTTTACTGGGTGTATATCAATACCCAACCTGTTTATTGACAAGGATTTTTATGGTAGAGTTTCGTTCTCTGAGCTGGATGCTTTCATTGTAGTTATGAGTCATATATGGATAAATTCGAATATTTGACGTTTGTGTTGATGATATCTTGATTAGAAGAACAATGAAAGCTCCACAACCAAAGCATTCAGCTCAGAGAACGAAATCCCATCATAATCATCCATTTGAACTAGAAATTTTCTCCATCATCTCACATGAATATGTTTAAATCGAACTTCCAACTGAGTTCTTACGTTTGATCAATAATTCACGGTCTTTATTGATTTAATAGCATTTCTATACTGGATATCATAATTATAACCTAATATTTTGTACAGTATACTTCCAAACATTTAAATTAATTTCCTTGATAAATTTTATCATGATATGAAAGCTGGGTTTTTTTAAATCATGAGTCAATTACTGTTAGACCAGCATTAGAAACCCTGAAAGCAATGGACGGCCGTTTTGTCCTAATGTGGTACCTATATCAATAGTGCGCATTTATTATCCTTACTTGCATGAAATCGAACCCAGGACCTTTGGCCTCACGAGCGGACGCGTAACCTATAGACCACTGTGCTGACATCCAATGCTGTTAATGTATAACTTTGATCCATCCAAGGTCTTACGCAACCTCATCCACTGTCTTCGGTGACTAACTACACCACAACCGACACAGGTCACGGCTTCTTATTTGAAGTGGGAGTAACTTCCCTTACAGAGCTAGTTACTAGTGAGTACATGATAATATTCATCATGAGAATTGTTATTTAAATCTTAAATGATTAGCTTAGAATATCATATTTTTGTTCAAAAATTAATTGACAAGCTTTTTTGTACTTTTCATTATTTTTCACAGAATTTTGATCCCCGTTGTATTTATGAATGTATTTATTATGGTGGTTGTGAATCGGAATTACGTAATGAAGTAAGTGCTTGTACACATAGTTTTCAAATAAGGAGTTTATGTGTAAAACATATGGTTTATAACAAATTACAGAATACTCTCACCTAACTGACAATCACATATATTTGAGGAGAAATAACAATGTAAGGGGAAATAATGATCAGCATGTATCATGCGAACAATGTTGGTGCATAGATTCATTTTGATTAAATATTTTTAAGGGTTACGAATGAGATAAAGATTAGGTTGCATGCAAATTAAACAGAACTAGAAAGGAAAGCCCAGGAAAGAGTAGGTTGGAGAATGCTGGTCAGTGGTCTATGTTGCACTAGGAGTGACAGTGTGGTGCGAGCTACTTATAAGTAGTGTATGACGTGAGTGTCAACGTAATGTCTGGCAGCAGAAGATGGGAGAAGATCAAGAAAGGAAGAGTTAGAACACAATGGAATTTGTATGAAATGCATGAATAGTGACAATGGATTGATGTTTGGCAACAGGAACAGTCCTCCAGTTCGATAGGATGAACTGATATTTTGCAAATGAACCATTTACGATATGGTTTTCCTCTGTAATTTTCGTTAAATACAATTCGGTTGCCCTCACTTGTGTTCTCGTTTACTACAACAGGTGTAAGTAAATAAGTTTGATTGCCGAGAAAGAATCTGATGTCTAGAGATTAACAGTTAGTGCATAAGACCGACGTTCTTGGGTTCGATTCTAGTGAGGAACAGGAGTCGTGGATGTGCACTGTCAATGTGTCTCATACTAAAGCATAAAAAGACCATCCATTGCTTCCAAGTTTCTAATAATGGTCTAACAATGACCGATTCATGATTTTAATGAAATTCAACAACCTTCGCCACCTTACGGTGACAAAAAAACACTGTCAGTTCAACCACTGACGTTCATATTAATCTTTGACATCATTTTCCTATTCACTTAATAGATATTTCGATTAGAATTAGTAAAAGTCACTGAAAATTATGCATCCTTTCAATCGGTCATAATAACAACATGATTTTTATCTGAATAATCAACTTGAAATTTTAAACTGTACTTAATTACATAATTTGAACAGAATCATACGTATCAATCGATAATTACTGCTATGAAATACTAGCATAGATTTTTCAGGATTTTAGTATTTTAAATGTTTTCTGTTTGGAGTATAGAAAATAATCGAACACTGAAGAAAATGACAGATAAACAAATAAAAAGGGTAAATATAATCAGCATGACTGTCCTGAATTGTGAGTATTCACTGATTAGGAGTCCAATACTGATGCTCTGAGTAGTGTGTTCAATAACCCACTTCTAAGAGTCGAACCCTAAGTCCTTCGAACTCGTACAACAATGCAAAACATTTAGAACAATGACTTGGGATCCAATGGTGAATATGTCAAACTTCAGTCATTTCGTGTTATTGTGGTAAAACCATCTCCAATTGTCTTCAGTGCATACTTTCTTCACACCTTACACGAATGAACTCAGCTGGCCATGTGGTTTCCCATGAAAACTCGGGAGGCTTAAGCCATTATACCATTCTTCAATGTTTCGGAATCGTTTTATTTGTCTACCGAATAACTTTTAGCTTATCGTAATGCTCAGTTTTCGGCTGTATACGCAAGTGAAACCGATTAGTTTTTTCGATGGTGTTATAACGCTACTACGTATGGCTATTCAGTCTTAGCGGCGTCCAATTCAAATATCCCAATACGACCCAAAATGCTATTGCCAAATCTCCTAGATATCATAATGCAACACAGTGGGATGAAGTTGTTTACTGGGTCGAGAACAGAAGAGAGGTAGGCAGGAAGAAACGGAATTGGAATCGGAATCATGAAGGCTTACAGATAGTGCGTATTTATACGTTAAGGTCGAATAGGAAAGAGCATCAAAGTATGTGACATTGACAGTTTAGGGCGACCAATAGGAAAGAACATTTGAAATGACATTAACAGTCCGGAAGACCAATAAGAGACTACATTGAAGTATTTGACTTTGACAGTTAAAACGAGCATAATTTTGACCAATAGAAATCGAGCAATAAGATTATACTTCTAAAAATAGTATTTTCTTAGGATATTTGGTGAATATTCTAACAGATGGTAAAATATCGGTTGTAAGCAGCCAGATGAGAACTTAATGAAATTACATGAGTTTCTATCATTCTCCTCAAATGTTTTTTTCCACATTCTCTTCGATATAATAATTGGAAAATCTGTGTACAAATTAATTATCCTTTAGGACACAAAGCAAGTAATATAGACATGTATTTTCATGGTAATCTATCATAGCTGTGAATATACAATTGTCAATAAGTTAATACCAATCTATTTAGTAAAAAACAAGTTATCTTTTAAAATTTTTGAGTAGCTCAAAACAATGTAGATGTTTATAACTATTGTATTGTTAATACGTAGTCATGAAAGATTTTTTTCATCGAATTTCACGAATATATCTTTCGTTATACATATATTTTAATACATATATATGTCTATAGGTTTGGCCTTATCTATTAGGTGTATATGATTGGACAATGAATAAAGAGGAGAAAAACACTATTGATGAACAATTTAAAGTACATTATTATGAAAAATTAAAAGAATGGACTAAAATCGAAGCAATTATTCATGAGTTAGAACAAAATGAAAATGCACATACAACATTATCATCACAAATGAATTATAGTCAACTTATGAATAATTCATCACGTGATTCTACATCTTGTTTAAACAAATGTAAAGTAAGGATTACTAATTATGTCTTTATATTTTTTCGTACTTACTTACTTACTAACTTTCACGTGTTACCCTTTTAATGGAGCATAGGCCGCTGATCATCATTCTCCGACCTACTGTGTATTGGATCTTCCTTTCTAGTTTTGCCCAACTGTTATTCATTCTTCCCATGTCTGTTTACATTTCTCGACGTAATGTGTTGTTCCTTGGTCTACCAGTTTCTTTTTGGCCTTGAGGACACCAAGTGAGGTTTGGTCTTGTGATTCAGTTGAATAATTTTCTCGATATGCGTTCTATCCACTTACAGCGCTTCTTCATGATTTTCTCCTCCATTGGGATCTGGTTTGTTCCCTCCCACAGTAAATTGTTGCTGTTAATAAACATTTCTATCTTTTGGATGACATCTTTCGTAGTTCTCCAAGTTTCCGCTCTATGCAATAGAACTGTCTTAACATTCATGAAAAAAACCACGATTTGTGCCAACCAAAGAAATCAATATGTTTTTTCTCTAAGTTCTAATTATTTCTGAAGTGCATATCATCATTTAAAATGTAATATTAAACCAATAGCACATAGATGTGATGGTAGAGATGTAATTCAGTAACCAATATAGTTTAACTTTAGTTTATAATAGAACCATCATCTTTTGTCAGTGGTAAGTATATTTCTCCGCCTCCAACAGCAGCTGACTATGTCCCAGATATGAACGTGATACTTCCTGACCATCCAAACTGACTATTTGAGCAAAAATGTGAGGCTGTGACAGAAAGTCTATTTTACTACCAAATCATTGGTATACCATACATTATTACTCATCCATTTCTTAACCAATGATATGCATTCATCTTTTTGGATTTAACCAATCACCATCAGGTGACCTTGTCGCTCGGCCACTTCTGATTGGTTTTCTATGTTAACCTGCTAGTACTTCATGTCTGACAGCATATATTTACACAATGAATAATGAAATCATAGGTTAAGGATTTTTCGATGAAGTTTAACGACAAATCGGTTTTCAAATAGATAAATATTGATCGATTAATGCATGTCAAACAGTTATCAAATAAAAAATTCAAAACAGTGGTTCCCGTTGATAAATTTGAACAGAGAAATGAGAAGACATATTTTGTTAGATAGTACCATTTCGTGCTTTCTCTTCAGTCACATACAAGCAACATGTTATTTGTGTAAATACAGTTTTGAAGATAAGGTCGAAATTTCTTATTTAGTATGACATTCACTCACTAGAACCATGGTAAACAAAGGTCAACATACAGTTGTTTTTGAACCCTTAAAGTTGGACTTTTCCGACCAATCAAGATAGCTTCAAGTAGTTTCAGTGTGTATGGGTTTTGATGACATGTCACAACTCTAAAGGCTGATTTTGGGTCAATTTGATGACCACCCATCATTAGATGTTTTACAATGGACGAGGCTGGGTTTCTTGATCGATTTTGAAATGATAGGCTAGGTTGATGAATCATGGATTTGATTAACCATTTTGGAATATGTTCCCCTATCCTGTCTTCCAATCGGCGATCTGTCCTCCCTAAGTAACTTTCTCCGCAGTTACATGTGAATTGGTAAATACAGTGGGATTTGGACTGAATCGGTCTTGGAGACTTGATTGGGTCTTCTCATTTCTCTGTTCAAATAAAAAATTGCAATTCTTCTGATTTGAATAAATTGTATTTGAATAAATTAAAAATATTAATAATTCATAACAGAATTATAAGCTCATTTGAATGCCAAAAACTATTATTTATTACTTTCTATCAATATATATCTATCTATAGGAAAGTATATTAAAACAATTTGAATATACGCTAGACTCTGTGAAAAAAGATGTTGTACGATGTGATAGAAATAATTGTTTTTATTCAAAGTTTGGTAAGTTTTTAAATTCGAAAATTCATTAATTATCTATCTCTGTTTTCTTTACACACCTATTTGAGTATATGAATTTTCTAAGAAAATGTTGAAAAAAAATAATGTGCAGTTGTACAAACATAAATATTTGCGAAATTTAAAATTTAACAGACAATATCGTTTACGAATTCAGTAGTATATATATGTTTATATGTCGTTGTCATCGGACAGATCTGCGGAACAATGTATTCCAAAAGGAGAGATTGAATATTGGTCATCAGAAATACAACCGAAAGTGTAAACGTTTCTTCTAATAATTGAACAACTGTGAATTTGAAATATCAGATAATATTTTCTGAGCCTCTTTTACAAATAGGTTTGTGATAATTATTTACATTGAGCAGAGCACCATGTAACTGAATCTGAAAACTGTCTTCTAGGAAAAAAGATAACCTTGATTCATCACAGATATGTGGGGAGTAAAAGTAAAATCTGATTGGTCATTAGGCGACGTTGACAAACAGACACTTTACCAACCTACCGACTACCACAAATATGTGATTTTTCCGTTACTGTTATTGATTTCTACACAGAACTCATGGTGTGGAGTAAAATATTCTCTAGAGTTTTTCTAGTCGTTTCTTTTGATTGTAAATAACGACGTATTTGATATGACATGATTTAGTCTTTGTGTAGTGTTCCATCCGAATATCCAATCTAGTGGTCACTCAGACCAGTTTAATTATCGGACTATCGTAGTATACCTTGGACTAATATATACTAATCAATATTCAAAGTTGTTAGTTTTTTAAACCTCATTTTCATTGTCGACCACTGTAACCATGTCTTACTGAAGGGTTCGTTTTGCGATGACTAACTTTAAGTCGGTTATAACAACAGACTACTTGATGTTGATTGACTGGCTAGTAGGTTGTGCAAGTATAAATTCTGTATCGGGCACATAGTTGTTTAAAACTATATGTATACTAGTAATTGCATAGGTTATTATTATTAGCTAAGTTAAATAAATCTCAGTGCATTTATAAGCGATTAGTAAGAGTAATGATAACATTATTGATTTATGGACTGAAAATTAAAAGTCACTGGCTAATTTTGAGACGTACATTTTGAAGAGATTGCTCATTTTGAGGATACTTTATTTTATGGTTTGACATTAGATGAGCAGTTGTTTAAATTATGAGGCGCCGAACATCTGTCTTATCTTGTTTTAGCTTTCATTACAAAACGAGTGCCTAAGGTTATAGTTTTGATCTGAGACATTGTTTAAACTACTTATAACATCATGAATGAGACAGGTACTCAGTTCTTTATAGTTATAAATATTTTACAATACTTTTCAATTGATATTTAGTTTAATGCAATATAATATTATGCAAGGAGTTCATCTTTATTTAGTTACTTGATTACGTACTTCCTCCTGTTACCTCTGATGGAGCACAGGCCTTCGACTAGCGAATCATTATTTTGGTTATCGTTTTTTCAAGCGAGTTGGATTTCTTTCTGTTGGATGGCGTAGCTAACCACATGCACAACCCTCCTCCTTAATCCAGGCTTGAAATTGGCAGTAACTTTAGATGGGATCCAGGTAGAGTTTTTTGCTTGGAGTCAGGAGTGGGATTCGAACCCATGCCTACAAAGTGGACTGAGGCCTAATTGCATCGCCGTTAACCTCTTAGCCATAGTGACCACTTTTTTTTATATGAGAAAAAGTCCTTGTTCTTTGAATTTTCTGATAAGTATCAATTATTAATTCTAGACGTAGTCATGAATAATTTTTGTCGTTTAATTCAATTGTAACGACGAAACGAATTTGCTTGGTTTAATACAATCATTATAATAGTCTACAGTAAACACTCTTCACTTCAAACTATACAATATTACAGACAACATCTTAGTGTCATTAGCAAATTTAACCTGTGAATATTTAAAAATTATGCTTACGAAGTTTTCAGATAATAATTACTTACCATTTTTATTCATCTGTAAGTGTTTGCTATCAGTCTTGTTCCCATAACATCTCCTTTCATCAGCCTCAGCATATATCATGTATGAATCCCATAGTAATCACCATTAGGATGGATAAATGGATAAAGTAGGATTTAAATTTTCTGAATATAATTTAGTGGTATTTCTTAAATTTCTCATTAATCATATTTACGATATAAAAAGGATACCGTTTTTTATGGTTAGTAGATATAATTATTCTGTTATAACAAATCGTAACTCTGCCTTGAGCCCTTCTACAGTTACTACCGGTTCTAAGCCCGGATAAAAGAGGAAGGTTGTGCACTGGGTTAGCGACCCCATTAGGCGTAACAAGCCTAATTAGGTAAGATTTTCATTGCAGAGTTATGGAGATTGTCGCTTATTACTGAAATCATGTATCGCTTGTTGTTTGACCAACATTAAAAACCTGGAAGCATTGGATTTCCATTTCGTGCTAGTATGAGACTCATCAGCAGTTCGCCTCCACGAGAAGACGTAACTAGTGGAGCTCAGTTCTGTCGGGTGTAGGCAATAACTACCGAAAACAGTGGATAAGGTCACACAAGACGGCGGATTGATCAAAATTAGACATTAAAACCTACGAATGCCTACCCAGTGATCCATCCGTTAGACGTTCGCGCTCAATACCTAGGTTTGAATCGTGCGAGTAGCAAGAGTGTTGGGTTCGCGCTACTGATGAGTTCTATGCCTAAATAAAATGTCTGTACATTGATACATTTTATTCATTGTCTATGTTGATCTATATTGTTTAAGATTCTCAAGGTGATCGAAATTTGGCTATAATTCAACGAATCCTCCTAACATATGTTTGGGAATTCCTCGATGATGAATATACACAAGGAATGTGTGATATTGTTGCACCATTACTGGTTTTAAAGTTAGAAAATTCAACACTACCTACATCATCATCGATTCACTTGAATAATAATAATAATAATAATAATAATAATAATAAACATTCCGACACTCCTCCTACATCATTGATAACCAATGAAATTCCATTGACAATTGAACAAAATCATGATCATTTAAAAAAGAAATTAAATGAAATTGAAATTAGTACTTATATTTTATTTAAATATATGATGGAAAATCATTTTAAAAAATTATTTGATAAAGAAACAGCCACTTATTATATGGATCAAAAATTTGATCAAATCAAATCATTAATTCAAGTAAATAGTTTTTATTTTTTGCAAAATTGTATATATCTTTTCATTTGTAACTATGAATCGATCAATGTTAGACTCACACCATTAGAAACCTGGAAGGTACTGAAAGACGGCCATTTCGTCCCGGTATGGGACTCATCAGTGGCAGTGCGCATCCAGGACTCTTGCACCCCGCAGGATTCGAACCCAGGATCTTCGGTTTTGTGCACGAATGCCCTAACCGTTAGACCACTGAGCCGGTATTTAACGGTGTTAATGTCTAACTTGATCAAATTCACGGAGTTGCGCAACCTGTATACATCCGAACAGGTTTGAACTTCACTGGTCACGACTTCCCACTAAAACTAGGAGAAGATTCCTCACGAAGCTAGTCACTAGTGGACACATGTAATTGCATTGCGGGGTTGTTGTGAAGATTGTTAAGTTTTATTTGTAACCATGAATCGATCAATGTTAGACCACCATTCAGAAAATTGTAATAGTTGTACTTATGTATACTTTACTTAACATAGATACATTAATTGGATTACTGAAATTCTTGTTTAAAACTAATGAAAATCATATTTATAATGACAGCCATATTTATTTGAAGAACAATTCAAAACCATAAATCACCATTAGGAACCTAGAAGTCCTAGACAGCCATTTCATTCTGGTATAGGACTTATTAGCAGTGCGCATCTACGATCCCTGCTACTGGCAGGATTTGAACGCAGGACCTTCGATCTTGAGCGCGAGTGTTTAACCTTTAGACCACTGGGCCGGTATCCCGACGGTGTTAGTGTCTAACTTCGATTAATCCACAGTTTTGCGAGAATTGATTCCTTCCAGTAGTTATTGCCTACACCCGACAGGTTTGAGCCTCACTGGTCACGTCTTCTTTTTAGAATTTAGAGAATTTCCTCGCGAAGCTATTCACTAATAAGTACACTGTACGATTTTTCAATCATACGGTTATCGAGATTGTTGTTTGTGATTGAAAGCAATTTAATCATCGGTGCAAACATGAACTCAGATTAAGGCAACCCGAAGTTATGAGCAGTTAATAGACAAGGTTGACAAACATGTGAATAACTCCAGAACAATGGATTGATCAATCAGTCTAACGGCTAGTGGGACAATCCATGTAGGCTTGACATATATTAGTTAGGACCACACATAACAAACCATCTTTTTAATTTACACATTTTTGAAACCATGAATCGATCAATGCTAGACCAGCATTAGAAACATGGAATCACTGAATGACGGCCATTTCGTCCTGGTATGTGACTCATCAGTGGCAGTGCGCATCCATGACTCTTGCACCCCTCAGGATTCGAACCCAGGAAGTTCAGTATTGTACGCGGATGCCTAACCTCTGAACCACTGAGCCGATATATTTTTAATGTCTCGTTTTATTGTTAGACGTGATATGATATAAACATTTTTTTAAATTGTTTTTATTTGATAGATATTAGACCCTCAATTGATTGGTCATTTACAGCAATTCAGTGATTTTACACAGTTCTACTTTTGTTATCGCTGGTTCTTATTGGATTTTAAAAGAGGTCAGTTAGTTTGTAAAGTGATTTTGTGAAAATTTTTTACAATTTTACTCTGCTTTACATCCATAAATATAAAAATCATCTTTCAATTTGTGTTGAGTTTCAGAAATTCTCCTGTTATTATTATTTTTTTAAACCTTTTAAATTCGAATCATTTATGTTCATATTCACAGGATGTGTTTTCTGATATGCAGTATGATGGATATCTAATCTTCCCGTTTAAATTCTAAAGAATATATATATGTTGTTACGCTGCTACGTATAGCTACTCAGTCATAGCGGCGTCCAATTCAAATATCCCAATACGACCCAAAATGCTATTTCCAAATCTCCTAGATATCAGAACACAACACCGTGAAATGGAGTTGTTTATTGGGTCGAATACCGAAGAGAGGTAGGCAGGAGAAACGGAATTACTAAGTCTTTCAGATAGTGTGTATTTATCCATTAAGGTCGAATAGGAAAGAGCATCAAAGTCTGTGACATTGACAGTTTAGGACGACCAATAGAAAAGAACATTTGAATGACATTGACAGTCCAGATGACCAATAAGAGGCAACATTGAAGTAATTGACCTTGACAGTTAGAACGATCATAATTTTGACCAATAGAAATCGACCAATAGGATTGTACTTCTAAAAATAGTATTCTTAGGATATTTGGTGAATATCCTAACATATATATATATATATATATATATATTTATATATAGAATTAAATAATGAGTATATCTAATCGAATTTATCACTATACATCTTGAGTATACGATTATGTGAAAACATTCATTCTCATTTTCATGATACTAGTGATCAGTGTTCAATTTACAAACATGTATTTTTCAATATGGATGATTTTTTTATACTTAGCATATCAAAGCGTATCAAAGCATTGATTTAGTTAAGGACAGACTTCCTTTAGAAAGAATCTAGTGATTGCACTTAATCCCATCTGACTGGTCTCAGTCGCTAATTGTCCAGACTATAATAAGGGACAAAAGTCCTCTAGTAGAAATCACAGAGGAATCAGTTTAACTAATTTAGTGTTTAAAATGTTAGCCTCGATAATACTTAGATGCCTAACTATTGCTCGTGAAGAGAAGACTAGAGAAAACCAGGCTGGTTCCAGACTTGAACGTGGCTGTATAGACCACATTTTCACACTACGACAGGTCCCAGAACAAAGAACCACGTTCAGACATCCCATATTAGTGATATCTCTTGATCTAAAGGCTGAGGTTCTGTGGCAGTGTCTGTCATTAAAAAATGTGCCAAGGAAGCAGATCAACCATGTACAGGCTCTCTACTCGAATACTACTGGTCGAATGGGAAGCTTTTGGGGAACAGTCGTCGGAATCGATTACTTCAAGTAGTGTTCGTCAAGATTTTTCATTCTCTTCATTGTTGTTCCACTTTGTCATTGACGTGCTTTACTGTCATCGTCTGACTTCTCGATAGTTTAACTTCTTCCAGGAGATTCATTGATTCACTTAGAATATGCCGATTGCATATTTCTACTTTGTGAAGAGTCTGACAAAATCAAGAGTATCCTAACCACCTTCAGCAACGATGTGAGTATGTTCAGGATGCGATTATCCCCTTCAAAACTCAAAATAATGCTTCAAGATTGGCTTTCGTCGGCACCTTAACTAATGATAAGGAGTAAAGCGATTGAACGCGTTGACCGTTTCATTTATCTTGGGGGTCTCATCAGTACTGATGGCCTGGTGAATGACGAAATCTCAACACGGATATAGAAGGCTCAGCTGGCGTTTTCTAAATTGCGTCACTTATGTCATAGGCGAGATATTCGTTCCTCAACCAAAGGACGAATGTGCTATGTAGCATTTCGCTCCGTCCTATTATACGGATGTGAAACATGACCAATAAGAGTAGAAGATTTTCGTAGGTTGCTGGTATTTGATCATAGGTGTCTTCGAAGCATCGCTCTAATATCCTGGGGCCAACGAGTAAACAATCCTGTTTTTAGGAAAAGAGTACTAGTTGAGGATGGCAAATCAATCAATGAAGTATTGACGTAGTGATGGGACATGTGTTACGAATGCCCATTCATCGAATGCTTCGATGAATGATGTTTTGTGATGTAGGAACAAGTTGGATGAAAGCTGGGGGCGGCCAAACCAAACCATGGAACACATCCATGAAGTTACTGACAAGCGGAATGAGCCTTGTTGTTAGGTGTAGACAATCAGGCTGGGGTCTGAGAGGCAGTTGTAACTGATGGTTGGAGACTTTGAATGATATGACTGAAATCTTTTTCGATAGCGCAGGTGCATCCATTGTTTGTCTTCAATCAAATTCTTATCTTCTCAACTCCTCATAACTTCTTTTCTCTTTCTAAATTTATTTCGCCGGGGTATACTTATTGAATCATATCTTCGAAAGCTAATCTTTTCAATTTCCGCTAATACTGCTGTAACGTCTACTACTCTGGAATTTGGCCTGATTATTTCACCTTGCTCCGCTTATGTAATGTGACAACCTGAAGTCCGTATCAATTAGCACGTTGCAATATTGTTAGGATATTCACCAAATATCCTAAGAGTACTATTTTTGGAAGTATAATCCTATTGGTCGATTTCTATTGGTCAAAATTATGGTCGTTTTAACTGTCAAAGTCAAATACTTCAATGTAGTCTCTTATTGGACTTCCGGACTGTCAATGTCATTTCAAATGTTCTTTCCTATTGGTCGTGCTTAACTGTCAATGTCACAGACTTTGATGCTCTTTCCTATTCGACCCTAATGTATAAATACTCACTATCTGTAAACCTTCCTGATTCCGCTTCCAATTCAGTTTCTTCTTGCCTACCTCTCTTCTGTTCTTGATCCAATAAACAACTCCATCCCACGGTGTTGCGTTCTGATATATAAGAGATTTGGAAATAGCATTTTGGGTCGTATTAGGATATTTGAATGGGACGCCTCTAGGACTGAATAGCAAACGTAGCGGCGTTATAACAAATATATATATATATATATATATATATATATATATATATATATATGTCACTAGTGCACCTATCTTCCTACTATCAACTTGTACTTATACTTATAATGTGTAGATACGTAACCTATTTCATTATGATTATTGACTAATGAATTAACTTGATTGTTTCAGCATTTCCATATAAATATTCATGTATTTCAGGGGGTAAAGCCTGATAACGATCTAATTGAAAAACAATACTGTTTGCATATGCGTGTTATTCTGCTTTTCACACTAAGAATTTCTATTAATATGTGGTTGTTTGAATTTTCTTTGTTCTATTTCTTCACAAAATTATACTTTCATTTATTCACCGCACTTTTGTTGCCCTGTTGTATTAAACTTATATCTCATGAGTTAATTAGGACCCAACATACTCCACAACCCTGTGATGACAATTATAATGTACTCACTGGTGACTAGCTTTGTGATGAAATCTTTGGAGTCTTAGTGAAGAGTTTTGACTAGTTAAGTTCACTCATGTCAGTTGTGAGGCAGTTACTCAGTAAATACAAAAGATAGTGGTTGCGCAATATCCAAGTTAGAAATTGACACCGCATGTCAAGAGGTTAATCGTTCACGTTCAAGATCAAAGGTCTAAGATTCGACTCCTGTTCACGGGGTCGTGGATATGCACTGCTGATAAGTTCTATAATAGGAGATGAATCAGCCATCCAGTGCATCCAAATTTCTAATGGTAGTCTAACATTGATCGGTTCATGATTTCAACCAAAATAAACGAATATTTCATCAATTGAAATTTCGGAGTCTCACATAGTTTACAAATATTGATTTTCCTCTCTAATGTCATCCATGAACTCCACGGTCAACTCCTGTGAAATTGTTTTTTTTTTCAAATTTTACACGAAATGAATAATTTCATGAGGGGAATATAATTTTTATTTTACGATAAAATTTATTTTTCACTTTTAGAATTTAAATATCAAGATATTTTTCAAATATGGGAAGTGATTTTATGTGCTAACCGCATCATATCGAAAGATTTCAGTTTATTCATTGCATTGGCATTAATACAACATTATCGTGATGTGATTAGTTCCAATCATATGGAATTAACTGATATTTTGAAATTTTTTAATGGTAAGTAGAGTATGTTATGATATTCATCCAATATCCTAAAAGAATTATTGGTCGATTCCTATTGGTCAATTTTATGGTCGTCCTAGATATCAATCTCACGTCGTACTCCAATGTTGTTTCTTTTTGGTTGTCCTGACTATCAATGTCACTTTAAATCTTGTTTCCTATTGGTCGTCTTAACTGTCAATATCACAGATTTGGATGCTGTTTCCTATTCGACCAAAATGTATAAATACGCATTATTTGTAACGTTTTATGACCACAAACAGGACCAGGGCTTGGTCCCGGATCCCTAGTCCGGGGTCCTGATTCTCTTCTGGATTCGGACCTCGTACTTTCTGGATGCTTGTAGAATACAGATTCTACTTCATATCACGTCTCATTTTCTTACTAGGTAAACCCGCAATAGTTCAAGTATATCAAGTTGACGTGTTTACGTGCAGCCGTAACAGAGTAATGTATAGAGTAGTCGGTAAGTAGTAGTAGTAGTAGTAAATGGTTTGTGAGTAATGGTGTTTTTCGATTGTTTCTGGTAAATGAACGATATCGCGATTAGTTAGTGCACAACTATTTACAAGTACGTATTAAACATTGAACACATTTGAAATTATCATGTGTTTTAATAGTATTAACAAGTAATGTGCAGTATGCAAAAGGAGTTATGTTTAAAGTTACCAATTTTTGCGCCATAACTGAACAATGAATGCTCATCAGTGGAGTTAATTAGATAGTATAAAGCTGTTGTTTGTATACCACCACTACGTTATGCCAATAAGACTTTATCCTAGCTTTTGGACAAACTAATTATCTTTCGACCTTGTCAATTATTCACTTATAACCTTGGTTGTTTTTATTGAAGTGTGTGTATGTGTGCGTTCACGCTTACTTCGCTTATTACATGTCTATCCTATTTTTATCGACTTACTTACTCACGCCTGTCACGCTCAATGGAGCATAATCCACCAACCAATATTCTCCAACCTACTGTGCCCTTCCTTTCCAGTTCAGTCCAATTTTTGTTCATTCTTCTCATGTTAGTCTCCATTTCTTGGCGTAATGTGACATTGAGGGTTCCATGTGAGGGCTTGTCTAGTGAGTTAGTTGGGTGCTTTTCGCAGTGTGTGTCCTATACACTTCCACCGCTTCTTCCTGATTTCTTCCTTAGTTATAATCCGGTTTCTTCTCTCCCACAGTAGGTTGTTGCTGATGGTGTCTGGCTTACGAATCCAAAGTATTTTGTGTAGGCAACTGTTAATGAACACTAGTATCTTCTGGATGATGGTCTACCTAGTCCTCCAAGTTTCCGCTCCTTATAATAGAACTGCCCTGATATTTATATTTAAACTTGTGACTTTGGTATCGGTTGATAGTTGTTATGAGTTCCTGGTGTTCTTTAGTTGTAGAAATGTAACCCTCACTTTGATGATCCGCGCCTTCACATCTGCATCAAATCCACTATGCTCATCAATGTCGATGTCCAGATATGTAAAGGTTTTTGCATCTTTCAGCGCTTCTCCGTCAAGTGTGATTTGATTAGTACATGTTGAGTTGTAACGGAGGATCTTGCATTTTTCCTTGTGTATGCTCAAACTGGTCACCTTCATTTGAGTTTGTTGTTGTATGTAGGTTTGAAGGGCTAGATCATCTACGAAGTGTAGAACGTCCAGCTTCTTCCTAGCTGTCCACTAGATCCCTCACATCCCCTCAGATGTTGATGTTTTCATAATCCAGGAGAAAGAGAAAGGGTGAAAATAAGCATTTTTTCCTGACACCCATCAGTATATTATATTAAAGAGATAAAAACATTCTTATTCTACAGAACTAACGTACATATTGATCAATGAACTTTGAAGCTTATATTTCAAATTTCCATAGTTCCGTGTTTTTAATGATAGATAGTGGTTATCTAATTCTACAATTTATATACTGTAGTGATATTTATTTGCTTACCAGTTGCTAGTTTTTTTAAAAACAACTCCCTAGTAATCTCAGTGCATATCTGTGACTAATAAATCTCAATCATATTGAATATGTGTAAATTATCAAGAGATTGATTGAACGAATCTACTTGTATCCATTGATTTAAATGAGGTAGGTGTGAATGTTCAATATATCATTTGAATATATTATACTTTTTTGAAACTATGAATCGATCAATGTTAGATCACCATTAGAAACCTGGAAGCACTGGACGGCCGTTTCGTCCTAGTATGGGACTCCTGAGCAGTGCGCATCCACGACTCCTGCACCCCATAGGACTCAAACCCAGGACCTTCGGTATTGTGCTCGAACGCCCTAACCGTTAGACCACTGAGCCGGTATCTAGCGGTGTTAATGTCTAACTTGATCAAATTCACGGAGTTGCGCAACCTCATACACAGTCTTCGGTAGACACTGCCTACATCCGAACAGTTTGAACTTCACTGGTCACGTCTTCCCACTAGAACTCGGAGAAGATTCCTCACGAAGCTAGTCACTAGTGAGCACAGGTAATTTGCATTACGGGGTTGTTGTGAAGATTGTTAAGTTACACGTTCTTTGATACCGGCTCAGTGGTCTAACGGTTAGGGCGTTCGCGCACAATACCAAGGTCCTGGGTTCGAATCCTGCAGGGCGCAAGAGTCGTGGATGCGCACTGTCCCATACCAGGACGAAACGGCCGTCTTTCAGTGCTTCCAGGTTTCTTCTAATGGTGTGGTCTAACATTGATCGATTCATAGTTTCAAAAAAAATGTGTAACTTAACAATCTTCACAACAACCCCGTAATGTATATTATATTTTGTTTTATTTTTTGTATTTTCTAAAATAGAACGAGCTGAACATCATAATGTTGAAGATATTTTAAATCTTGCACGATATTTTGCTGATACTGTTCAAAAGTTGACTAGTAAAACCAATAACAACAACAACAACCAATGAAAATTAACTCATAAATATTTTTTTGTTTAAAACCACTTTTGTTTGTTTTTATCAATCACCAAAATAACGCTACTAGTCTTGTACAATTTTGCTTCACGTATTTATTATGTGTTCGTTCATATATAGATATTTTTTTCTTGTTGACGTTGTTCAATTGTAATTATTATGTTGTAGTTATTATGTAATCTTTATTTCATCATTTCATTTGTAATTATTGACACATAACAAAATTGCCTTAATCATGGTTTACATATTCATGTATATTATTAATTAGAGCGTCAAGTCTGATGACGATAATCTAAAAACAACTAATGTTGTACGCTTTACATCTGTGTTGTTTTCCTAATTACCAAAAGTTTTTATTGTTTATTTTTAATTTTTGTTTGAATTGGTGCATTTTTATTTGTTTGAATGTTTCCACTACTTTTTGTTTGTTTACTGTTTTGTACTATGAATACATTTTCAATAATGTTATACCTGAATGTGAACACGTCAACTTGATATACTTGAACTATTACGAGTTTACCTAGTCGGAAGAGGAGAGCGAGGATCGAGGATCCGGCGACACGACATGCTACTCTAATCCGAATATCCAAACCCACATATTGAGTAAAAATAAGAAGACTTGATATGGAGTAGAACCTGTATTCTACAAACATCCAGAAAGTACGAGGTCCGAATCCAGAAGAGAATTAGGATCCTGGACTAGGGATCCGGGTCATAAAATGTTACAGATGATGCGTATTTATACATTTAGGTGGAACAGGAAACAGCATCGAAGTCTGTGACATTGACAGTTAAGGCGACCAATAGGAAACAACATTTGAAGTGATATTGATAGTCAGGACGATCAATAAGAAACAACATTGGAGTACGATCATAAAATTGACCAATAGGAATTAACTAATAGAAATAGACCAATAATTTTCTTAGGATACTGGATAAATATCCTAACAAATAAGAATATTTTGATCATTTAGTCGGCACTTCTTAGTTAAGGTACACATAAGAGAAATGTGAAAGTAGCTTTTAAAATCAGAATTTTTGTAAATTTATTTTAGTTTTTGATGATTTTTCATTATAGAGCTGTGAAGATTGTTGAGTTTTATTGATATCCGGAATCGATCATTATTAGACCACTTTTAGAAATCTGAAAGCATTGGACAGCCGTTTCGTTCTATTATGGGACCCATCAGTAGTGCGCACTCATGACATCTGCACTCGACAATCGGAACGAGGAGCTTCGATCACGCACACGAACGCTTCACGCCTAGAACACTGAGTTAGCATCCAACGGTGTTGTTGTCGAACACTGAGTAGGATTGTGTTACGCATGAACGTCAGCATGTCATTTTATATGCTTGAACCTTGGTCGGAAAATGAGAGCGAGGATCGATGATCCGGCGACACGACAGGCTGTTCTTATCCGAACGTCTTAAACCGCCATTTAGTAAAAGAACAAGATTTGATATGAAGTAGCACCTGTATTCCACAAGCATCCAGAAAGTATGAGGTCCGAGTCCAGAAGAGAATCTGGATCCCGGACTTGGGATCCTGGACAGGGTCCTGGTCATAAGACGTTACAGATAATGCGTATTTATACAGTTAGGTCGAATAGGAAACAACACTGAAGAAGTATGTGACAATGACGGTTAGTACGACCAGTAAGAAAGAATATTTGAAGTAGGTGACATTGGTAGTTTGGACGATCAATCAGAATTAACCAATAGGAATTGGCCTATAGAATCAGACTTGAAGACAATTGGGGAGGTTGCGCAATATCTTGGATTGATCTAAATTAAACATACTTTTAGGGATCTCTCAAAGTTTGTAATTAAGATTTTTAATGAAATTCATTTAAATTTTCTCATATTTTGTAGGTTTCGTTTCAAATATTAACTACTATTCATAAATCCGTCAACTAATCAATACATATTAACTTGCCACAAGTTCCTACAGCTAATTTTGGCTGTTTGTATGTACTGTTTGACTTTGTCTGTGTAAAGGATATTTCAGTCAATCGATTAAGTTTCTATTATAAAAAAAAATACTATTCATAGTAAAAAGAAATAGACCGGAAAGACTTCTGTATATCGTTTGTGTATTGATAGTATGTGAATTATTGATTTATTGATTGCCATCGATCGATCCGCATTGTCTAATCTCAAAATTATTAAAATCTATGTAGTGCTCAAACATGAGATTATGTTTGGTTAATTATAAAACATGGTACAAGGAACTCAGTCAAACGGAAATTAGTTGTCAGTTATCAAGATAGTCGTTTGCAATGGCACAGGTGCATCCACTCTTTATGTTCTTTTATATTCTAATCTTCTGAATTCCTCAGCATTTCTATCTTTCTCTTTCTAAATTTATCTTACAGAATCATACTTTTCGAATCATATCTTCGCTCTTTAACCTTCTCCATTACTACTACTACTACTTCTACTATCGCTATCACTCTTGGATTTGGACTGACAGTTGCGTCTCTGTGCTGATATGGTATGGTAACCTGAACTGATGTACGTATGTACGTACAAAGTTCTGCGTTATATCTGTCTGTCTGTCTGTTAGGTTATAAACAGCTTGGTGTAAGACTCTGAGTAATCAAGCAGAGGTCAAAGTGTACTGAAGGAGAACACAGTTGAGGGCAACCGAATTGTATTTAGCTCAAATTACAGAGTTACTCAGTAAAATAGGAAAACCTTATCGTAAACGGTTAATTTGCAAATCTTCAATCCATCATCAATCCATTGTCTGACATTTCACTATTCATGCGTTTCATACAAATTCCATTGTGTTCCCCCCACTCTTCCTTTCTTGATCTTCCCCTGTCTTCTGCTGCCAGACATTACGTTTACACTCGCGTCATATACTACTTATAAGTAGCGTGCACCACAAAATGAGAGTTGTTGATTTCCTAGCTATTTCTCACAAATTCACTTATAGTTGGGTAAAATGGAGCCATTAACCTTTGATAATATAGTTTATGTAATTTTAGCCTGATAACTTGCCAATTTCAAATGAAATTGATTTGAAACACAATCAGTAAAGTTATTTTAGTCATTTTTATTGAAAAAATGACAACTTTAGATCAGTTGTGTAGATATTAACTCTACACAATCTAGACATGAGAAATAATCCTTAGTAAGCTTTTTTATTGACTTTCAATTGAGAAACTTAGAGAAGTATATTTCTGAAACACTTTTGAATAATGAATGCTATAACTTTAATTCTAAATCATATAAAATGTGATGGATATATATAGAGCAAAAACAACAAGTTGCTATTAGTAGTGACGAAAGATTTGATTGAAGAAGAGGAAAACTGTGTGTATTTTAATTTTCAACGATATAGTTCGAACATTTTCATAGTCATGTAATTAATCCTAACGTTCAAGAGCTGATCGAATTATCTGATGATAAGAATGCAAAATTTAAACCCGTTGCAATAACTACACCTTTTCTTGCAACAATTAATAAACTTGGAAGGATTGGACGGCCGTTTCTTCCTGATATGGGACTCGTCAGCAGTGCGCATCCAGTGCTTCCAGGTTTCGAATGGTGGTCTGACAGTGATTGATTGACGATTTCAAATGTGTAAAAACACAAATCTCAAAAACTCTAACTGAAAATATCATTACATGCGCTCACTAGTCACTGGCTTCGTGAGGAAATTCGCGGAGTTCTAGTTGAGAAGACGTGACCAATGGAGTTCATCCAACCTTGTCGGGTGTATGCAGTAACTACCAAAGACAAATGGGTGAGGTTGCGCAAAATACCTAGATCAATCAAAGTTAGACATTAACACCGTTGGATCCTGGCCCAATGGTCCGATGGTTAGGTGATCGCGCACAATACCGAAGGTCCTGGGTTCGAATCCTGAGGTGCAGGAGTCGTTTATGCGCACTGCCACTGATGAGTCCCATACCAGGACGAAACGGCCGTCATCCAGTGCTTCCAAGTTTCTAAGGGTGGTTTGTCTAACGATGATTGATCGTGATGATTTCAAATGTGTAAAAACACAAAACTCCAAAACTAACTGAAAATTAAGAAATTGTGGCCACTTTCATTTCAGACCGAAGAAAAAGAACAAATTAAACCCTACCAGTTTTCTTGTAGATTTAGAAGCGGTTAACGATTGTTCGGTTGGTTAAAGGGTAAGAAGTATTTTTGATGCACATTTTTATGTTATCCTTCTATCAGTGACAGAATTTTAAAGTGGCGACTGCTAAACAAGTTTGTCATTATCAACTTTGATAGCTAGCTGGATCGCCAACAAACTTTGTTCTTATCTCTATGGAAGACAGCAGTATAATAAAATATAAAAGTAGTGTATTGTGCTTAAACGAAAGTATTCAACGTCTTTGTTTGTTACCTTGATAAAGGATTTGTTCTTTACCTTATTTCCGTTCTCATTATTTTTGCCTAATCTGTCATCTACAGAAAACACATTTGTTTAATATGCGGATCATCTCAATGCATGTACGGAAGTTTCCGCCTCTTCAAAACTCCTCGAAATGAATAAGTTGTTATTACTCATTGAACGATGTTTAAAAAATAAAAAAACTTACTTTGACCTGAGATATGAACAAGGCTTAAATGTCCTGTTGTTATCTCATAAAGTTTGTACAATCGGAGATTCTGTAATGAAAACAACGTCGAAGGTCATTTATTTTCGTTCAGATTTTCCCATTGATCTCTCATGGTTTTGCCATGTTTTATCAATACCGAAAATCGTTTCCAGTTTCACTTATTACATAAAGCGGCTACATGTTTTTACGATTAGTCAACATTTAATTGTATGATTTGTGAATCCCTGTAGAATCTTTTAGGATTATTAGAAATGTGGCCGTGGAAAAACAGTTCTAGCTATCCACATTCCGTTCAAATCTTTCTGCTTGTATGTATATCTTCTGATGAGACGAGATGTTGATACTTTAAAATCCATGTAAATGAAGATTTTAAAAGCTTTACAACACTGGTAGTTAGAGCTAACCTAATTATAAAATAATATACATTCTTAAACATTCCTAATTAGAAGAACTACGAAAGCCATCATCCAGAAGATACAAGTATTTATTAACAGTTGTCTACGCAAAATACTTCCGATTCGTTGGCCAGACACCATCAACAACAACCTACTGTGGGAGAGAACAAACCAGATTCCAGTGGAGGAGGAAATCAGGAAGAAGCGGTGGAAGTGGATAGGACACACACTACGAAAAGCAAATAACTGCGTCACAAGACAAGCCCTCATCTGGAGCCCTCACGGTCAAAGGAAAACAGGAAGGCCAAAGAACACACTACGCCGAGAAATAGAGAAAGATATGAGAAGAATGAACGAAAATTGGGCAGAACAGGAAAGGGAAGCCCAGGACAGAGTTGGTTGGAGAAAACTGGTGAGTGGTCTCTGCTCCATTGGGGGTAACAGGTGTAAGTAAGTAAGTAAGTAAGTAATTAGAAGAAAACTTGTGGAAATCTTCCATGTTGAGAATTTCACACTGTTCTAAACAAATATAATATATTGAGTGGAACTATCATTAATGTAATCAAACCACTCTTATTAATACAACTTTTCACATTTATCGTGCCAATAAAAACAAGACAATGAGGTTGAATACATTTTAGGCGAGTTAATCATGTATGCCCAATAATTTTTTTTCTGGTTGGCATTTTTTTAGCGGGATTGGGTTGCTAACCCCATGCCAAACCCTTTTACCATAATCCGCGCTCAAAAACGGCAATAGCCGTAGAGGAGCTCCAGGCTGGAGGTCTATGCTCCACTAGGGGTAACACGGCAAGTAATACGTAGGCAGAATTCCTTAATAAAAATAAATAACATACAGGAAATCGACAACTTCAAGCCAGTACCAATACACTTTTTATGCAAGGTAAGACGACCAGTGTAGCAGCAGCCTGTGCAGCAGTAGGTCTCAACATACATAAAGGAAAAAGCGAAATGCTCCGATGCAACACAACATGCACCAACCAAATCACTCACTCTTGATGGAGATGCCTTGGAGGGCATTAACACCTTTACATATCTTGGCAGTATCATCGGCAACCAAGGTGGATCGGATGCAGATGTGAGGGCGCGGATTGGTAAAGCAAAGGCTGCATTTCTACAGTTGAAAAATATCTGCAACTCCAAACAACTTTCAACAAAAACCTAAATCAGGATATTCAAAACAAATGTCAAGACAGTTCTACTGTATGGAGCGGAATCTTGGAGAACTACGAAAGCCATCATGCAGAAGATACAAGTGTTTATTGACACTTGTCTACGCAAAATACTTCGTATTCGTTGGCCAGACACCATCAGCAACAACATACTACTGTGGGAGAGAACAAACCAGATTCCAGTGGAGGAGGAAATCAGGAAGAAACGGTGGAAGTGGATAGGACACACATTGCGGAAAGCACCTAACTGCGTCACGAGACAAGCCCTCACATGGAACCCTCAAGGCAAAAGGAAAAGAGGAATTCCAAAGAACACATTACGCCGAGAAATAGAGAAAGATATGAGAAGAATGAACAAAATTGGACAGAACTGGAGAAGGAAGCCCAGGACAGAGTTGGTTGGAGAATGATGCTGGTGGGTGGCCTATGCTCCATTGTGGGTAACAGGCGTAAGGTAAGTAAGTAAGTACCAATACACTTTTTGAAAATTCACTTACATAACTAAAATGTATTTATTATGCAAAGTTCAATACACTGAAACCTTTGATTTTTGAATATTGTAATATACATCAAATAAACTTAAATATATATATATATTTTACACTGTAAATATGAACTGAAAATTATTAAAAACTTAAAACTGCCGCTGAAATATTTTGAAAAATGTCTGTTCAATGATTAATTATTTCTTTTTTTTCATCTCTTCATCATTAAACAATAAAAAACTTGACTTAAATATTCATTCACTCACACAGTGAATATTTTCAAGATACAATCATCTCATTCTGTCTAAAAGTGGATTACAATAGGTGTGTTGTTGTTGTTGTTGTTGTACTAAATGAAAAAGGGTTAGTTTTAAAAGTACGTACATAAGAAGACATTGATTAGAGGTGGGTTTTTCTTCTCTTCTGTCTATAAAAATCATTGATTATTGATGACTTGATAATAAATAACAACATCATCATGAAAGGTATGTATGTCTAATTTAAACATTTGGCTTTCTGTTTTTTATTTTTCATGATACTAAAGAAGTTTTCTTCCAAATAATAAATAATTAAGGACTCCAAGTGATAACCGACACAGCAATGTTTGCATGTTTTGCTACAGAAGCATTTGAATCATTTACATGTGAAGAGATCTGTAGAAAGAGATAATAAAAAAAGTAATCCGTTTTCGTAATCATTTGTCAATGATTAGTAGTTTCAGTCAGCAGGGTGAAGTATCAATGAAAATCTAGACGGAGTTGTGTACATGTTTTGTTTTATTTGAGTATAATCAAAAGTGTTCACCGATGACTTTAAGAGCGTCATAGGAAATAACTTGGTCATTAGAAACACTCCATCAGAGCATTTGACAGACAGATAGGCAGATATAATGCAGCTGCCTACGTACGTACGTACTTACATCAGTTCAGGTTGCTAAACCACATCACCTCAGAAACGTAACTGTCACTTCAAATCCAAGAGTGATAGTGATGGTAGAAGTATTAGCAGTAATGGAGAAGATTAGAGAGCGGAGATATGATTCGAGAAGTATAATTCAGTAAGATAAAATTAGAAGGAGGCAGATAGAGATTATGAGGAATTCAGAAGGTTAGAATTAGAGAGAACACAAAGAGTGGATGCACCTGTGCTATTTCAAAAGATTCTGAGCCATGTCGTTCAAGGTGTCTAACCATCAGTGACTTATGTCTCGCGGACCACAACCAAGTAGTCGACATCTACCAACATGACACAGTCCACTTGTCAATGACTTCATGGATTTCTGCCATGTTTTGGTTTCTGGCCGCCCCTAGCTTTCTTCCAACCAACTCTTACACCAAAAAACATAGCTCGTCGCGGCAGACGGTGGTTAGGCATACGCAACACATGTCCGAACCACCTCAACTGATCAAGTTTCACTTCTATATCTATTGGTTTGCCAACCCTACCTAGAACTCGTTTCCTAACGACAGCATTACTTATACAGTTGTCCCATGATACACGAGCAATGCTTCGGAGACATCGATGATCGAAGACTAGTAACCTACGAAAGTCCTCTACTCTTAACGGCCATGTTTCGCATCCGTATAATAGGACGGAGCGAATTGCTGCACGATACACTCGTCCTTTGGTCAGCAAACGGATATCTCGCATACTCCATAAGTGACGCGGGTTCGCGAAAGCTAATCGATCCTTCTGTATCCGAGCTGAGATTTCGTCAGTCACCAGGCCATCAGCGCTGACGAGACTCCCCAGATAGGTGATGTGGTCAACACACTTAACTACTACACTCTCTATCACTAGTTCAGGTGCCGATGCAAGTTAATCCTGAAGCAATATTTGGCCTTTTGGTGGGTAGAATCGCATCCAGAACATGCTTGCATTGTTGCTTAGGGTAGTCAGAAGACTCTGCATTTTGTCAGTGACTTCACCGAATAGAACTATGTCATCGGCATATTCTAATTCAACATCTGATGGTATTTAACTCAACTTCCCTCTGTTTACGAGTGTTATTCTGACGTTGAAACAATCTTAACTATGTGATTCGGAACGTTTGTATGACCAAAGAATGAGTTCAGTACTGAATGCACAATTAAAAAAATATTATTGAGCGTTTTATCTTAACTCCGAAACAATACGCATTCTTGGTAGTATATTTGTGACTACTGGAGTAAGTATTCAACATATCTAGGGATCACTTCTATGAATATAACATTCAATACAACTACTAATTATTATAATTACACTAGGTGAATATATATCAACCAAAATTGTTGCGTAAGAAAAGATAATAAGGAATATTACACTCTTTTATTCTTCATTGTAGAGTTATGAAGACTATTATGAATTCATCATTGTTAGACCACCGTTAGAAACCTAGAAGAGCTAGACGGCCTAGTATGGGACACATTATCAATGCACAGTCACGAGCTTCGGCCGTGGGGATTAGCCTTGTGAGGAAGTTGTTGTGGAAGCTGTGGCTAGTGTAGCCCAACGCTGTCAAGTGTGTGGCAGTTACACACCGAAGACAATGGGTGTAGTTGCACAGTATCGCAGATTGATTAAGGTTAGACATTAACACCATGAGATACCGGCTCAGTCGTCTAGAAGTTAAGCATCCACTAGCGAGGCTGAAAAGCCAGGGTTTGAGTCCAACAAACGAAGTTGTGGATATGTCCCATACAAGGTCAAAACGGCTATCCAGTGCTTTCAGGTTTCTAGTGATGGCCTAAAAATGATCGATTCATTCTACTTGATTAATGCACAGATGAAATATGACAGCTATAAATCCTAACGAAAATACATTTTGATGTCATAAAAACAAAAAACGTGGAGAAAATTTGTAGCTCAGGGGAATGATTGTGATAGTTTCGTTATCTGAGCTTGATGTTTCAGTTGTGGAGCTTTCGTTTCTCTTCTGAAAAACATCAACACCACAAACTATAGATAGAGTAGGAATGGCAAATCAACAGATGAAATATTTGAAACTTCATCAGTTCAGGTGGTTGAGACATGTGTTTCGTATGCCCAACCACCGACTGCCGCAACAGGCCATGTTTTGTGGTGTAGGAGTAGGTTGGAAGAAAGTTAGTGGCGGCCAAACCAAAACATGGCAGAAATCGATGAAGTCACTGACAAGTGGACTGAGTCATGTTGGTAGATGTAGGCTACCTGGTTGGGGTCCGCGAGACGAAAGTCACCACTGGTTAGAGACCTTGAACAACGACATGACTCAAAATCGTTTGTAATGGCGCAAGTGCATTCACTCTTTGTGTTCTCTCAAATCCTAACCTTCTGAATTCCTCAGCATCTCAATCTTTCTCTTTCTAACTTTATCTCACTGAATCATACTTCTCGAATCATATCCAACGAAAACATCCAGCTGAGAGAACGCAACACCAGCACATATGACTTAAAAACACATAAAAAACATACTTTATCCAAATGATCCAATAGAATTCTTCGACCTTCAGGTGTTTCACATAAACAAGTTAAAACCTAAAAAAAAATTGAATAAATAAGATTGTGACAAATTTAAACTTAAATCATATCTCGGTTATATAATTTTCAAGTGAAATTCATGCGGGAAATAAAAAATCCACATTGATTGTAAATGTAAATTAAATGCCAAAAAGAAATATGAAAGAAATTCAGTAAAACCTATAATTAAATGTGTTATTTAGAAGATTCTTTCCACAATACTCAAGGAAGTACTCAATTAACTTATTATCTAAAGTGTCTGATAATAAACTTCGTGTAGAATTCTTTACAGAAACAGCTAAATTAGTAAATACGAACTTTTCATTATATGGTTGTAAAGATTGTTGTGTTTCAATGAAGCCATGAATCGATCAATTTTAGACCACCATTAGATACCTGGAAAAACTAGATGGCTGGTTCGTCCTAGTATGGGACTCATCAACAGCGCTCCGCACATGGAAACATCGAACTCACATTCTTCTAAGACCAGTGATATCTAACAGTGTAAGTCTCCAACTTCACAATCAATCAATCTACGATATTGCATGACCATCATCCATCGTCCTCAACACGTAAATACCTTATACCAGAAAGGGGGTGAGATTACGCGATGATTTGCATTGTGATTAGATATCAACACCGAGAGGATTCTAACGCAGCAGTTTAAACGAGTTAAGCATTCAAGCGCGAGACCACATGTTCTCTAAGTACGATTTCCGCATGCAGATGTCATGGATGCACACTGTTGATGAGTCCCATACTCGAATGGCAAAAAACGGTCATTCAATGCTCCCAGGGTTCTAATGACAGCCTAGCATTGATCGATACATGGCTTCAATAGAATTATAAACTGTGTTAGCTTGTCTTTTAATAATATAAATAGAATTATTATTATTATTATTATTATTTGACTGGTTGGGACACGTGCTGCGTATGTCTAACCACCGACTACCTCGACGAGCTATGTTTTGTAGTGTGGGAATAGGTTGGAAGAAAGTTAGGGGTGGCCAGAACAAAACATGGCAAAAATCCATGAAGTCATTGACAAGTGGACTGAGTCATGTCGGGAGTTGTCGACTACCTGGTTGGGGTCCACGAGATGATAATAATAGATGGTTAGAGACATTGAATGACATGGCTCAAAATCGTTCGCAATGGCGCCGGTGCATTTATTCTCTGTGTTCTCTCAAATCCTAATCTTCTGGGTTCTTCAACACCTCTAGTTTTGACTTTCTAAACTTTTCTCCCTGAATCATACTGCTTGAATAATATCTTCTAATCGTAACCTCTCCGATTACTTCTAATACCCTTACTACCTCTTCTACTACTATTGGATTTGAATTGACAACTGCGTCTCTGTGCTAATAATGTGGTATGGCAACATGAACTGATGTACCTGCATACGTACAAAGTTCTACGTTGCATCTGACTGACTGATTATTTGACTGTCTAAAATCAACCATAAATATTAAGTCAATAAATCAATAATTCATACCTTCAAAGTATTCACTCGTACTCGACTACATTGATCATCAACCAGATTTAGTAGTAAAGGAATAGCACCAGCATTTAAAGTAGTATAACGACCATGATTTGTTGTACATATACTTGACAAAAAAAATTACATTTTTTTTCAAAAAAAATAAAGAGTTTATCAGTTATTATTAAACTTTTATTAAATTTTAAATCAAAAACAGAAAATTCTATACATCAACTTTGGTTTTTCCATTGCATTAACAAATTCATGTCGATTGTCGTTAAAAAACTGCGTCTGGAGGCCTTTTTTCTGGGCTTTACTGACTGTCTCAAGCCCGAGTAAACGATGAGAGTTAAGGATGAAGTTAGTGATTCCATCCGATGGACATCTAACTCGCCAAATAAAAATGCTAATCAGAAAAAATAATTCGACGGTCGACGATCTATACTGCATTAGGGGTAACAGGTATATGTAAATTAGTAAAATATGAATATCTCCAACATTTGACAAGGATTATATTGTATGACAAACGAAATAAACACGTAAAATGTATAACTTATTGTCCGTTTTCAAATAAGAGGTTTAATGGGAAATTTCCCCTGACAAAAAAAAATCAATCACTAATACTTCTCATTAAACGACCTGTGGTGTGAGCTACTTATAAGTAGTATATGATGTGAGTGTCAACGTAATGTCTGGCAGCAGAAGATGGGGGCAAGATCAAGAAACGAAGAGTTAGAAGAACACAATGGAATTTGTATGAAACGCATGAATAGTGAGTGACAATGGATTGATGTTTTGCAACAGGAACAGTCCAGTTCGATATGATGATGAACTGATATTTTGCAAATTAACGATTTACGATATGGTTTTCCGATTTTACTGAGTAACTCTGTAATTTTCGTTAAATACAATCCGGTTGCCCCCACCTGTGTTCTCGTTCACTACATATTTAGTACAATACTGTATCGACCAATCAGAAGAATTATATCCGCATCATATATAAGATAACTTTGGAATCCTCAAAAGACAATAGGAGAGAGAACTGAAAGACCATTGAACACATTCAGCTAGGAATTGCGTGTAGACAACAGAAAAATGTATAACAACACTTAGGACAATTGGAAGGAACATGAAAACCGTTTTGATGATATTGAATGGAAACTTCTGGAACAATTAAAGCGATTGTTCAAAAGATACAAGTTTTCATTGGCAGTTGTTTAACGCAAGATACTACGGAACTGTTGGCCAGACACCAGCAGCAACTACCTACTGTGGGACAGAACAAACTGGATAACAGCAGACGAGAGCAGAAAAAAGTGCTGCCGGTGAATGGAACACATTTCTGAAATCGCCTAACAGCATCACAAGACAAGCCTTCAGCTGGAACCGTCAAGGACAAAGGAAAAGCAGAGGAAAAGCAAAGAACACATTACACCGAGAATTGGAGACAGACATGAAAAGAATGGACAACAATTGAGTAGAACTTGAAAGGCACATCTGGTTGGAGAATGATCCAGGAAGGGTTACAGGAGTAAGTAAATAATGAAGATTTTTGCATTAGAGAATTATAGAGATCGTTGTGGTACATTGAAATTATGAATGAATCATTGTTAGACTACCATTAGACAACACCTGGAAGAACTGGACGGCACTGGTATAGGCCTCATGTTCAGTGTGCATCCCCAAGTGTACAAAATAATTATACGGTTTAGAATGACTAGTTTTATCGAAAACAAATAAATATTTACTTATTAACTTATTCATTGTAGACTTACAAACCTAATGCTCCAGCAGAAAATGCCCTTACATCTTCATGTTGATCATTTAACAAACCAACTAATGCTGGAATGGTTTCATAATCTAACGCTTCTTGTTTACCTCTTTGATTTACACTAAAAATTATAAAAAAAAAAAGAAAATACATAGAGATTATGTTAGAATTTACATCCAATATCCTAAGAGAATTATTGGTCGATTCCTATTGGTTAATTCCTATTGGTCAATTTTATGATCATCCTAGATACTAATGTCACATCGTACTCCAATCTTGTTTCTTATTGGTTGTCCTGACTATCAATGTCACTTCAAATGTTGCTTCCTATTGGTCTTAAGTGACAAGGTCACAGACTGATGCTGTTTCCTATTCGACCAAATGTATAAATAGGCATTATCTGTAACGTTTTATGACCAGGGCCAGGACCAGGATCCGGTCCCGGATCCCTAGTCCGTTATCCTGATTCTCTTCTGGATTCGGACCTCGTACTTTCTGGATGCTTTTAGAATACAGATTCTACTTCATATCATGTCTTCTTATTTTCACTGAATATGGGGGTTGGGATAATCAGATTTGAGTAGCATGTCATGTCACCGGATCCTCGATCCTCGCTCTCGTTTTCCGACTAGGTAAACTCGTAATAGTTCAAGTATATCAAGTTGACGTGATTACGTGCAGGCGTAACATAGTATAATGAAGAAAAGCAAAAAAACACAACTTATTCGGCTTCAAATGAAGCATCAGTAACATGTTCTCATCATGTGACACAATTCTTATTACATTTCGAACATGATAGTTCTTATCCTCATTTATGGACAAGAGGTTAGGCGTTTGCGCGCAAGATCGAAGGTCCTGGGTTCGAATCCTGCGAGGCGCACTGTTGATGAGTCTTATACAAGGACGAAACAGCAGTCTTTCAATGCTTCCAGGCTTCTAATGGTGGTGGTCTAACAATGATTGATTGATTGATGATTTCAATGTTCAGAAAACACTAATCTCCATAACTCTAATTGAAAAATATTCTCATTTGAATAAATGAATTAGAAGTTTAATTATTGAATGAAAAATTTCTTTGTTTAACAATTGGTTAGTTTGTTTGTTTAAATTCACAATAATACAATATCTTGCGTGATAAAATTATTGTTCACATAAAAATAAATCATCCGTTTGTCAATCAATATCATTCATTATACAATTAGTACATTTGTAAAGCTCTAAAATGTTCCCTGAGTCTCGAGCGTATTTCTTTTTTCAGAATTTACCAATCAATAAAATTGGAAATAACATTCTTCTGTATTTGATCAAGTTTCAATATTTTGAACATAATCGACAAGTAGGCTAATAAATAAATCAATAAACTGTTTCCGAAATATTTATTTCTTTTCTTCAATCTACAAATAGTTACATGTCCAATTTATTTTCAAATATTTACTACGATGATGAACTGACCTAAGTTAAACAACCGTTGAAAAAACTTGAAGCTCCGGGAAATTAGTTTTTCTTAAGCATGGGACTTCTGAGTAGGGTGCATCCAAACCCTAATGCCGAGTGTCTACACGAAGCCACACTGATAATTAGATATGTTTCGAGAGGGAATTTTCGGGGTTCTTGTAGGAAACTATTACCACAAGTTCAAAAAACCTTGCACCTATACCCTGAATTGGGGTACCGTTGGTATAAAAACATAACAAAACCTCAGTAGGTCCGTGATCTCCATAACATCCGTACTGATACTCCGGTACTTATATAAATAATTGGGAAATTTTCTCAAAAATGAGACTCATTACTTTTTAGTAATAATATTCTGTGTTAATTTCAACATTCACTGGACAGAATTAACTTAATCAAACATGATATCTAGTTATTTATGCCCATTCATCAATCGACTAAGTTTGGTACGACTTTTCCATGCATTTAGATGTTGAGAAAGACTGCTCATCTTATAGAACCTTTCAAGAAATAAAACTGAACAGCATACTAGTTGGACTTTTGAATGCATTTGTACTCATGTCTAATTCAATCATTACCATTGTGGTGTAAGCTACTTATAAGTAGTGTATGACGTGAGTGTCAACGTAATGTCTGGCAGCAGAAGATGGAAGAAGATCAAGAAAGGAAGAGTCGGAACACAATGGAATTTGTATGAAACGCATGAATAGTGACAATCGATTGATGTTTTGCAACAGGAACTGTCCAGTTCGATATGATGATGAACTGATATTTTGCAAATTAACGATTTACGATATGGTTTTCCGATTTTACTGAGTAACTCTGTAATTTTCGTTAAATACAATTCGGTTGCCCCACCTGCGTTCTCGTTCACTACACCATTAGTTCGTTTGTATGGCCTGTATTCTTGAAATCACAGTTCTTAAACAACTAATGTCAGCAAAAAGAGCAGTGAAAAACCATGTAATGCAGCTGGATCACGTGACTTATTCTATAACTATGTTTTTGATGAAACTAAAAGTAGGATAGACTTCGTGAATTTACCTAATCCACCATGTACAGTTATCGACTTCACTGCGCCTAAACAACCAGTTACTCTGAGGGCACAACTAGGCGAATCAATCACTGAATTTTCAACTATCACTCTATCTAGTTAAGTTAAAAGGACTTACTTACTTACTTTCGCCTGTTACCCCCAATGGAGCATAGGCCGCCCACCAGTTTTCTCCAACCAACTCTGTCCTGGGCTTCTCTCTCCAGTTCTGTCCAATGTTTGTTCATTCCTCTCATATCTTTCTCTATTTCTCGGCGTAATGTATTCTTTGGCCTTCCTCTTTTCCTTTCGCCTTGAGGGTTCCATGTGACGGCTTGCCTCGTGACACAGTTAGGTGCTTTTCGTAGTGTGTGTCCTATCCACTTCCACCGCTTCTTCCTGATTTCCTCATCCACTGGAATCTGGTTTGTTCTCTTCCACAGTACGTTGTTGCTGATAGTGTCTGGCCAACGAATACGAAGTATTTTGCGTAGACAGCTGTTAATAAACACTTGTATCTTCTGGATGATGGCTTCGGTAGTTCTCCATGTTTCCGCTCCATACAGTAGAACTGTCTTGACATTTGTATTGAAAATTCTGATTTTGGTGTTGATTGATATTTGTTTGGAGTTCCAGATATTTTTCAACTGTAGAAATGCAGCCCTTGCTTTGCCAATCCGTGCCCTCACATCTGCATCCGATCCACCATGGTTGTCGATGATGCTGCCTAGATATGTAAAGGTGTTAACGTCCTCCATGGCATCTCCATCAAGAGTGATTTGGTTGGTGCATGTTGTGTTGCATCGGAGAATTTTGCTTTTTCCTTTATGTATGATGAGACCAACTGCTGCAGAGGCTGCTGCTACACTGGTCGTCTTCTCTTGCATTTGTTGTTGAGTGTGCGATAGAAGAGCCAAGTCATCTGCGAAGTCCAGATCGTCCAGCTGCGTCCTAACTGTTCAGTTGATACCGTGCTTCCCTCCAGATGTTGACGTTTTCATAATTAATTATCAGACCTATACTTGTCCAACAAATTTATATAGGTTATCTGACGGATGTGTACGTAGTGTTTCAAGCCATCCACCAAATTCCACAGCTGCTGTTATTACATGGTTTGCCCATACGTCTTTTACATTATCGCCAATCTCACAGAAACCAAACGTCTATGTACAATTAATCTGTGAACTTTAGCTATCAAAATAAACAATTGCGTTATAAATGATTTGATTACTCTCTCTCATTTATTATCGTTGTTATTTTCTCCTAAATTTCTATTCTCTTTTTACTTTTTCTTCATTGCATCATTGTAACATTGGCTAAATTTTGATGTACCTATTTCATCGTTTGATTACTTTTTAAAACACTCGTAATTAATCTGTTTCATTTTGAAATCATGAATGAATCATTGTTAGACGACCATTAGAAACTTGAAATCACTGAACGGCCGTCCCGCCCTGAAATGGAGCACAGTAGCAGTGTGCATCCATGACTCCTGTTACTCGCAGGATTCGAACCCAGAACCTTTGGTGTTGCGCGTGAACGTCTGTATGTATTTATAATTTTCCATGTCTTTCCGTTTATACTCTTCGCTATCTTATCATTATTTACACACTTATTACGTAATTATTATTATGCTTTGTGGTAATTATTTTAAGTCTATTTATCCACATTTCATGTACTATAGTATTTCAACTCGTTTTTTAAACTTTTAACAGGGTTTTTTAAAATAACCAAAACATTTTTTAAAATTTTCACAGCGTTTTTTAAAATTTTTTGTAATCCTTAGAATGTCAGAAATAAATAGAAAAAACAACTTGATTTCGAATGAAAAAAGAAAAAGCCTTATATAAAAAAAGTTATTGAAGATGGATACAGCGTCAAGGATACGGCATTTCTTACAGATGTAAACTATCAGGCCGCTACAAATATATATTATAAGGTTGTATATATAGAAAGGAATCGCGAGTTGAGAAGAAAAAAACAGGAAAACTATCAAATAAGAAGATATGCGGTGATATTATCAATTTTGTTGAAGAATTGATAGAATTAAACCCGTTAATAACGATGGTAGAAATTCGAGAAAAAATAGAAAACATATTTTCTATAGGCCTTTCTCTTGAATCTATAAGAAGGATAATTTGTAGACTTCAGGTTACTAAATTCTGTAAATCAATTAACCAGGGATGTTTTACAAGGTTATTCAAGAAACGTACGTCGCAATTGTTTAAAAGCGATTGCTAAAGAAGATTTTAATTAAAAGTAGTTCTTATTTAATTTTTTTAAAAATTTTTAAAAAACGCTGTGAAAATTTTAAAAAATTTTTTGGTTATTTTAAAAAACCCTGTTAAAAGTTTAAAAAACGAGTTGAAATACTATGCTTCCCAAGTCGAACTGATGATAAAAACTTATGTTATCGATTTTATTATTTTTACTACTATCAGTACAGTTGTCTTCTTACTATCAACTTGTACTATTTATTACCTATTATGGGTTATAGTGACGTAATCTATTTCATTGTGACTAATAACTCAACTTGCCTTGTTTGGTTCAACTTTTTCATATAAATATCCTTGGATAATATAGAGAGTAAAGCTTGATAGCGATCTAATTGAAAATAAAATTGTTCGCTTACATCTGTCATTCTAATTTAGAACAACACAGATATAAGCGAACAATAATGTTGTTTTCGATTAGATCGTCATCAGTCTTTACTCTAATATACATGAATATGTATGTATGAAAATGTTGAACCAATCAACTCAATTTGAGTCGATAATCACAATGAAATGAAATAGAGATTCCGTCACTACACATAATTGACCAAAAGTACAAGTTGATAGTAGGAAGACAGGTGTACTGACAGTTGTGGTAAGAAAAATAATATACCATAACAAAAGTTTTATCAATAGTAGGTTATATGTCTCACTGGCAGAGCAAAAATGATCTGTTCAATGGATACTTTAAGTCAGGAGCTGCAATTTATCAACAGCTCACTGAGCGAGATCGGCTACTCCAGCGCATTCATAAGGAGGTATATGGTTGATGGAAAAAAGAAGTCAGTAATTTCGACCGTCCGAAAGAAGCGATTATTTGTTAACTTACAATTCAACGGATATGTGGCCTGCGATACTCTGCAGGTCAGATTAATGAGAGCAATTAGTAGAACATACAATGCAGCCAAACTTGCGTCGACCTTCTCAGGTAGACCAGCGATGTCTACCCAAACGAAGGATAAGTTACCTGAGTTGGCCTCCTCTGTGTGCATTTACAAATTCAGCTGCTTCTGTAGAGATATATATATATATCGGGCGTACTACCAGGCAACTTAACCAACGAACGAGTGAACATCTCCCAGAGTGGTTTAAGAAGGGTCAGTCAAAAATAATACACAGTTAGATCTTTGCACACCTGGTTGATAGTGGTCATATTGTAGATAAGTCTAGATCTTTTCGGGTGATCTATCGTATACCTCAATCATTTCTCAACGGAGTTCGATCCCGTCTCCTACACATAGCAGAAGCCATAGGAATTTGTATATTCAACCCTAATTTATGTGTTCAGAAGAAATTCGTAACGCCGCTATCTCTTCCATGGCTGGATATGACTTAACCAACGTTTAAAATTATTTTTAAATTGTATTTTGTTATTAATAGCATTATTTTCACATCCTGGTATTTGTTGGTAATTTTTTGCCTCTTTCCGTTTATACTCTTCACTATCTAATTATGTACGCACTTCTTATTATGTAATGGTTTTAATGTCTTGTGACGATTAATTTAAACCTGTTTATCCGCGTTTTATCTATTATTGATAAAACTTTAGTTATCGTGTTCCATTGTTCTTACTACTATCAGTACACCTGTGTTCCTAATATCAACTTGTACTTTTGGTCAATTATGTGTAGTGAAGTAATCTATTCCATTTCATTGTGATTATCGACTCAAATTGAGTTGATTGGTTCAACATTTTCATATAAGCATTCATGTATATTATAGTAAAGACTGATGACGATCTAATCGAAAACAACACTATTGTTCGCTTATATCTGTGTTGTTCCGATTTTCACAATGGGAATTGTTTATAGCATTCTAATTTACTTGATAATATGTATAATGTTGTTGTTTTAACATCATTCATGATAGCCAATGAATAAATCACTTAGAAACTATCACGCTTTAGTGAAACAGTAACCATAAAATATGTCTTACGACCTCAGTGTCATGAATTTGTTATAGCAATACTTTTTCCACGACTTCGACAATAATTTCTTATTCAGTTTGAACTCAACTACTTAAATTTTATTCAATAATATAAAAACAATAACATCATTTTCAACTTCTGACCATCTTTTTCCTACACCCTTCCCAGTTTTGTCCCCTAATATATTTCTATGTCAAACTTTGAAATAGATAACCACTAGAACAAGATTATAAGTCCTCAAAAATTATGACCTTTTCAGAATCTACATCTGCCCTTCAAATGTACAGGTTCCTAAAACTCATCTCTTCCTTACATATCCGAAAATTCAAAATAAAAGATGAATAAACTTTGCATTTTTACAGTATACCAAATTAGATTGGGCTTAAAACCTACTGCTAGTCTAGTAGAGAAATATTTATACAAGTGGACGTAATATCCACAAGCATATAACTGTTAGCACATATAATACATGACACTTAAAAGCATGAGAGGAGGTATGATAACTGATTCCTCCACGTCATAAAGGCTCATGCCTGTTTTATGCAAAAGTAACTGACTAATTTTAATCTTTGCATTATCCTTTTGTCTAGCTTTTATTTCTAGATGATAACAGTTTGTTTAATTTTAAATGATACTTTTTACAGTACATTTTAAAAAAATTCACATCAAACCACTCACCATAAACGTAAAATATTTTGAGCTGCACGTGTTCTTATTTCCGGATTTGAATGAGTGAGAAGTTTAGTAAACAATGGTATCCCACCGGCATTTAAACCTTCTTCAGTTTCAAAACTGAAGCAGTGATATAAAGTGTCCAATACAATAATCTAATTGTAACAGAGTAACCATTATTAAAGCATACTAACTTTGATTTCATCCACTTCCTTTTCAACACATTTAACTAATAAATTAATATATTTTGCTTCAATAATTGCCTGGACACCTGATAAATTTGTGGTTAAAAGTTCAATAGCTCGGTGTACATTTAATCTGATAATATCAGGTTGTTGTAAATCTAGAAGTGGCTCAAAAAACTCTAAAATATTATGTTTCAATGCAGTGTCTCGACCGACTGCATGTTCTATTTTTGAGTTAAAACTGAAAATGAAAATTATTTGTAAGACTTACGGCAAATAATTACAAAACATTCTGTTGAATATCCTCTACAAGGTATATCGGGATCTTTTAACAAATCGGTCAATGAAATAATAATTCCTGTAACAAATTAATTGAATAAGAAAATCAAAAATCACAGTACTTTACCTTCATGTATTGCTTCAACAATATGCTCAGGATCATGTAAATAATCACATAAGGCTTTGACAGCTCGTTGGCGTGTTATTAGTTCTGCATCTCTCAATTCTCTATTCTTTTAAATGTTAACAAGATGTAAAGTAAAGATAAACAGCGTATACATGTAACATTTGATAAAAAGGGAGAAATGCATATGGATTTCTTAAATTAAGCACTAGATATTTTTGATATTTTAAATCAGAGTAAAATGAACCAATGGAATAAACCGACGTTATACTTTGCATTTCGAGAATCGAATTAATCTCAATTCTATAAAATTAAGTCTACCCAGTGATATATGCTCTTACAAGTGTATTTCTCGATTATTTGAGAAAATAAATTCCCACTTTTTTAATTAATTAGGAGTCTTAAAAGGCATTTTATTCTGTTATTACATCCTCAATTAGTTTTTAACAGACCTCCCGTTCTAAAATTTGACCGACTGTCTGCAAACCGTGATATACGCATTATGAATTTTAAACGATACACAAATCGCTCAAATTGTGACTACATCACAAAAGGCAGCATGAACTCGACAATTAACTATCAAATACATAATCACTTAAGAACGATGAGGTATGCCTACCAGGATGTTGCTGAAACAGCCTATTTTAAACACTAGCTAATACAATCTGAAAAATTATACGGTTATAGATGAATCATAAATCTTATACTGAATCCTATGAAATTAACTACATATCTTCACAAACTTTGTTAGTTTAGTCAAGAAAAAGCTAGTCGGTGGACCAGTGCTTTATGCTTATGACCGGAATAAAGGTGACATTTATACATACATGCAAATGTGAACCATTTTTTAAACTATGTAAATTTCAGCATTTAACCGGTGGTGCATGAATTCTTGACCGCGCTTAGGAACTGCACATTATCTTAAGTTACCTATTCCACAGAGGAAATCAAAAGAAGAGGGTTAAAGAGGTAACTTAATAGTAGAGTAATACAGACAGACAACCAGAGGTGGCCAAGAGAGGAGGTTATTTTCTGTGTAACAAAGTCCAAATAGAAAACAACAGCACGATGGATATTATTACAGTGTTTAAATGAAATGTATGTGAACTTCAGAGAAAAATATGTGCTCCTTTAGTAATGTCGCGCTCCTGCAAACCTCAACACCGGTGACATATCTTATATTTGATCATGGCAACTAGCCGTATTGTTTGTCTTTCACTCAATGACCAATGAAAAACAGGTTGAATAGCAACTCAAGAAGCAATATCGCCGAATGTTATAAAATCAAGAGTCATCTTTTAGTATCAGTAGTACCCGAATTATACCTCTTTGTAGCCGTGTTTTATCACTGAGGACATAGGCGTCAGCTACAAAAGCCATTACATTGCAGCAGACGTAAAAATTACAATGGACTAATCATAAAATTATAATTGTGGAACAAATCAGTCATTATATTGGACAGACGTGTCTCCAACTTGACCATAAAGTACATATTGTCTAGTCGTGAATAGTGAATTTTTTTTCTGATGTTGGTAAAAAACAGAATCACCAATCGATTTATTTAGTTATCCTATAATTATCATCACCCAGGGCATTGTACATTATCTCGAACAGAAGAATTCTTCATCAACAATACTGATTAGTTTAGTAAATCAAAGATCTTTTTGTAAACCAATTGTAAATCAATCGATTTCGTTGCGCTCGATTCTTGTTCATTCGGTACGTTTCCAGTTGTTTGGTAGTGTCCAAAGAATGACGGTCTAGCCAGTTGACTGTCTAATTCTAGTACGTTGGCAGTTTTTTGTGAGTCCGTTTGTCCCGGAATTTTAATTACTACATTTTTTCAGGGAATTACGGCTTCAGGATACCAGAAGCTATCACGTTATGAGGCCGATGATCAGTTAGGATCAATGTGGAGAAAAGGTAGATAAGAACAAAGGGGAAAATATTTGGAGAGTAAAACGTACGATTCGTTTTACGGCTAGTCTTCCGTAGGCTAGAGTAGCTTTCGTCGGGTCAATATTAGGAGGTGGCTCCAGACTTATTCTTGCTAACGCCATTTCAAATATTTGCCACTAGAAACCATGGTGAGGATGAAGGGACTGTTCAAAATATAATATTTGTGCGACTCATTCAATGGGTTGTCTACTGTAAACTCTCGATTATCGTCATTTCAGTAGGGTTTCAGGTTTTTATTAGTGTCCAATGGATAGTATTTTAACCGCCCAAATGCCCTGATTCCAATAAGTTGGCAGTAAATCATGGATGTTCCGTGATTTGAATGAGTGCGTTTATTTCACGGCAGTACAGCTTCTAGATGCCAGGAGATCAGTTAGTTGCATCGTGTATAATATTGAGGAGAAAAATATGATGCTAACAGGACGATTTCAGGACTAACTAAACGAGTGGATAAATAAGTTAATTATTGGCAGTGAAGACTGTGCGAGAGGACTGAACTGTAAAAGAAGAACAGGAAACAGAAATGATAAGAGAGATAGAATAAGTTAGTGATTTGAGAAAATGATAATAACAACCAGCAGGTTTCGAGACATGCATCATTCACAGTTGGTCGAAACAGATGTTGATTATTCAAATGTCATTGCATGTCTTGAACTCTTTTCTTGACTTTCTTCAATCGGGGAGCTATGGTCACTTCAGCCGGGGAAGAATCCCAAGTTGCGACAACTCCTAATTAGACCAGCGCTTGGATCTGGGTGCTTGCTCTTTGATATGCAATTTTTAAGTGTTACCCAGAGGGGAATCGTGGTTATGTTTTAACAAGATGCTTGTGTTTGGCGTACTGAACATGGTATGGAAGGTCAGTCTAAACCTCTCCGCTTCTTACTGACCTCCAAATCTTTACATCGCCTGCACAGATTAGTGCAACTGAGCTAATTTTATCTAACTTAACGTTAAGGAATATCACAAAGAGGAGTGGACTTAAAATGGCTCCTGTGAAACTCCTGATGCCGAGACACATCAGCTCGCATCCACTGTATTCACCCTGGTACGAAACTTTCTGAGTGAGATAAATGTGGATCAGTAAGGCCATCTTTTAAACCTTTACAATTAGGAATACGTGAGGTAATGTATCAAGGTCTTTTGCGAAGTCAGGAAAGATCATGTCAACCATAGGCACATCGGTCCCATGCCATCAGAAGATTAGATGCACATGATCTGAGTTTCCTTAACCCTTATACAACTTCATGAGGGATGTTGTTCTTGTCAGTGTGCTCCCTCACCTGCCTATTCACAAGTTTTTCCATTACGTTCGACAGTATCTATAGTAATTCGACTAGTCTGTAACTGACCAGATCCTTCCTATCTCCTCCTTTAAAGTCTGGAAAGAGAGTATCTCGTCTCCGTCTGGCCGATAGTTGATGTGATTCCTGTGAATGCCTAAAAAGGTCACATACCTCTAAACTAACGGCTTCTGAACACTATTTCGACATTATAGGACCCATATTGTCACATTCTGATTACAATTGTTGTTGCAGGGATTTTAGTTTACTTGGTACTAGGTCAGGAGTAAGTCGTCTATTTACTAGACCACTAGCGTGCTCTAGGTTTGAGTAGTGCTCCGAACTTGTAGGTACTTGGTTTAACAGATTGGTGAATTTGTTTTTCAAAGATCTCAGGCATATCTAGGTTGATGAGATCTTGACCATTTGAACCATAAGGAGCACAAATACACTCGTTCGTAGGTGTTCGTTTTGCCATGAACCTAAGCAAATATCTCGGGTTCACACGCATTTTGGAAGATAGCTCTATCGGACGTGTCTACTATCAGTTACAACCTAAGCATCTAATCTGTTTCTGAATGCTAAGTTAGGACTAAAATGAAAATCCTGCAGAGAAACATTCTACTTGTACTAGACCATTTTCGCCTGTAGAAAGTATTCAGTTCCCTGCTATATATATGATCTTCCCTTTCCAAGTGTGTGTGCCTGAGGCGCAGTGTGAATGAGTGCGTTGTGAATGATGTCGCTTACTGTTTGCCACTGTTTATCTACTTTTGGAAGACGCTCTGTCATGGACGTGTAGCTTGACCTAGTTTAGCAAGGTTTAATCGTTTTCTTCCTTTGTTTATGAACACTTTCAGCATGGCTGCACCAAGGTCTCTACCTGTCACTGGTGTTTTGACTTGGGCAAGCTACCACCAACCATCTCTGGCACTCCTGCAACCATCATAGTAGTTTCTTATTCTCTGCCTCTCCTCATGCTAGGAGGATTACTTCGGAACACGTTCTATGTCTAAATTTGAAATTAATGGAGGTAGTTTACCTTTAATAATTGTTGAACAGACGGCATAGTTTGGTCGGAGTACTATTCATTGCAAGCACTGTGCCTTATATATCCTTCCGTACATTATTATATACCGCACATCCTTACAAAAACTATCCTACAACACAGGTACATTAAATAAAATTAGTGAACTTTGCCTATCATTCATATCCTTCATTTACAGCGTTTTTGGAGCTGCAGTCTCACTCTTTTCCCTTCTAACTCTTACCCGCAGTTGTATACTGTTAACAGATACTGGAGAGTGTAGTGGTTGTGAGTCGGCGTTGACTATGGTCACCACCACAGACCAATTACGTCCCAGTTACTAGCTATAACCCCCCTTGAAACAAAAACAAGGAAGAAGATCGGATCCAGAAATGAACGTATGTTTGTTGGTGATCTCGTGTGATCTGGTGAATACCGAAATCGTGCCAAGAGATACCAGGGAAACTACCGTGCGCCGGTTAACTAAGATGGGAGCGGCACGAACGGAAAGTATGTGTGTGCAGAGTATGATTAAACAAAGAGTTTAATAAAACAATCACTGGTACAGCTGGTTATAATAATGAATGTTCCTACTAAGCCAATGGCGCTCTCTATATAAAAATGGAGTCACTGCAAGAGTTCACAACAACCGGTAGTTTCGTTAATGTATTTGTTCGGGTTGCGTTGCCAGTTTGATCGGTTTTTTGCTGGATGGACCAGGTGTGTTTGACGGCGTCCGTTAATTTGTATTACTTGGGACTTGTGTCTTTTCTGCTGCTAATTTTTATCTCAGTGATTCTACAGCGTAGAAAAATATGGCAGAATCACAGAGAGGTGTGACATGACATGAACGCGCAGTAGAGTCTAGGTACTGCAGTATCACAGCAACAGAGAACTTATCCACTGCAGAAGTTACATTTAAGCGAAAAGCCCTTTGTTTTAAGTGGCAGAAAGCAGACAATACTACTATTTTTGAGTTGTTTTTAAACAGGATGCTGCGTCATTTAAGTGTCCGGACGCCTTTTTCTTCTATTCTAATTTTGCTTACTGGTCAAATCCGGAGTAGGAATATAGGAGTGGGCGATATCCTGATTTCTTTATTGAGGACGACGGAGAGGTGTTGTGGTCGACCGACTAGAATGGTACACATTACTACAAAGTTCGCTATGAAGTGGTGTTTTGAGCGTTTTCACGATTCTGCTGCCAGAAACTGGGATGTTTGTCGTACTACTATGTTGTACTGATGTACCTACTTATGGTATCGTTGTGTTATTATTATTTGAATGGGAAAATACACAGGATATGTAATTATAGAATACGTCAAATTACTCTAGTTCCGCATCGTATCAGTTTATCGACACCACAACCTTGAGGTAAATCCTGAAAATCAAAGATCACATAGTGAATGTATTCGTACTTATATCCATCTTCTCCTTGGTGTTAAAATGGGCGTTTTCTGTTAATTATTCTCAACACTGCAACTAAACGATTTCCAAGCTGGCTTTGAGATAGCTGCCGGAATCCAAAAACCCTACAGATCTAAGACAAACGTGATAACAGAAATCACGGGATGCATAAAAATCCATGACTACCAAATTATTAGAACAAGTGCAGTCGAATGACTATACTAAGATCCATTGAAAATTATTCAGTACCCATAACCATGCCGAAAAAACAGCAAGCGAGCCTGAATAAGTCATCTAGTTTATACTAGCTTGTGAAAAAATTGGGTATTGGAGACTGCACATATTGATAATTTAGATGACCGTTTGTAGGTCGCACATGGCGCAAGGTTTCTTTGTACTCACACTTGTGATTTTATTTTGAAGTATTGTGCTTTCACATATTGAATGTCCTAATCATACTTTTGTGTTGCCATCAATTATTATCAATCACTTTCATCACGAAATGCAAGTACACCCAACATGCTTACCGAGTTTTCGGCTCACACCTCACTCTACATTCCTGTTCTAGACTCTTGAACACTGTCGTTCATATTCCCTCAGCATACTACCATAATAAACGCAAACCTACTCAAGCCTGAAATTTGCGCTGAATGGTCGATAGAATTTGTGATATACCTTCTGACCTTGTAGACCTAACGGTCATTAACAGAGGTCAGAAAATAATTAACGGTTTAAAAAACTTTAAATTTCCTCCGGAATATGGGTATGTTTTCAGACGTTACTTAATAAACGTTTTAGATTATTTGCTGCTGTATTTACGGGTTTTCGCTCGATCCGTCTGGCAGCTGAATGGTAATTTGTTAATCTTGTAATTGTTTCAGGATATCATCTCATCTAAATGATCCACTTTTCACCGAAGATTTAGAAGTTGACTTTCATGTACTTTTGAGCCTTGGAGAAAAGTTTGAAGCGGATTTTTCGTCATTTTTATCAGCTGCACGAGCTGCTTTAGGATGGGATCATATATCTGATCATCGAACGCAAATTCCTTTGCTTCATTTAAGAGTAAGTGTGCTATATTGAATAATGATCTGCAGGTCAAACCCCGCGACGCACTTCACTTGGAATCGATTTTCATGAAGTCATTCGGTCTCTTGGCTCCTTCTTCATTGACCAATGCCGAACCCCTGGAGTTCCTTGTAGATATAGGAACCTCTGTTGTATGCAAATTCTCAGACTCCAAAGTATATGCCGTTCTTCTAAAGCTTTGTGAAACCTTCCTTGAAAATCTGAAAAAAGGTAAGAAGGTTGAGAATATGTGCGTATATTTTCATGCCAGTTATCCTTAGTAGCTTTTGGAACCCGTGATATCTTGACGCATTAGTTTTCTTCGTACGACTAGTCATATGATACTTATTAGTTCTAAAGCACCTTTTTGAATTTCAAACGAAAAAAAAACCATGTTCCGTACAGTTTATCGGTAGACAATAAATACTTGAAAATTAGCTGGAGACTATTTAAATGGCTTTCCTGTTTTCTTAATTCCAGTTATCTGCTCTTAAGTTAGATCATAAGATTGTCTTTCGCGACTACGATTAGTCCAGCAGTCAAATGGTGTTCCTTTCTTTCTTCAACGAATTTTATTTACCATCCTTTCTTTTCTACATTTCTTTTAAATTCGTCACTCTCTATTGTGTATACTGACTGAATTAAGTATTGTTAGTGAATCACCTCCTAATTTTTATCTTCTGGACTTATCAAAATAACTCTTTGAGCAACCGTGCATCCAACAGAGGTTTACAAAACCTAGTTTTCTTTGGTTTGAATCGCTATCACATGTCACCGTTTCTACAACTTTAAAGAACATGCCTTGCTGTGCCACGATTAGCTTTCTTCTTTCGAAATGTATACTTGAAGTTCCTGTCTTCGAGATGACGTAAAGAGGCCTTCTACTTAAAGTAAGATACAGTCAAAGCTGTACTTGGAGAAGGACTTCGTTGTAATTCAGAAATATCCTCAAAAGGAAGCTATAATCGTGGTTAATTGAACATTTTTACCAACGAAACAGCAATCTTAAACATATTTCAGCATTTATTCTGTACCTAGATTCCTGGTGGTAAGGAATGAAACTTCCAATAACTTTCTTGTGGATAGTCATACTTTTCCATTAGTATTTACATTCTGTTGGCAATAGAATGTTTTTATACCCGGTGTTTCTTAGCCATATTTGGTAAGGCAGTATTACTGAGATACAGTTTAATTACGGGATTCACCTTACTACATCTTCAATTTAGTACACCAAACAACATAACTTCATCCTCTGATTTGAATGTTTTTTCTTGATCTCACGTCTTTCCACCTAACTTAACTTTATTTATAATGTAAACGCTTACATTAACAAGGTGCTAAAAGCACCATGTCAATTTATGTAGAATAATAAAGCTTCATTCAATGTGGTTCAATTCGGTCGTCACAATCAGTCTAATAATCATCAGGTCAAAATACCAGCGACGGTTATTATGACTAATTATCAACGGGTTTATTCGGTATTATATGTTTATTACAATGTAAAACTCTCAGCGCTGCCATATTATTGAAGTGAATTTCAGAAAATACCATCTACATTTTCCGACCAATATATCTAATATTTCCTAAAGTGTACGGTAACCTTTGGGTGGTTTGACCCACGTCAGTGACTTTATAGGTTAGGAAGTAAAATTGAGAATAGCAGTGTTGTCAAATCTAGTACTTACTTACACCTGTTACCCCCAATGGAGCATAGGCTACCCACCAGTTTCCTCCAATCAACTCTGTCCTGGGCTTCCTTCTCCAGTTCTGTCCAATGTTTGTTCATTCTTCTCATATCTTTCTCTATTTCTCGGCGTAATGTGTTCTTTGGAATTCCTCTTTTCCTTTTGCCTTGAGAGTTCCATGTGAGGGCTTGTCTCGTGACACAGTTAGGCGCTTTTCGTAGTGTGTGTTCTATGCACTTCCACCACTTCTTCCTGATTTCCTCCTCCACTGTAATCTGGTTTGTTTTTTCTCCCACAGTACGTTGTTGCTGATGGTGTCTGGCCAACGAATCCGAAGTATTTTGCGTAGATAACTGTTAGTAAACACTTGTATCTTCTGGATGATAGCTTTGACAGTTCTCCAAGTTTCCGCTCCGTGGATGCTGCTTCGATGTTGGGTGTGTTCAGTGGAGCTGGTTGATTCAATAGTTCCTTAAAGTGCTCTACCAACCTATTTCGCTGTTCTTCAGTGTCGCTGATTACTTTCCCTTCCTTGCTTTTCACTGGTCGTTCTGGTTTACGATAGTTTCCAGCGAGCTTCTTTGTTCTTTCGTACAATTGTCTCAAGTTTTCGACTCTTGCAGAGATCCATTCCTTGTGATGGTACTTCTTGTGACCCAGAACTTCGTGACATGTTGAAGTTATTGCCTCCTTAATCCCTTTCCAATTGTTCTCCAATGTTGAGTCCTCTCCATTGAGTAGATCCTGAAAGGCCTGGAACCTATTGGTGAGGGCTATCCTGAATTCGTTGAGCTTTACAGTATCCCGAAGAAAGGCAGTATTAAACTTGTGTGATGTCGTCTGTCCTGTTGTCCAGTTCTTCTTAAGTTTCAGTTTCATTTTGGCGATCAGCAAGTGGTGATCTGAGGCCATATCAGCTCCTCTCCTGGTTCTCACATCCTCCATAGTCATTTTGAACGTTTTGTTGATACAGATATGATCAATCTGGTTTCGAGTAGTGTGATCCGGTGAAATCCATGTGGCTTTGCGTATGCGTTTGTGTGGGAATATTGTGCCACCGACGACCAGTTTGTTGAAGGCACATAGGTTTGCAAATCTCTCACCGTTTTCGTTCCTTTCTCCCAGTCCATGTCGTCCCATGATGTCTTCATATCCAGTGTTGTCCATCCCAACCTTGGCATTCAGGTCTCCCATAAGAATCGTCAAATCCTTTGGTGAATATTTCTCGACGATTGACTGCAGCCTCTCGTAGAATTGATCTTTAACGTCGTCCTTGTAGTCATTGGTAGGTGCATAACATTGGATGACGTTCATTGTAATTTCCTCTTTTTTCGTTTTGAAGGATGCTTTGATGATCCTGGGTCCATGAGATTCCCATCCTATCAGTGCCTTTTGTGCATGTTTGGACAGCATCAGTGCAACTCCTTGTGTATGTGAAGCATTTTCCTCTTCATGACCAGAGTATAACAGCAGTTCCCCTGAATCTAGTCTCAGTTGTCCTACTACCTGTGTCCAATGCGTTTCACTGATGCCGAACACCTCGACGTTGTATCTTTTCATTTCTGCCGCAACTTAAAGTAGTCTTCCAGTCTCCCACAATGTACGAACGTTCCATGTACCTAAAAGAATGATAGCTCTGGTTGTCAGAAGGGTCATCGAACCCGTGACTTCCGAGTGAACTCGGATTCCATCACGCAACGTCATAATTCTTCTTCCAACTCCCAAGGCAGAGTTAAAATGGTTTGAATTATTTTTTCTGGTTAGCGTTTTTTTGGCAAGTTAGTTTATTGACGGAATGGGGTCGCCAACCCCATGTCCAACCCTCCTTCTTTACCCGGGCTTGGGACCGGCAGTAGCCCCTAAGGTTCTGCTGGCGGAGTTAAATATAGTTAGTATTTAATATATTTATATGACACAGAATAAATTTTGAGTTTCTTTCTGCTTTCATTGAATCTCTTCTAGCTGAAATAAATGTTTGTGTCATATCTAGTCCAAACGAATGGAATAATCCATTAATATTAGTCAATAGTATTAATAGTATTGAGAAAAATTTAGTTTTGATTCAACTCAAAGAAATGTATCTATCAGATCATTATACTATCAATGAATTAAACCAACCAGTTAATCATCAATTGAAATTCTGTTTATATTCACATGATCCACGTTTAAAAGATTCAAGTTGTGAGGTATGTTCATTTGTTTCTGTCTTTTTTATACACTTACATGAAAATCCATAACTTCATACTTTTGAACGCGAATTTATTGAAAAACACTGCAGCTATCAGTTTTACTAGAATCATGATTACACTGGGGCCAGTCAGAGTAGAACATATTTGTAGGTTAGTAGTTTTCGATCATAGGTGTCTTCGAAGCATTGCTCATGTATCATGGGACAACCGAGTAAATAATGCTGTTGTTAGGAAACGGGTGCTGGGTAAGGATGGTAGGTCAATAGATGAACTATTGAAATTTCATCAGTTGAGGTGGTTGGGATATGTGCTGTATATGCCTAACCACTGACTGCCTCGACGAGCTACGTTTTGTAGTGTAGGAGTAAGTTGGGAGAAAGCTATGGGTGGCCAAAGCAAAACAATGGCAAAAATCCATGAAGTCACTGACAAGTGGACTGAGTCATGTCGGTAGGTGCTGACTACCTGGTTGGGGTCCGCGAGATGATAATAATCGATGGTTGGAAACCCTGAATGACATGGCTCAAAACCGTTTGCAGTGGCGCAGGTGCATTTACCCTTTTTGTTCTATGAAATTCTAACCTCAGTTAATCATCAACTCTGTCTTTCTCTTTCTAAATTTACCTTACTGAATCATACTTCTTGAATAATATCTTCTAATCCTAACCTCTCAGATTACTCCTAATACTTTAACTGCCTCTACTACTATGGGATTTGAATTGACAATTATATCTCTGTGCTAATGTGGTATGGCAACCTGAACTGTTGTACTAACGTGCAAAGTTCTACGTTGGGTGTTGTTGTTGGTGATGATGATTACACTGAGCACTGAGTTGAGATTATCTTCCTGTTCAAACTTACATGAATTTTCAACGATGTACAAATAATAGTTTAGTTGTTCAGTTATATTACAATGATTCAGTCTAATATGATCACAAAATGTTTTTCTTGCAAATCTAAACAGCGTACATATCATAATTTTGTCTACCTGAGCGCATACAACTAGTGACTAAAATACCAGTTTCCTCCAAACAACTGTGTCCCGGGCTTCCCTCTCTAGTTCTGTCCAATGTTTGTTCATTCCTCTCATATCTTTCTCTATTTCTCGGCATAATGTGTTCTTTGGTATTCCTCTTTTCCTTTTGTCTTGAGGGTTCCATGTGAGGGCTTGTCTTGTGACGCAGTTCGGTGCTTTTTGTAGTGTGTGTCCTATCCACTTCCACCACTTCTTCCTGATTTCCTCCATTGGAATATGGTTTATTCTCTCGCACAGTAAGTTGTTGCTGACTGTGTCTAGCCTTCCGGTTCGCATTATCTTGCGTAGATGACTGTCAATAAACACTTGTATCTTACGAATTATGGCTTTCGTAGTTCGCCAAGTTCCCGCTCCGTACAGTAGAACTTTCTTGACATTGGTATGGAAAATTGTGACATTGTTGTTGATTGGCTGCTTTGCAGTTGTAGAAATTCTGCCTTCGCTTTGCCGATACGCGCCTTCACATATGCTATAGATCTACCTTACTCATTATTGATGCTACCCAAAGCTTGTTTGTCATGTGTGATTTTGTTGATGCATGAGTATTCCTCATAATCTCTATCTTTTTCCTTCTAAATTTATCTCACTAAAATTATACTTCTCGAATCATATCTTTACTCCCTAATCTTCTCCATTAATGCTAATACTTCTATTGTTGTTATCACTCTTGGATTTAAACTGACAGTTGCGTCTCTGTGCTGACGTGCGTGGTATGGCAACGTGAACTGATTTACTTACGTATGAAGTTCTGCGTTGTATCTCTCTCTCTCTCTCTCTGTCTCTCTGAGTATTTTAACTACAAAAATAATCATACAGTATTCCTGAATGTCCATATTTATTTTCTTTTATGCTTATATAGGTCTATGAAATGTTAACCGATGTAGAATTTCATTCATCTTCTCCGCCGATCAATTCACCTATCACAAATGATAATCATAAAAATGGTGATAAAAAATCGCCAACTTGTAATGCCAAATTGACAGATAGTCCGAATGTTAATAATAATAATAATAATCAGTCACAATGTGATTTGTATTCGAATCAAATTCCTGCCTCTATGTATCATTCTCCCGGTTATCGAGGACGTCTTCTGGAACATTATGTTGGTGATTACATATTACTGATTGATTCGATTTCTCTTAATGAACGATTAGGTTGTCCATTAGGCATTAATTTATGCACTGGTGAATCTGGTTTATTTAATATATCAGCTGGTAGACGTATACCACAATGTCAAACTTGGACGTTGCATTGGTAAGTGGAATTTTTTCTACTGTGTATGCTTTGTATTTTTATCTTGTCCAAACATCTTCCTATGTTGTGTTTTAGTTTATAAGGGTTGGATTTTTAGTGACTGTCAAGACTGGAAGTTACGTAAAAACATCGATACAAACGATCAGCGCGGATACAGAAAGCTCGATTGGCTTTTGCCAACCTGTGTCACTTATGGCGTAGGCGTGTTATCTGTTCGCTAACCAAAGGACGGGTGTACTGCGCAGCATTTCGCTCCGTTCTCCTATATGAATGTGAAACATGGCCGTTAAGAGTAGAAGATGTTCGTAGGTTACTAGTATTCGATCATAGATGTTTAAGAAGCATTGCTCGTATATCGTGGGACAGCCGAGTAAGCAATGCTGTCGTTAGGAAACGAGTACTAGGTAAGGATAGCAGATCAATAGATGAAGTGGTGAAACTTCATCAGTTGAGGTGGTTGGTCCATGTGTTACGAATGCTTAACCACAGACTGCCTCGACGAGTTGTGTTTCGTGGTGTAGGAATAGGTTGGAAGAAAGCTAGGGGTGGCCAAACCAAAACCTGGCAGAAATGCATGAAGTTACTGACAAGTGGACTGAGTCATGTTGGTAGATATAGACTACCTGGTTGGGGTCCGCGAGACGATAGTCACCAATGGTTAGAGACCTTGAACGACATCGCTCAGAATCGTTTGCAATGGCGCAAGTGCATCCATTCGTTGAGCTCTTTCAAATCCTAATCTTCTGGATTTGTCAGCGCCTCTACCTTTGTGTGTTTCTAACCTTATCTCACTGAATTATACTTCTTGAATAATATATTCAAACCCTAGTCTTCTTCATTACCATTAATACCTCTACTATCTTTATCACTATGGGATTTGATTTGACATTTGCTAATGTGATATGGCAACATGAACTTATGTACATACGTACGAAGTTCTTACGTTGCAGCTGTCTGACTGACAAACGGTCACCTAACTATATATATGCGGTACATAAATTATTGAATTTGTCAGTGAGCTGGGATACTTCCCCGGCGCTCAAACCGAATCAAGTGGTTTTTCTAATAGGGTCTAACCCACAATGCAACGGAACAAGATCAGGAAATGCAGTTCCATTGTAATGCACAAAGACGTCAAGAACATCTAATCTTCAGACTTCCATTTGCACAACAAGCAAATAGCTGACTGCTTTCTTTTATATGTCTTCTGGTCTTCAAAAAACAAATTTGATTGCACCATACTTTTTAATCCGACAATTCTCTCCAGTAGTAACTGCTGGGCGACACTCCGCTGTATACTACTTATATGCCATGTTGTGAGTAGCATCCACCACACCATGTTGACAGGTAACCAAATGTGGGTCCGTGCACCATGCGTTTCCTCATGATCCTCAGACCCATGTGTGCCATTGGTTTGAAATTAGGGTTCTGCAATCTGTTTACCTTGAGGGATAGTGTTGTCTAGTGTATGATTAGGCTAGAAGACAGAATAGTCAGACCAGATTGGTCTCTCGTGCTGTTACGGGTATGAGGGCGGTTGTCAATTCCCGGCTGCCCACACCGTAGAAGGTTGTTTCTTGAGGGACCCGAAAAGGAAGATAGATTAGTGTTGGTCTTAGAGACCTGGGAGCGTGACCGCAGAGTCCAAGGGACAACTGCTTGAGGCCGGTCATGCACGGCCTTTGTATTAAAGGTTTTTTGAGGATTAGCTCCGTTCTTAAAGGCCCTTAGTGGGCACCCTTACCGCCGGAGACGGAAATCCGTGAGTTAGGGGAAGTGTGACATTTTTATGGTCGACCTTTTCTAACCCTTCCTTCCTTGTGAGAAGGCAGCATCACTGCAGATGCTCGTTCTCCGAGGGAAACACCTTGCTGCTGTCTCATTCCTCTGCAATCAGCAGTACGTCTTCGCCCTCAGACCTTGGGTAGCTGCTTTTAGTCTCATCGTTCTCCAATCGACCAGCCTGGCATAGTAGGACCTTCAGGAGAACATATGTTCCAGCCAGTATAGCTCGGTTGGGTCATCACGATAGGCAATCCCGACCACCACGTCAAGGTAGCAGCTACGGTCGGGAGAAGACAGAATAGAAACAGTTACGCAAACATACAGAGATAAATATTGAAATTATTTAAGATACAATAAGTGAGAGAAATTTAAAAAATCACAGATCATACAATGAACAGACGAAGTTTCTCTGAACTATACAATGTATATAAGCATAATACATTTCGAACGATTTGATCACACCTACACACACACACACATGTTAAGGATATTCGTATCTGAAAAATAAAAGGTCAGCTAGACACATGAAAAGATTTCTGCATGCTACCTTGTAGATGCACACTGCTGATTTGTTCCACACAAGGACGAAACGATAGGCCTGTTCTTTCTCCTTTTTTTTTGAAGGTGGTCTAGTTAAAATCAGTTTGTTATTTTAAAACTGTGATTTGACAAAACGAAGATAATATTGAAAACAATGTAAGTACACCGCAATAAGTAAACGTTTCGTGGAATATGCCTAATTCTCTGTTGTTAAAGTATCATCAAATCTCTGTATGGGCCTCCACATCTTCTTATACAACAACGAAAAGGTTAATTTGATATCATTTCTATGGAGCATCTCAACCAAACTTTGAAGTACTACCTACTCATCTAGAAGTCATCGAGTGAACAAGCTTAGATGCATAATACTTGGCTAAGATCGCAAATCAGTTGATATGGTAGTGAATTCATATTTGACTGTGGTAGTCAGGACATGGGTTACGTTATGTCTAACCACCGCCTACATCGAACAGGGATGTTCACTTGTGTAGAAATAAGTTAGCGAAAAGCTGGGAGTGATCAAACCTAGTTCTGGTATCAGTCCATGAAGTTACTGACTTTTGATATAAGTCACGTTAGTAAATACACACCACGTAATTCAGTGTCGCCATCCGGAGCGACATAGATCAGAATTGTTAACTAGCTCACAGTCGCATCCTTCTGAATCTTAATTTACAATATTCCTTTGTTCAAAAAACATTATTAATGTCCTGTCTTACTCTTCTCATCTTGTCGCCTCGACGTGACAAATTGAGCCAACATCCCATCTGTGCAAACCATACATCATACATTAATAGTCAAACTAACTCATTATTTCATTCTATGTTAATCACCGTAATGCAAGTGAGAACCTTTTTTGTTTGCTTTTCTTTCAGTTCTGTTCCATTAAACTTAACGTCTTCAGTGAAACTTCATCAGTTGAGGTGATTGGGATATGTGCTGCGTATGCCTATCCATCGACTGCCTCCATGATCGTTGTTTCGCAGTGTAGGAGTAGGTTGGAAGAAATTAAGGGGCGGCCAAACCAAAACATGGCAGCAATCCTTGAAGTCATTGATAAGTGGACTGAGTCATGTCGGTAGTTGTCGACTACCTGGTTGGGGTCCGCGAGATAATAATAATCAATGGTTAGAGACCCTGAATGACATGGCTCAAAACCGTTTGCAATGGCGCCAGTGCATTTATTCTTTGTATTCTCTCAAATCCTAAACTTTTTAACTCTTCATCACTTTATCTTTATCTTTTTAAGTTTATTTCACTAGATTCTACTTCTTGACTAATATCTTATAATCCTAACCTTTCCGATTACTGCTAATACCTCTACTACTGTTCTATTTGAATTGACAATTACATCTCTGTGCTAATAATGTGTTATGGCAACATGAACTGATGTACGTACGTACGTACGAAGTTCTGCGTTGCTACTAATTGATTGATTGAATCCATACTGACTGAGGTAGTCAGGATATGTGTTACGTCATGTTTAACCACCGCCTACATAGAGCACAGATGTTCGCTGGTGTAGAAAGAAGTTGGCGGAAACCTTGGAATGATCAAACCTAGTTCTGGTATCAGTCCATGAAGTTAATGACTGTTGATGTAAGTCATGTTAGTAAATACAGGCCACGTGATTTGGTCTGTGTTATGTAATTAAGTCTTACACTTTGTTTGTCATGTTTTTTTTTTCATCAGTACATTCTATGTTAATTACCATAATGCAAGTGAGAACCTTTTTTTATTTGGTTTTGTTTCAGTTCTGTTCCATTAAACTTAACGTCTTCAGTGAATATGGTAAGCAATGTAATATGTATCGAACAATTTATGCTAAAACGTTTTTATTCTATCTCTATTTTTGCATTATGGAGTTTTGGAGATTATTGAATTTCTTTGAAGTAATGAATAGATCATAGTTAGACGACCATTAGAAAGCTGGAAGCATTGGATAGCAGTTTCGTCCTAGTATGGGACTCATCAGCGGCGCGTTCGCGCGCGATACCGAAAGTCCTGGGGTTTGATTCCCGTTAGCAGGGGTCATGAGTGTGCCCTACTAATGAGTCTCATACTAGGATTAAACGATTATCTGTTGCTTCCGGGTTTCTAATCGCGGTCGGTTCATCATTTCTTCACTTTGTCATTATCCTTTTTTTCATAGTTAATTATACCTTTCATATCCCTGAAAGTTTCAAACTTGTTGACTTTATTAGATATAAATAAAATTTAAATCCTCTATGAGTACATATTCATTTTCTATTGTTTAATCAAAAGATATAACAGTGAATAAAAAGTTCCAGTGTGTTTACGATAGTTACTTACTTACATACCTACGCTCGGTACCCCCAATGGTGAATAGGATGCCGACCAGCGTTCTCCAACCTGCTCTGTCATGGGCCTTGCTTTTTAGTTCTGTCCAATTCTTGTTCATTCTTCTCATGTCTATCTCCACTTTCTCGGCGTAATGTGTTTTTTGATCTTCCTCTCTTCCTTTAACCCTAAGGGTGCCATGTTACGGCTTGTCTTGTGATGCAGTTGACTGCTTTCCTCAATGTTTGTTTTATCCTGTATAGAGAGTTGTATAGATTAATGTAAATCTGATTATTTGTGTGTTTATTCAGTCAGTCAGTCAGTCAGTTGCAACGTAGAACTTCGTACGTATGTACATAAGTTCATGTTGCCATAGCACATCACCACAGAGACGCAAATGTCGAATCAAATTCCATAGTGATAAAGATAGTAGAGGTATTAATGGTAATGAAGAAGACTAGGTTTCGAATATATTATTATAGAAGTATAATTCAGTGAAATAAGGTTAGAAAAAGACAAAGGGAGAGGTGCTGACGAATCCAAAGATTAGGATTTGAGAGACAACAAAGAATGGATGCACTTGTGCCATTGCAAACGATTCTGAGCCATGCCAGTCAAGGTCTCTAACCATTGGTGACTTTCGTCTCGCGGACCCCAACCAGGTAGTCTACATCTATCAACATGACTCAGTCCACTTGTCAGTGAGTGCATGGATTTGTGCCATGTTTCTGTCTGACCGCCCCTAGCTTTCTTCCAACCTACTCCTACACTACAAAACATAGCTCGTCGAGGCAGTCGGTGATTAGGTATTCGCAACACATGTCCCAACCACCTCAACTCATGAAGTTTCACCACTTCATCTATTGATCTGCCATTCTTACCTAGCACCCGATTCCTAATAACAGCGTCGCTCACTCGGGTGTCCCACGATATACGAGCAATGCTTCGAAGACACCCATCGTTCATCAAAATGCTCTATAAATTAAATAGAACTCTCTGAGAAAAGATTTGGCTGAAGAATGTGTACATAGTTAAGGCCATAGTAATTCACGATTTCTATCTAATCTGATCTCTGTGTATATATAAAAGAATCATGTTTAAGCTCTTACAATGTGCACTGTCCAAGAACTGCTCGTGGTGCGTATTAGCTCCTCAAACTGGCTACTTGATCAATAAGACAAGAGCAGAAGCGAGAGTCCAATTGACTTCACACTCGTCGATAGATATATTCCACCTGTTTAGAAAAGAAAGTCATTTCTTGACCAATGTTGTGTATTCGTTCTTTAAGACATTTTCTGTTGAATATCAAATGTGACCATTTGTTTGTCCACTTCTAATTGACTCACTGTATCACAATCCCCTATTCTCTGATGGTCTTTGTAAATAGTTAGTTGTCGTTATTGCTTTACTTATCACCTGCTTCTCTTTTATCAAAGTCGACAATCATCTTTTCCCTTGATGGATTATCACTTGTCATTCCTTCTAAAACTATTATGTAACATTCTTTTTATTCAATACTTGAATACTTGAATTACATCGAAATAACACCCCTTCATTTGTATATGATTATATTTGGTACTTGAAATCTTGCTGAACTCAAGAATCAATCATTGTAAAACCACTATTAGGAACCTGGAAGCACTGAAAGACGGCTGTTTCGTCCTGGTATAGGACGCATCAGCAGTGCTCATCCACTACTTCTGCTACTAGCAGAATTTGAGCACAGGACCTTCGGCCTTGTGCGCAAATGCCTAGTCTCTGGATCACAGGGCCGGCACACAACAGCATTAATGTCTGATTCTGATCAATTTAGAGATTTTACGCGATCTCACCCATTTTTTCTTCGGTAGTTACTGCCTACACTTGACAGGGTTGAACTCTCCTGGTCACGTCTCTCACTAGAACTCCAAGAATTTCATCACGAAGCTGCTAGTCACTAGTGAGCACATTGTACGATTTTAAAATCTTATTAAAAATCACGAATACGTAATATTGTAGTGAACGAGAACACAGATGGGGCAACCGGATTGTAGTTAACGAAGATTACAGAGTTACTCAGTAAAATCGGAAAACCATATCGTTAATTTGCAAAATATCAGTTCATCATATCGAACTGGACTGTTCTTGTTGCAAAACATCAATCCATTGTCACTACTATTCATGCGTTTCATACAAATTCCATTGTGTTCTAACTCGTCCTTTCTTGATCTTCCCCATCTTCTGCTGCCAGACTTTACGTTTACACTCACGTCATATACTACTTATGAGTAGCTCACACCACAATATTATTTAATTTGGATAAGTTTAACTATCGTTGATAATTTCTGAAGAAATACAATCGCACAGTTTCAGAAAATGATATCGTTGAAAAGAAAAACGTTCTTTGCTGAAACATTTTTATTCTTTTTTTTTACAACGGATCAATGCACTACTTCATTGATTATTCACCAAGTGTTTATTGTCTGAGGAAAAGTCAAGTGATCAAGTGACCTAATTCTTTCAGTTATATATTCATATTCTCTTTATACTCCTCTGTGTAGAATTATCTATTCTTTAGTCATATGACTGTTTGTTTACAAGCTAAATACAATCATAATCAATATTCTACACTTACCCTAACATTGTATTTAGTTTATTTGGAATTTTGAAAGAAGTGTGAGTGTTTCTGTTGATTCTACAGGTATGGGGTATGCTGATGTATATCGTAAATTAAGGTATCCGTTCGCTGACCAAATGACGGGTGTACTGCACAGCAGTTCGCTCCGTTCTCCTATATGGATGCGAAACATGGCCGTTAAGAGTAGAAGATGTTCGTAGGTTACTAGTATTCGATCATAGATGTTTAAGAAGCATTGTTCGTATACCGTGGGACAACCGAGTAAGCAATGCTGTTGTTAGGAAACGAGTACTAGGTAAGGATGGCAAATCAATAGATGAAGTGGTGAAACTTCATGAGTTGAGGTGGTTGGGACATGTATTACGTATGGCTAACCACTGACTGCCTCGACGAGCTATGTTTTGTGGTGTAGGAGTAGGTTGGAAGAAGGCTAGGGGTGGTCAGACCAAAACATGGCAGAAATCCACGAAGTCACTGATAACTGGATTGAGTCATGTTGGTAGTTGTAGACTACCTGGTTGGGGTCCGCGAGACGAAAGTCATCAATGGTTAGAGACCTTGAACGACATGGCTCAAAATCGTTTGCAATGGCGCAGGTGCATCCACTCCTTGAGCTCTCTCAAATCCTAATCTTCTGGATTAGCCAGCACCTCTACCTTTGTCTTTCTAACCTTATCTCACTGAATTATATTTTTTGAATAATATCTTAAACCCTAGTCTTCTTCATTACCATTAATACCTCTACCATCTTTATCACTATGGGATTTGATTTGACATTTGCGTTTTTGTGCTCATGTGCTATGGCAACCTGAACTGATGTACATATGTGCGTAGTTCTTCGTTGCAACTGACTGACTGACTGACTGAGATTAATCAATACAATCTAAGCTTGTAACAACAGTTAGGACTCTTTCTTGCTAACATGAATCAATAATAATTTACAGAATCAAGCACTAAATTACGTTGAAGTATCTCTTAAAAGTAACATTTGTATAATTTAAAACCCGAATTTCGACATTCTTCTAAGTCGTTTCAAGTTGAGTAAGTCCGCAATGAACTTAGTTTAATTGGATTGGTGGTCATTGGGTAATAAACAATGTCATATGTATCTACTACTTAGTAAGGATTAAATATTATTGGTCAAATTTCAAGGTGATTATTAACCTACATGACTGTGGTAAAGTTTTATTCTCTGAGCTGGATGTTTTGGTTGTGGAGCTTTCATTGTTCTTCTGAACACAACATCAACAGCAAAAATTTCAGATAGAAGTGAAGTATTCAAATGTCTCCAGGTTTGACTCGTAGCTAGATCGCGAAGTTAACAGAACAAGCTATGGGTCAAACGGAGAGAAATTCGAATACTTTACTTCTACCATACGTTTGTGATGATGGTTTTGTTCAGAAAAATAATGAAAGCTTCACAACCAAAACATCCAGCTCAGAGAATGAAACCCAACCACAATCATCCACGTGGGCTACAAATTTTCTCCACCATCTCAAAACCTACATGACTTTACATTACATGTACGAAGAAGTTATTTTAATGTTATATAATTGGATGAAACGAAGAGAGGATTATTTAACTAGGTTTCATATAAGTTATCATTCTCCTTTATGTCAAGATCATTGATATCCTGTCTATTGTAGACATGTAGTGAAGGAGAACACAGGTGAGGGCAACCGAATTGTATTTACGAAAATTACAGAGTTACTCAGTAAAATCGAAAACCATATCGTTAATTTGCAAAATATCAGTTCATCATATCGAACTGGACTGTTCCTGTTGCAAAACATCAATCCATTGTCACTACTATTCATGCGTTTCATACAAATTCCATTGTTTTCTAACTCTTCCTTTCTTGATCTTCCCCCATCTTCTGCTGTCAGACATTACGTTGACACTCACGTCATATACTACTTATAAGTAGCTCGCACCACAGACATGCATTCTCATAGAATGTTGGGTTGTAGAACATTTAGTTTCAGGGCTTACTATCCGTTGCTTGTCACCTGTTAACATGTATTTTGACTGTTATTCTATAAGAAACCTAGCATTGTGTGTGTAATCTAGAACTGTAAACCATTGTATTTACATCTTATCAGCCAGTCAGTCGCAACGTAGAACTTCGCACGTACGTACATCAGTTCAAGTTACTATATCACATTAGCACACAGATGAAATTGTCAATTCAAACCCTAGTCGTAGAGGTAGTAATAGAAGTATTAGTGGTAATGAAGAAGATTAGGGTTCAAAGATATTATTCAAGTAGTATAATTTAGTGAGATAACTTTAGAAAGCGAAAGATAAAGGTAATGAGGACTTTAGAAGATTAGAATTTGAGGGAACACAAAGAGTGGATGCACGTGCGCCGTTACAAACTATTTGTAGTCGTGTTCTTCAAGGTCTCTAACCATCGATTATTATCTTCTCACATGCCCCAACCAGGTAGTCTACACCTACCAACATGACTCAGTCCTTTTGACAGTGACTTCATAGATTTCTGCTATGTTTCGGTCTGGCCGCCCCTAACTTTCGTCCAACCTATTCCTATATCGCAAAACATAGCTCGACGAGACAGTTTGTGGTTAGGTATACACAGCACATGTCCCAACCACCTCAACTGATGAAATTTCAATACTTCATCTATTGACCTGCCATCCCTACCCAGCACACGTTTCCTAACAACAGCATTGTTTACTCGGTTGTCGCACGATACACGAGCAATGCTTCGGAGACACCTATGATAGAATACTAGTAACCTACGAATGTCCTCTACTCTTAACGGCCATGTTTCGCATCCGTATAGTAGGACAGAGCGAACTGCTGCACGGTACATTCGTCCTTTGGTTAGCAAACGGATATCTCTCCTACGTCATGTTGTTCAAGGTCTCTAACCATCGGTTCCATTTGTCTCGTGGACCCCAACCAGGTAGTCTACACTTACCAACATGACTCAATCCACCTCTCAGTGACTTCATAGATATTTGTCCCATGTTTTCGCCTGGCCACCCCTAACTTTCTTTCAACCTAGTAGTAATGTATAATCCTAAAACTGTAAACAATTATATTTACTTGTTATCAAATATTTTCAATTTCCTTTATGTTACTTTTCCATTTTTTTCTATTAAATTGGATCATTCCTGTTGCTTTTATTCCGGGAATTCTTTTCATCAGAATAACAATCATCAACATCATCATCATCATCATAATGGCAAAACTTATAATGAAGAATTAAAAAAGCGAATCAGTCAAAATTCTTGTTTAATAGTAAAAAACACCACCTGCAACACCACCTGCAACACCAACAACAATACATCTTGTCCTACTATCCGATCACCATGTCTTTCAACTTCTTCTACTGATCATTCCTTGAATTTTTTCTCATCAGCCTCATCCTCTTCATCCTCTTCATCAACATCAACATCTTCAACATCAACATCATCGTCGTTATCTACTGATCCAGAAAAATCTAAATCCAATGTACCAAAGACTATCGCCAATAATAATAATAATAACAGTAATAATAATACTAGTCATACAGATGAACACATATCAGAGAATTCATATTATTACGCGAATGGTAAAACAACTACAAGTTGTCAAAATGAACTCCACTTACTATCACCATTGAATAATACTAACGATGAATTCAATGAACCACATTCAAAATCAATGCATACAAATCATTATCGACGATTAGGTAAATATACCACTACTCATCATCATAACAGTAATAAATCAAGACAAATGTATGTTATGCGACATGCTGAACGTGTAGATATAAGTTTTGGTCATGGATGGATTACTCAATGTTTTGATCAAAAAGGTATGTGTGTTTGTATTAAATGGCGGGGTTGTTGTGAAGATTGTTAAGTGACACAATTTTTGAAAGCATGAATTGAAACCTGGAAGCATTGAAAGACGACCGTTTCGTCCTATAGTATGTATGGGACTACTCCTCAGCAGTGACAGTGTGCATCCACGACTCCCGTACCTTGCAGGATTCGAACTAAGGACCTTTGGTATTGTGCGTGAACGCCGCCTAACCATCATCGGACCACTGGGCCGGCATGTGATGATATGATGTGTTTATATCCTAATATTTGTCCGTTTTCATAAACAAACTAACAATAGAAAGAGAGATAGAGTACACAACTATGGTGTCTATGGTGTTATTTGAAATTGTACTGTTTGAATTCAAAAAATGAATCAAACTTTGAATGTTTTTATTGTAAAATGAATATAGTTAAGGTAAAAATTGTATGAGATGTTCAGTTTAGTTGTTCTTTTGGTTTATCATTGTTTTAACGCTGCTACGTATAGCTCTTCAGTCCTAACGGCGTCCAATTCAAATATCCTAATACGACCCAAAATGCTATTTCCCAATTCTCCTAGATATCAGAACGCAACACCGTGGAAGGAAGTTGTTTATTGGGTCGAATACAGAAGAAGATGTAGGCAGGGGAAACGGAATTATTAAATCTTTCAGATAGTGCGTATTTATACACTAAGGTCGAATAAGTAAGAGCATCAACGTCTGTGACATTGACAATTTAGGACGACCAATAGAAAAGAACATTTGAATGACATTGACCGTCCAGATGACCAATAAGAGGCAACATTGAAGTAATTGACCTTGACGGTTAGAACGATCATAATTTCGGCCAATAGGATTGTACTTCTAAAAATAGTATTCTTAGGATATTTGGTGAATATCCTAACAATCATACAGAAAATTAAAAATATTTGATAAGTAGTAAATATAATTGTTTACAGTTTTAGGATCACACAATACTACTAGGTTGGAAGAAAGCTAGGGATGGCCAGGCTAAAACATGGCACAAATATCCATGAAGTCACTGACTAGGGGATTGAGTTATGTTGGTAAGTGTAAACTACCTGGTTAGGGCCGGCGAGATGATATTAATCGATGGTTAGAGACCTTGCATGACATGGCTCAAAATAGTTTGCAATGGCACAGGTCTAACCATTCTTTGTGTTCTCTCAAATTCTAATCTTCTGGATTTATCATCATCTCTATCTTTTTTCATTACCACTAATACTTCTACTACTTCTACGACTGTGTGGTTTGAATTGACATTTCGATTTCTCTATAGTTAAGACAGACAGACAGATACAACGCGGAACTTCGAACGGAAGTACATCAGTTCAGGTTGCCATACCACATCAGCACAGAGACGCAACTGTCAGTTCAAATCCAAGAGTGATAGCAATAATAGAAGTATTAGCAGTAATGGAGAAGATTAAGGAGCGAAGATATGATTCGAGAAGTATAATTCAGTAAGATAAATTTAGAAGGAGAAAGATAGAGATTATGAGGAATGCACAAGCTTAGAATTTCATGGAACACAAAGAGTGGATGCACCTTCACCATTGCAAACAATTCTGAGCCATGTCGTTCAAGGTCTCTAACCATCGGTGACTATCGTCTCGCAGACCCCAACCAGGTAGCCTACATCTACCAACATGACCCAATCCAGTTTTCAGTGACTTCATGGATTTGTGCCATGTTTTGGTTTGTCCGCGCCCATAGCTTTCTTCCAATCTACTCCTACACTGCAAAACATAGCTCGTCGAGGCAGTCGGTGGTTAGGCATACTCAACACATTTCCCAACCACCTCATTTGTTAGAGTTTCACTGCTTCATCTATTGATTTGCCGTTCCCACCTAGAACTCGTTTCCTAACGACAGCATTGCTCACCCGGTTGTCCCACGATATACGAGCAATGCTTCGGAGACACCGATAATCGAAGACTAGTAACCTACGAACATCCTCTACTCTTAACGGCCAAGTCTCGCATCCGTACAGTAGGACTGAGCGAACTGCTGCACAGAACACTCGTTCGCTCTTTGGTCAAAGTAAAAATTGTATGAGATGTTGAGCTTAGTCGTTAACATTATGAATGCACATATTTACTAATTGTATTTTAATGTAAATAACATTCGGTTATTTGAAAGAAGTTATATATTCACGAAAAACATTTTGTGTGCAAGACCGAAGGTCCTGGGCTCGATTCCCCTTGACCGGGTGTTGTGGATGCTCACTGCCAGTGAGTCACATACTTGGACAAAACGGCCATCCAGTGTTCCCAGTTTTCTTATTAGTGGTCTAACACTATTGATCTATTCTTGTTATTAAACTATCTCGCAAATCTCTACAACCCTATCATGAAAATATATATATAATAAGTCATTTAAAACTAGCCAAGTTTCTACAGTACTCAAGATAAGAAATGTTTTTTTTAAATCCAAAGCACTAAGTTCTATCTTCAAAGTCGTTTTTAGTTAATGGCTTGATTGTACGGGTTGATCAAGTTCTAGAACTTTATAAAAAACCAATTTCTTGGTTAAATTAATTGACTCCGTTAAAGTTTCATACATCTACACAACCACTTCTGGTATTTTAATTCAGCAATCTAAAGATGTTGACTGAATTTTCAGGCCTAGATCCGTTTCGGAAACAATTCCAGAATATAGTTCTGCTCAATAATTCATTTGCAGCTTTGGTATTACGGAATATTTCTTACGGCACGAAGTGTTCAGGTACCTGGCATCCTACTCACCTCCTTATAGCACAGGTGTTGTTTACGAAAAGTGAGTGTCCAGCGCTTTAACCAGGTTGATGAGTACGGAGGATCCATCTAGGGCAGTTGGAGAACCCTCATTTCAAAGCAGTGGTATACAGTATTGAAGCTTTCCATAAACCCTACTGCCCTCAATACAAAAAGAAAGTCTAACTATCCATCCCTCTTGGACTATCTCTGTGATCCTACCATGTCTAATTCTTTTCACCTCTCACACTTATACTATATACAAATCCAACTCTATCCTTTCATATAGTGAATGTCATATTTTTCGCGCACCAGTACACCAGTATATCTCATATGAATCATCCTGACCAGAGTGACATGAGATTGACTTGGTCAAACCTGTTTTTTGATTGATTGATTGAGTGAACTAAGTATTTTTGCGTTATTCCATCGTACGATTTAAATTTGAGTTAATTCAATTCGTTTGCGTATCTATCCTATAAAGAAGTGGCTTACAAGAAGTCACAAAATGTCAGAAAAAAATTGAAATCATCAAGTGATCATTGTTAGCGTTCGCGCGTGAAACCGAAAGTCCTAAGTTCTATTCTTGCTTGCAGGGTCCTACATGCTCATTGTTGTATAAGTCCCATACTAAGACGAAAATGGCCACCTACTGTTGCCAGGCTCTCAATGGTGGTCTAACTTGGATCAAATACTTACTGCTAGATTTCATAGTTTCTCGTTTCGATCCCTGATGGGGATTGTATGTGCTGCATACTATGGATATGTTCCTTACCATAGTGAAGTAACTACTCAGATTGTTACCCCCTAGTTTTTTTTAGTGAGACCTCAACTGAAATTAATCTCTCATGAAATCTACTTTAAAAAAATTGAAACTTATGATCATTATTTATTAATAGTGATTAAGGACTTAGATGAATTCTATGTAAACATTAAAGCGATATAATTTACCCAATTCGCTTTAATTAATATGTATCTGTTGTATATCCCTAACCATTAATCACTGTCACGTGACAAATACAAAACACCAATCAGAATTACGCCTTGGCACCGGAAACCTTGAGTCAGCTCTATATCTTTATTGGTCCACAAAACTCGGTAGCTTCTTACTCTCTTTGCAGAGGTTTTAGGGGGTGTAGGAAGGATTTGACCAATTTGGTCTCGTGTGCTGTTACGGGTATGAGGGCAGTTGTCACTTCCCAGCTACCCACACTGTGGAAGGGTGTTTCTTGAGGAACCTGAAAAGGAAGATACATTAGTGTTGGTCTTAGACACCTGGGAGCGTGACCGCAGAGCCCAAGGGACAACTGCTTGACGCCGGTCACGCACGGCCTTTTTATGAAATGTTTTTTGAGTGTTAGCTCCTCTCTTGAAAGCCCTCAGTGGGCACCCTTATCGCGAGGTAGGGTGAGGTGTGAAATTTTTAGGGTCGACCTTTTCTAACCCTTCCTTCCTTGTGAGAAGGCAGCATCGCTGCAAATGCTGGTTGTCCGAAGGAAACACCTTACTGCTGTCAAACCCCTCTACAGTCAGCAGTACGACTTCGCGCTCAGACCTTGAGTAGGTGCTTTTAGTCTAATTGTTCTCCAATCGACCTGCCTGGCATGGTAGAACCTTCAGGAACATATGTTCCAGCCAATATAGCTCGATTGGGTCATCACGATAGTCAAGTACGACCACCATGTCAAGGTAGCAGCTACGGTCGATTGACTCTCTCTACACTGCTGTTTAGTTCATAAATTCGTTACATTTCAAACAGACATAGTTTATATACCAAACACAGCAGATCACATCTTACTCATAGAATGAGAACGCACATTTAAATTATACAGGAACAAGCCAAAAGTGACTACACAGCGATTGATTCAAAATACTAAATCACACAATACTAGTTAATCAATCTAGTTGTAGTGAACGAGAACACAGGTGGGGCAACCGAATTGTATTTAACGAAAATTACAGAGTTACTCAGTAAAATAGGAAAACCATATCGTAAATCGTTCATTTGCAAAATCAGTCCATCATATCGAACTGGATTGTTCCTGTTGCAAAACATCTATCCATTGTCACTATTCATTCGTTTCATACAAATTCCATTGTTTTCTAACTCTTCCTTTCTTGATCTTCCCCCATCTTCTGCTGCCAGACATTACGTTGACACTCACGTTATATACTACTTATAAGTAGCTCGCACCACATAGTTATTGAGGAACTATTCCATAAGGTCATACACAATATATAACCTTATTTTGCTAGCACTGCTTTTAGAGGACTTCATTATTCATCCTTCTTCATTATATATCTTTAACTGTTTAAGTTTTTATTTTTCAAAATGACCATCTCTCTGTCTTTTTTCTCCCTCTCTCTCTCTCTCTATTTAGGAGTTTATCGTAGATTCAATTTAAATCTTCCACCTTGGTTGCCTAGTCGAACAGATTGTTTCGAATATATTTTAGATTCACCAATTACCCAGATTGGTTTATTTGTATCAGCTGAAACTGGTCGTGCTTTGGCCGATGCTGGTGTTTATTTCACTGCATGTTATAGTTCTCCAGCGTTTCGTTGTGTTCAAACCGCTTGTGAATTACTACGTGCTATGGGTCGTGTAAGTTCTCTTCATTATATTGTCATATTTTCGTTGAAAAAAACGTTTTATTTTACCGTATACTTAAGCATAAGCTTTATCCTGTTACAACTGTTCAATACTCTATTAAGAGGCTATAATATTGGATGCTAGAGTCAACATATTTGAGTTTCATATTTTTCATTTGAAATCTGGAATCAGTCATTGTTAGACCACCACCATTGGGAACCTGGAAGGATTGGATATCCGTTTCGTCGTAGTGTCGGACTCATCAGCAGTGCTCATGCACGGCTCCCGCCTGCGGGAATCGAACCTAGGACCTTCGGTCTCACGTGCGAACGCTTAACCTCTGGGACACTAAGCCGGAATCCAACGGTATTACTGTCTAATTTTAATCAATCCTTGATATTGCATGATCTCATCCGTTAAACTCCACTGGTCACGATTTTTCCCGCAGAACTCCGAAGATTTCCTCACATAGGTAGTCACTAGTGTGCACATTTTATAATATTCATTGTAAAGATATGGAGATCGTTATTTTTCGTTTGAAATCTGGGATCGATAGACCTAAGGTCCTGGGTTGGATTCCTGCGAACGAGGATCGTTGATGCACACTTCTGAGGAGTTCAATACTAGAATGAAATGGAGAATCTTCTTACATTTTTTACACTAATACTCACTGTCTACCAATATGATATGCTAATTTTGATTAATTCGCACAAATTCATCTTCCCTTAATCATTGCTAGACCATCGTTAAGAAACTGAAAGCATTAGACGTACGTTTCATCGTAGTATATGACTCATCAACAGTACACATCCTCGACCTCCGCTCGCGAGAATCGAATTGAGAAAACTTACCGATCCCCATAACTTGATAATGAAAACGTTAAATCACCTCCCTTTTTTATTTATTAGAATGAAGTGTTTTCTGACTAGAATATCCTATATGTCATAAGTCTCAATTATGTTATAATACGTACTGTTTTTAATCCTGTCATCATATGCATAAAACTATTTCTGACTAGTTTGGTCTCATGTGTTGCTGTGAGTATGAGGGCGGATGTCACTTTCCGTCTGCCCACGCCGTTGAAGGGTATTTCTTAAGAAACCTGAAAAAAAATGGTTGGATTAGTGTTAGTCTTAGAGATCTGGGACAGATCCAATGGGACAACTGCTTGGGGCTGGTCACGCAAAGCCTTTTTGTAGTAAGTGGACGTGTTAGCTCAGCTCTTCAACTGGCATTACTTTCACAGACGGAAGTCTGTGAGGTAAGGTGAGGTTGTGACATTTTTCGGGGTCGACCTTTTTTAACCTCTTCCTTTCTTGTTAGATAAGGCAGCATCGCTGTAACTATAAAAACATTTTTGATAGAATAACCATAAAGATGAGCTGTACATCTTTCTGTTGACCGCTTCACTTATCTCGGGAATCTCATCAGTGCTGATGGCCTGGTGACAGATGAAATCTCAGCTCGGATACAGAAGGATCGATTGGCTTTTGCCAACCTGCGTCGCTTATGACGTAGTCGAGATATCCGTTTGCTGACTAAAGGACGAGTGAACTGTGCAGTAGTTCGCTCCGTCTTGCTTTATGGGTGTGAAACATGGCCAGTGAGAGTAGAAGATATTCGTTCGATCATAGGTGTCTTCGAAGCATTGCTCATGTATCCTGGGACACCCGATTGAGCAACGCTGTTGTTAGGAAACGGTGCTAGGTAAGAATGGCAGATCAATAGATGAAGCAGTGAAACTTCATCAGTTGAGGTGGTTGGGACATATGCTGCGTATGCCTAACCACCGACTGCCTTGACGAGCTATGTTTTGTAGTGTAGGAATAGGTTGGAAGAAAGCTAGGGGTGGCCAAACGAAAACATGGCAGAAACCCATGAAGTCATTGACAAGTGAACTGAGTCATGTCGGTAAGTGTCGACTACCTGGTTGGGGTCTGAGAGATGATAATAATCGATGGTTAGAGACCCTGAATGACATGGCTCAAAACCATTTGCAATGGCGCCGGTGCATTTATTCTTTGTGTTCTCTCAAATCCTAATCTTCTGGATTCTTCAACACCTCTAGTTTTGTCTTTCTAAACTTTTCTCACTGAACCATACTTCTTGAATAATATCTTCTAATCCTAACCTCTCCGATTATTTCTAATACCTTTACTACCTCTTATACTATTGGATTTGAATTGACAATTATATCTCTGTGCTTATTGATGTGGTATGGCAACATGAACTGATGTACTTACGTACGTACGAAGTTCTACGTTGCATCTGACTGACTGACTGATATCTTCCTGTAAGTAATAATACATATAGATTATTATTATTATTATTCTAAGATTGTTTATTTTTTACTTCTTCTTCTAGTCTGATTTACCAATACGTATTGAACCACATTTATTCGAATGGTATGGTTGGTATGTTGGTGTTGGTGGTGGTGGTGGTGGTAGTGTAGGAGGAGGTGGCAATGTTAATTGTCTACCAAAAATGATGTCTGTACAACAATTGAAATTAGCTGGTTATAATGTCGATGTAAATTATAAACCGCTTAGTGCATTCAATGATCATGATAAATATGAATCAATTCAAGGTTATTGTGATCGTACTGCTGTTTTAATTAAACGTTTATTAAATGTTCATAAATCAAAAGGTATGTTATTTTTTTTGTTTTTGGTTGTTCTATTTTCATACTTTAAGAATGAATGAATGAATAAACTTTCAGTGTATATTTTTTTTTAAAAAAGTGCTTTATGTTTTGTTTAAACACACATAGAAACATTGGGTACAAAAGAGCACTGAAAATATTTATGCCTCAAACAAATTATTGAATATGTACGTGGGCTTGAATATTGCCCGGACAGACAGACAGATACAACGCTGAACTTCGTACGTAAGTACATCAGTTCAGGTTGCCATACCACGCACGTCAGCACAGAAACGTAACTGTCAGTTCAAATCCATGAGTGATAGCAATAGTAGTGGAAGTATTAGCAGTAATGGAGAAGATTAGGGAGCGAAGATATGATTCGAGAAGTTTAATTCAGTGAGATAAATTTAGTAGGAGAAAAACAGAGATTATGAGGAATTCAGAAGGTTAGAGTTTGAGAGAACACAAAGAGTGGATGCAGCTGCGCCATTGCAAACGATCCTGAGCCATGTCGTTCAAGGTGTCTAACCATCAGTAACTTACGTCTCGCGGACCCCAACCAGGTAGTCCACATCTACCAACATGACTCATTCCAGTTTTCAGTGACTTCATGGATTTGTGCCATGTTTTGGTTTGGCCACTTCTAGCTTTCTTCCAACCTACTCCTACACCACAAAACAAAGCTCGTTGAGGCAGTCGGTGGTTAGGCATACATAACACATGTCCCAACCACCTCAACTGATGAAGTTTCACTACTTCATCTATTGATCTGCCATCCTTACCTAGAACTCGTTTTTTAACGACAGCATTACTTATACGGTTGTCCCAGGATACATGAGCAACGCTTCGGAGACATCGATGATCGAAGACTAGTAACCTACGAAAGTCATCTACCTTTAACGGCCATGTTTCGCATCCATTTAGTAGGACAGAACAAACTGCTGCACGGTACATTTGTCCTTTGGTTAGCGAGCGGACATCTCGCCTGCGCCATAAGTGACACAGGTTGGCAAAAGCCAATCGAGCCTACTGTATCCGAGCTGAGATTTCGTCAGTCACCAGGCCATCAGCACTAATGAGACTCCCAAGATAAGTGAAGCGGTCTACACGTTCGACTACTTTACTCCCTATCACTAGTTCCGGTGAAGTCACAAGCCAATCCTGAAGTAACATTTTGCATTTCGAGGGTGAGAACCGCATCCTGAACATGTTTGCATTGTTGCTTAGGGTAGTCAGAAGACTCTGTATTTTCTCAGCGTCTTCACCAAATAGAACTATGTGATCGGCATATTTTAGGCCTGGACGCCCAAATCGTCAGGTAGGTGGTTTTCTTACGGAGTCACTTTCATATCCTGCTACCTAAGATAGTGGAGTAACGTTAGGTGATACAATCGCATGATAGCTGATGACTAACAGTAGGTTCATATGCTATCTGCTCCATCAAGATCTTCGGGTGCAGGTAGATCCTGTGTACCACCAACCAACCAACCTGTCTAAAGCACTGGATATTCAATTTTCGTTCTCTTAATTTCGTAAACATTACGTGTGTCTCAAGAAGAAGGGGAGTAGGACTCTCCTGACAGTAGCTATATACACATGATCTTTTGAGTGTGTTAAGCAATGGAGAGCGAACTTTACTCATTCTCGATCGTACCAGGACATTCGCGTACATTATTGTATATCCATGGACCATTTTGAACCAATTCCACATAGAGTTATTATAAAACTAATTTAAGCATGTTTGTTTGGAATCTATGGCTCTTATTTTCAGTATTTAGCCTTTTTGATATAAATCTTTCCAAGCATCATTCATATTTGTGTGCTTATATTGATTATTGAAAAAACCTACCAGAAATCTAAAATATATAAGACGGTGTATTTCATTTCATTTTGAAACTCTTCATCAATGGATGTGCATTCTTGCCAACAAGATCCAATTTAGTATCTTTAAGTCTCCCCTGGGAACACGATACATTAATTAACTTAGAATTTTATTTTTTTCCCTAATTTAAACTTGTAGCAATAGTTCTCTTTCTATTCATAAATTCTCATATAAAATAACGTGGCTTATTGTGTTCATACTCAGAATGATGAAAAGTTAACATGATAATTTTTTTTAGTCTATATAAGTTGAAGACGTCTTTCCATTCATTAATCTATTGAATCAGTGAATAATTCATTATGATTGATTCTTGCCTAAACGTTAAGTATATTTTATTAGCCAACTCTTTTGTGACAATCGTTTCAATGTACCAAATTATTTAGTTACAAAGTCGTGTAACACTTTATAACTGTAGTCAACCTTTGTGACCACGTGAACCCTTTGATTGAATGGAAAATCTTATTCACAGATATTGTGTTGTATCCCTGATTGTAGCTGCTACCTGGACATCGGGGTCAAGCTTGTCTATCGTGATGACCCAACCGAGCTATATTGGCTGGCACATATGTTCCTGAAGGTTCTACCATGCTAGACAGGTCGATTGGAGAACGATGAGACTAAAAGCACCCACTCAAGGTCTGAGGGCGAAGTCGTACTGCTGACTGTGATGGAGGGGTGTGACAGCAGTAAGGTGTTCCTGTCGGACAACCGGCATCTACAGAGATGCTACCTTTTGAGGGGTTAGAAAAGGTCGACCCTACAAATGTCATATCTCACTCTGTGGTGCGAGCTACTTATAAGTACTATATGATGTGAGTGTCAACGTAATGTCTGGCAGTAGAAGATGGGGGAAGATCAAGGAAAAGGAAGAGTGGGAACACAATGGAATTTGTATGAAACGCATGAATAGTGAGTGAAATGTCAGACAATGGATTGATGATGGATTGAAGATTTGCAAATGAACGATTTACGATATGATTTTCCGATTTTACTGAATAACTCTGTAATTTTCGTTAAATACAATCCGGTTTCCCCACCTGTGTTCTCATTCACCACAACCCTACCTCACAGATTTCCGTCTCCAGCGATAAGGCTGTTTAAAGAACGGAGCTAATATGTCAACTTACTGCGAAAAGACTTTGCACAACCGGCCTCAAGCAGTTGTCCCTTGTGCACTGGGCTCACACTCCCGGGTCTCTAAGGCCAACAATAATCCAACCATTCTTTTTCAGGTTCCTTAAGAAACACCGTTCTACGGTGTGAGCAGCTGGGAAGTGACATTCGCCCACATACCCGTAACAAATCCTTCCTACTCGTGTTGTATCAGTACAACTAGCATCAATTCGTTCTACTGTTCATTGTGTTTCCCTTTTTTCTTCTGCCGTTTTTTTCAGATACTTGTTTATTAATTGTAGCACATGCCTCTTCACTAGACGCTTGTACACGTCATCTAGTTTGTCATGGTTTTCGTCATAGTTTATCCAATGAAGAATTTCAACATCGTACATCCATTGTACCTTATTGTGGTTTGTTATTAGCTCAAGAAAATCGTCGTTGGAATTTAATCGATCCACCAATACCGAATTCATGCTCGTATGCTAGAAATTCTGATTTCGATTGGAAACAATTATTGGGACCGGCTTTATGCAATTTTAAATTACGCTAAACGATAGATATTCATTATCAAAATTTGTGTTGTTGCATTTAATTCCGCTTTCACAATGACAAAATTTATTTATATATTGGTTCTTTCTGCTGACATGTTGTGTTATTTTGACTTATTTCCAAATGTTTCCACATATCTCTTGTGTTTCCTCAATTCAACGATGACAACAACTGTACATCGTTGTTAATTTTTTCGTCTCGTTTAACAAATTTACTGTCGTATTCATTACTTCCTTGATGTGTGTGTGTATGTGCGTATTAGTCCTTATTCTCTCGCAGTTTGCAATCCCATCTCAAAAGACCTTCCAAGTAATGAATGAAAAAAGATACCGTGTATACAACAATCAACAATGTTATGGTCAATTCATTTCATACTGTCTATTGTGTACTGCATTTCATCATTGACATCATTCATTCATTTGCTGCTTATAAAGTTTATGAATATTTGCTTTCTATTTTTTTTGTTGTTGACAAACCATTGGTAACCATTGAAATACATATGCCAATTCTTGTTACGCTACATTCGGTTTTTCACCCATTTTCAGTTTATTCAAGATTCAATTTTTTGTTTTGTTTTATTGTTCCCCTCTTCATTATCAGCGTTCATATATATACATATATTGATTTTGTAATAGAGAATTATTTATCTATGTGTATATTTCATGAGAAAATTCGAATTGTTTCATAAGTTCATTCATTATTGGCAATATCGCCTTCTTGTTGGTACTTTATTTCTCAATTGTTTCATTTGGTTCTCTTTTTCAATGCTTTTTCATTTTATCTGACATGTAAGATTATTGTTATCAATAGATACATTTCTGTTTGTATTCTCCTGCTCACAGCTTTCTTTATTTGTATTGTCCAAAGTTTGACAGTATGTTTTGTTATTGTTGTTACAGTGTTACTTTATTTTAGCTATCGAGCATAGGAGATCTGCATTCTTGAACAATATTTGTTAAGAATATCTAAATATATGCTTTATTTTACCACTATCATTTGATTGCTAGTTATCAGAAGTCTGTTGTTAGATAAACGATATGGATGAATTAATCAATACAACCGCTTTTCAGCATTATGGTCCTAGCACATGGATCCCAGGAGAATTTCTGAAGTATTGTATACTCTTACATAATGATCACAGTATCTAGATTTATACACACTGACTCATATTTGAACAATCATTTATGTCAGTAGGACAACAGAAAAAGTGTATATTCTTAGTATCAAGTCATACCATATTTCGCGCGAGCCTGTTGGCCTTGTCATTGTACAAATAGTTCTAAGATCAAACGTTTGTCTATCAGTTACTTAAATTGATATGGCAACACTGAACAGCTTACACGGCAAAAAACTTTACTACTCTGGTTCAACTCCAGTGGGCTTATGGTCTTGGAATTAATATTCTCAGTATAAACTAGGAAAGGTGTACACTTAATTTGGGATATTAATTCTGATCGAAAACAATTTTTAGTAGATATCGATCTTAAATGCATTGTTTTTGGAGTAGCTCCAACTGAAGAGTTAGGATTATTGGGAACAAGAAGTTCTGACTGTGGTAGCATTGTTATGATCCCTAGGACCGGACCTAGCAAGTTTTGCACAAACTAGTATAAATTAGTTAATTTACTGTGCTTGCTTCCTGCTGCTTCAATACGGTTCCAGGTCTTGAGTAATGTGTCTATGGAATCAATAATTTTTAGTCGGTGTTGACAGTAAATATCTGAAGATGAAAATATATCCTGTGGGTTGCAACATTAAGTCTTTAAGTTTCATTGACAGATCCATTCGATAAACAGTTCTTGGCTCCCACTGAAAGTATGAGACTTTTTAAGGCCACAAATAATCCAAACAAGACCTGAATACTTAAAGTCTATCGATTCTGATGTAGCCTTAAATCCATATGTACATGTATATGTGGATAGCAGCGATCAAGCACTGACGATAATCAGCAACGTGAAATATTGTACAGTCCATGAATTCTAGCTAAATAATGAGCCAAGCTAAACGCGTTCTCGTGACAGGAACAATGAAATATTAACCTGAACAAATCAAGGTCGTTGATAACCAATGACAATTAATCAAGTTATAAAACAAATTCGGAGACTCTAAAAGCATGGAACTGCCTTATCTGTCGACAATTAAACTTCTGAGACATCACATATGTTTATATGACAAGGTTTCGTTTGCCCATAAAGGACGCCAGCGAAACAGATATCAATTTGTGCAACTTATAACTTAAACCATGGACGTCATTATAGGGTGGAAAAATGAATAACAAATATTGTCTGTCAGAAGTTCGTTTGTCATGTAAACCATATGTAAGTCGGTTACATGTTAAGTGTACCCTAATATAAACATGATATATAAGCAAGATAGAAATACCTAATTAACATTGCATAGAAGATTTCAGGAAATCAAATGTAGCAAAGACAGCAAGAAGTGTAGTTATTTAAAATTGAAGCTGGTTAGATAGCTTAAAGCTAACCGATAACTTCTTATTGGAATTAGAACATCATGGAGGAAATGGTTAATTAATTCTATATTTTTTGGTGAACATCGTATTTCTTACTTTTATATACTGGACAGTGAGAGGTTTATGTGCCTAAGTTAAATGCATTTGTTTCAGGCATGTGGTAATTAACATGATAAAACTAACTTCAGATCACTCGTCATCTACTGGGAAGTCCTAGTTAGTTCAGTGAACCATATTATAGATAAGTAGGATCACATTTAACTTCAATATAAGTATGGAGTATTTCATCGCAATTTTTCACCGCATAATTCAATCGTCTCTCATTTATATTTTGTTGAGTACAGTAATATGTTAAGCTCAATACAGTGTTAAGGCAAGTAGGATTAGCATAGCTTGTCATCTCTAGAGATACATATATAACTGCCGAATTAGGTCTCACAGCATTTAGTCCTAGTGATTATGTACTGCAGGTGGCATAGCTGAATCATTCATTATTTAGCTAACCTCAGTAGTAAATCTGAGAGAATTTGATATCCAGATTGGTGATTTGTTTCCTCTTCATTTGCCAAGGAAGTTGATGAGTTAGTATTGAGTCACTCAACTCTAAACAGCGTGAGGATATGAGATAATGGTGGCATTAGTTCCTATCTACACAACCTTGAAAGCTAAGTATAAAGTGACTGAGAAACTTGCATCGGCCGTTAGATGCTTATGGAAGAATGGAAAAGGTAAGGGCAATATTAAGTGACACATTATCGTTCCAGTTTTAGGTTCCTCTAAACCCTAGTCATCTGGCTCTTCTGTCGCACGCGCAACAAATGCAAGAAAAGATGACCAGATTAACAGCAGCCGTCCACAACATACATAAAAGGAAAAGCAAGATTCTCCGATGCAACATAACATGCATCCACAAAATCACACTTGGTGGTGAATCTTTGGATAATGTGAGAACCCTTACTTATCTTGGCAGCATAATCGATGAGCAAGGTGGATCCGGTACAGATGTGAAGACACGGAGTGGCAAAGCAAGGGCCGCGTTTCTATAACTGAACAAGATCTGGGACTCAAAACAATTGTCAATAAACACCAAACTCACAATTTTCAATCCAAATGTCAAGACAGTTCCACTGTATTGGGCGGAAACTTGCAAAAAAATACCAAAAGCCATCATCCAGAAGATATAAGTATTTGTTGACAGTTTTGCACGCAAAATACTTAGGATACGTTGGCTAGACATCATGAGCAACAACCTATTGTGAGAGAGAACATATCAGATTCCAGTGAACGAAAAAATCAGGAATAAACGGTGGAAATGTATAGGACACACATTGCGGAAAGCAGCCAACTACGTCACGCGACAAGTTCTCACTCGGAAACTCAGGGTCAGAGGAAAAGAGGAAGGTCAAGGAACACATTAGGCTGGCAAATGGCGACAGGCATGAGAGGAACGAACAAAATTTGGACAGAACTGGAAAGGGATGCCCAAGACAGAGTAAGTTGGAGAATGGTGGTCGGTAGCCAATGCTCCATTAGGGGTTACAGGAGTTAGTAAGTAACTAAGCGTTTGTCAGCGACAAAATCATGGATGAATCAGTACTAAAACAATTATGAATTCAAGCTGTCCTATGCTTAGATCAACTTTTCTGCACAGCATAGTACGTACTGCAGTTAAAAATCAGTCACCAAGCTAGATCGCATACAAAACACTACATGCAAACAATAAAAATAACCATGAAGCCTAACCATAAAAGAACTCATTGTCAGTGTTATAAATCTGAGAAGAGTCGCCTAAAAAATCGTTTGTTTTATATTTAAGACATAAAGTTAGGCCTGAACTTTCTGGTGGATACAGAGGTTGTATAGACATTATCCTTCGAAACTAAGGTGAACGTCTCAGACAGAAGTTCTCCATCAGTCCTCTAAGCTGCCAACAAAATACGAATCACACCGATCTGGCAGTGTGCTTCAACATTAGAGTTAGGTGTTGCTTGAAAATTATCTCCAATATCCACTAATGCAGATTTAGATCTGTGAATTCTTAGAATAGACTTACATACAGATAATTATTCCTAGTTAACACTAAGAAGTGCTGTTTGGGATTCAAACAGTCCTCTGGTTACCTAATAGGTAAACGACTCGGCGTGAGGTCTCTTAACTTCGTACGAACTTCGCCAGTGAAAAATGCGAAATTTCGGACGAAATTCAGAATTTATAGATCTAAAGATGTTTAGCATGCTCACATCAGATACTAGAATCGACAGAGAAAAAAACACTTTCCACTGTTCCACTGGACTTCCTATCTGAGACAGTAAGTATATTGCAAGTGACGGTAGGGTTACTGAGTTCACTCTTCATCACAACACGCTGATGACTTAAACTAGTCTAACAAATATTCACGGGACTGCTGTTTCCGTACTCTTCTCAGACCTTCATTTTCGTGAAACCTCCGTTCATCATCCTTTCATTCACTGCCCACTACTTCTTCAGTAAAATCAATTATCTAATAGCCTCTTTATTCTCATTAAACCCAAACCTTATGCTAATCACGGAAATGTTGTGCATATTACCAATACCTGAACATTCTTGAAGTGTCGGTTTTTATATGACAGAACATGTATATTTCTGATGTAAACACGCTATGAGTAATTTATGGAGAAATTAGATGAGGTTTAGAAAAACAGTGGAAGCTCTGTAAGCTAAGTATCATGAGGAAAACGAAACTGCACTACGATCATGTACTTGAGTAAAGAATTTTCTGTATCAGCTTAACGTAGATCAAACTCATATCTACTACCATTACAATAAGAACTTCAGTTTAATACTAAATAGTAAAGAAAAATACGTTTGGAGATGTATTAAGATGTATGTTGACACAAAAGAAGAAATTTTGAATCAAGAGATTCGAAGGGAACTCGTTAGGCCTATTGTTACCTGAGCGCAAAGTAATCAGCTAGGTTTTACTGGGTAATGAACAACATATTGGATATTGAACGACAGCAAGAACTACAAATAGTAGTTTACTGTAACATATTCAAAATCGTGCTCTTTTACCGACTGAGTTAGTCTCAAAATGTATGTCCATTCTGTGTTTACCAAGTAATTGGCTCACTTTTGCTATTGTTCTTATATCCAGCTTCCTAAAGCACGCTGAGATGGAGAAAATTTGTAGCTCAAGTGGATGAGTGTGGTGGAGTTCCGTTGTCTGAGCTAATTGGCATCCACTTAAAATAATTAAACTCAGTCCCAACGCAGAACTTTTATCGTCAGGGAGAACAACCAGAAAGTAAAGGTATAAAAAAGCAAAATGGACAGTAGACATACGTCCTAGTTCTTACGAGTAGTTAGATTCCTGAATTCGCTTGCGACGAAGGTGGTACGCGAGATTTTCCACTACTTTAAGATGAAACTTGAAATATCCTTTACTCAACACACTTTTTCATTATAATTTACTAGTATTTCTCATACTAGTTTAGTAAACCTGAGGACGCAAATAATACAGTTATCGTTCTATATCTGTCAACTATGTTCGATCATCAGCCTGTCTTGTTTGTACGCTATGGGATTCACTGATTCCCAATCTACTAATTTTGGAGTTATTTTGAACAGATTTTCTGGATCTATGGATTAAGTGTTAATGTGTTATGGGGAACGTAACTTATGTTCGTACGTACGAAGTCCTAAGTTGTAACGAACTGATTTGGTTTCAGGTCTAGGAAATTTTTGAGTAAACTCTCAATCTCGTTACTAAGCGTATTTTTTGTTTACAGTCTTCGCCTTGTTCATTTTTTAGATCCGCGCAGGCATATCCACTCCTCGCGAACCTCGTAACCACACTCAAACTTACCGAAGGCTGAACGTTACACATATCTCAGATGTTTTACAGTATAGATTTACTTTCTTCTCATCGAGGGAAATTCGGCATTATATGGTTTGATCCCGTACACGACTAACTTTTGAAGGCTTGCAGCCACTAGGGTAAGAAAACAACTTTCGAGAAAGGAACTTAATTCTGTTAATATTGTAACTGCTTGGTATGCGCGGTCTCAATTTTTTATTTTTACTGCTGCTAGCAATGAAATAACTTCATATATTTTAGGAGAGACACAACTTCGACTTTCATTATATTTGGCATCACAGTTAACCTTTGGTGTATGTATCATCTACAGAGAAAAGATTGTTATTATGCTACGTAAGTTAGGCACATTATCTACTTGTTTATGTTACTTTTCATTCTGATTAAATATTCTAATTTCTTTACAAATACTAGGTGACTTGCAAGAGCTTAGTCAGAAAGCTTATGCAACAACAAGCTGGTCCATTGACTTACCCACTTGGTAACAAAGTTGTTCGTGTTTGTTAGTTAGTTTGTTTGTTTGTTTATTTGTCGCCAATCTTTTTAAAATTTGAGCTAATTTCGAGTTAATTTCTTTTTGTGTGGATAGTTCTAAATCCCATACCAAGCGAAAAGCTCGTGTATCGATCGATGATCCTGAAATACCTCTGTTTAACTTGTATAATGAAACCAATGATTTCGGAAATCTTCAGCTGCCTGATTTATTTTGGCCTAATATCAAAGAACCTTGCCTGGATTTTATGGATACACAAACGCTGTATCAAGCACGAAATGAAGATATAACTTTGGTGGAAGATCCTTTAATTGAGGTATGCTGTTTATGGTTCTTTCCATATTTATTTTAGGCTGATAGTATGCCTTAAATCCTGAAGTTTACCAAATGTTTACAGCCTAACTCTTTTTCTCGAAATCAGCAGTAAGGATAAGTAATCAGGCGACCTATATTAGTCTTAACAATTCGTGGTACCGTACAAATCCAGTCTTGCCTCGAAATATCGACAGATGCTGATTTTATGTGTTCTCAGAGTACTCCAGTAATTCACTGTTTGGTTAAAGAAACAAGCCTCGTGCATAACCCATTCTTTCAGTTTCTGAAACTTCCTACAATGTCATCTCATATGATCATTCCCAGATGGAATAAGGATGAAAGTCATCCTTCGGTATGCGGTAATACACCATCAAATTACGCCGTCACCTCCGGCAGGATGACAAGAACAAGTTGAGTCATCCGTCTGTGTTTATAACATCAGTCAATGCGACGTTTCACCATTTTGGTTTCTTACCGTATAAGACTGCAAATGGATGCAAACTTTCCGTACAGGTCTTGGTAGTATTCATCGCCGAGAACTGACTTTTCGACAATCAACCAAAGGTTTCTACCACTTTATCGTCGGGTTTTAGCTCAACTAAAACTACCGCCCTACAATTTATCTCGTCCTTTCGAGACATCAGTTCTAACTTGGATGTTGGTAATATCTTTATTTCGAGCATTAGTTAAGATAATATCCGATGCAAAACTTATTCATTACACCAATTGCACTGAATTCCTTTCACATCGGGAAGGATAAGCTGTCCGGATTGAAGAAGTGTTTACTTGAAATCTAGCTTCTCTGACTTGATTCATACCACGTAGGCATCGTCACCTAGAGCAGCTATATCTCATTTGTATGAGTCCGACTAAAACAACTTATAAATTCAGAAAAATTGATATATTAATATTATTTCTCTCAGTTTGAGATCTTAGGTAGAATCTAGGAACTGGGCGTAATACCATCTGACTGGTCTCAATCCCTGATTGTCCCAATTTATAAGAAAGGACAAAAGTCTTCTTGTGACAATCACAGGGGAATCGGTCTAACTGATTTAGTGTCTAAATTGTTAGCCTTGATTATCCTTAGATGCCTAACTAGAGGCTTGTTTTCGACCTGGATGTGTCTGTATAGACCACATCTTCACACTAAGACAGGTCCTGGAACACAGACACACATTTAGGCGTCCTACAATAGTTGTTTTCCTGGACGGCATTCGACTCAGTAGATCGTGAGATTCTGTAGCAGTGTCTGTCATTAAAAGGTGTACGGGAGAAGTACACTAACCTTATACAAGCTCTCTACTCTAAAACTACTGGTCGAGTGAGAGCTTATGGCGAACTGTCATCTTAATTCTTTACTTCAAGTGGTGTTCGTCAGGGCTATCCACTCTCTGCATTCTTGTTCAATTTTGTCATAGACATGCTCCTACGTATAACCTTATTCTCGTGTCTGAATTTTCAGGAGTAGACCTTTTACCAGGTGGCTCGCTTATCGACTTAGAATATGCCGATGACATAGTCCTACTTGGTGAGGACGCTGTCAAAATGCAGAGTCTTCTGACCACACTAAGCAACAATGCAAGCATGTTCGGGATGCGGTTCTCACCCTCGAAATGCAAAATGTTGCTTCAAGACTGGGTTGCATCGGCACCTGAAGTAGTCGAACGTGTAGACCGCTTCACTTATCTCGGGAGTCTCATCAGTGCCGATGGCCTGATGACTGACGAATTCTCAGCTCGGATACAGAAGGTTCGACTGGCTTTTACCAACCTGCGTCACTTATGGCGTAGGCGAGATATTCGTTTGCTAACTAAAGGACGAGTATACTGTGCAGCAGTTCGCTCCGTCCTACTTGAGGGCTGTGAAACATCGCCAGGAAGAAAACAAAAAATTCGTAATCTACTGGTTTTCGATTATAGGTGTCTTCGAAGCATTGCTCGTATATCGTGGGACAACCGAGTAAGCAATGCTATTGTTAGGAAACGAGTTCTAGGTAAGGATGGCATATCAATAGATGAAGTAATGAAACTTCATCAGTTGAGGTGGTCGGGACATGTTGCGTATGGCTAACCAGCGACTGCTTCGACGAGCTTTGTTTTGTATTGTAGGAGTAGGTTGAAAGAAAGTTATGGGCGGTCAGACCAAAACATAGCAGAAATCCATGAAGTCACTGACAGGTGAACTGAGTCATGCTGGTAGATGTAGGCTTCCTGGTTGGGGTCCGCGAGATGTTAGTGATCGATTGTTAGAGACCCTTAATTACACTGCTCAAAACCGTTTGCAACGGCTCAGGTGCATTCATTTTTTGTGTTCTCTCAAATCCTAAACTTTAATTCTTCATCATCGTTTTCTTTTTAAGTTTATTTCACTAGGTTATACTTCTTGACTTATATCTTCTAATCCTAACCTCTTCGATTACTTCTAATACCTCTACTAACTCTACTACTATAGGATTTGAATTTACTATTCGATATCTGTGTACTAATGTGGTATGGCAACATGAACTGATGTATCTACGTACGTACGAAGTTCTACGTTGCTGTTGATTGATTGATTAATTTCTCTCAGTTTAAAATGGCCGAATAATAAAAAACAACATTGCCAAAAGGAATGTTTGAGAGTGCAGGAGGAGACTGGGTACTTTTTAATCAGACAAGAATCTTTTTAATTTGGAAAGTCGAATTGTATATATAAACCTTCATCGATGTAGTAATTTTCTCACATGTTGTGCTATTCAAACTATTTAAATAATTCTTTTTTTATAAAAGAAAACAAATATTTATCACTACTTTTTACATTTATCTTCTGTGTTATGTTATGTTATGTTATAGACAACTTATGGTCATTTTTTATTTGAAGAAGATTTGTTACCGGATTTTACGACTGAGTTGATGAATCGTGATGATCATCCTATTCAACCAATCGATTTAATTCCTATTGACATTCATCAAAGTGAACATAGACATATTTCTAAACATTTAGTGTATGCGAATGAAATTGGCGCTACGGAATATTCTGTATTAGAAGAAACATACCATTTAGATAAATCTCAGAGGTTTGTTTTTTTGCAGTTGTTAAATTTTCTGGATTTACTTTGCCTATTTTTGTTTCTTGTCAAATTGGTAATCTACTTTCACATTGAACTTGATTAATTCTAGTTATAAGAATCTTGGTGTAATACTCATTCTGTGTATGTGACGTTTATACTCAACATGTTTAGTATCTGTCAGTAAATGCACCTTTAATGATACAGGCCTATTTGTCCATTTAGTTATATTGAATTATAATTGTTTTACTAGAGAACGTGTGCTTAGTGTCTTCTAGTTTTTATTGCCTGATTTAGCGAAATAGAGGTTTCATTAAGCGTTCTTATCCTGACCGAAGCTGTTACCTTGACGTGGTGGTCGGACTTGACTATCGTGATGACCCAGCCGAGCTATACTGGCTGGAACATAAGTTATTGAAGGTTCTACCATGCCAGGCAGGTCGATTGGATAACGATGAGACTAAAAGCAGCTACTCAAGGTCTGAGGGCGAAGTCGTGCTGCTGACTGTGATGGAGGGGTGTGACAGCAGTAAGGTGTTTCCCTTGGACAACCAGCATCTGCAGCGATGGTGCCTTCTCACAAGGAAGGAAGGGAGGGTTAGAAAAGGTCGACCCTAAAAATGTCACACCTCACCCTAGCTTACGGATTTCCGTCTCCTTGGGTAAGGGTGCCCACTAAGGGCTTTAAAACGAGCGGAGCTAATACTCAAAATACCTTTCATAAAAAGGCCGTGCGTGACCGGCCTCAAGCAGTTGTCCCTTGGGCTCTGCGGTCACGCTCCCAGGTCTCTAAGACCAACGTCAATCTATCTTGCTTTTCAGGTTCATCAAGAAACAACCTTCCACGGTGTAGGCAGCCGGTAAGTGACAACCGCCCTCATACGCATAACAGCACATGACTGACTGACTAATTTGTCATTAAATTTTTATAACCTTTCTTTTAAGGCCCATAATTAGTGTTCAAACAAACGTACAAGAAGATAATGTAGCAACAGTGGATTCTACGTCGAATCAGTTTGTTCCTGTTTGTACAGAGACAACAGCAATGAAGTCGTAAGTTTTGACTGAGAAAAAATTTAACTTATTAGATTTTAATTGTTAAATTTAATTGTATCTAATAAAGTGTGCATAAGTTTTGTATTTGGCTACAAGTCACTTTCGTATTGAATCTAACAAAATCATTTGACTATGTAGACAAATATACGTTGAAATCATGAATCGATCATCAGAAACTTGGAAGCACTGGACAGCCGTTTCTTCTTGATATGGGACTTATCAACAGTGCGCAGCAACAAATCCCGCACCTTGCAGTATTTGAACCGAAGACCTTAACCTCTGGATCACTGAGACACTGTTTAACGTTGTTTGTTATACGTTGGTGAAATGAGTTTGAATGTGTGATTGTTTAGTTGAAAATCTATCGTACAAATCACTGAGTTCTGATAGTTTTTAACATTTCTACCTTAGTTCTGTTTTGTTAGTATTGTTTTCTGTGAAGATAACTGTTTATTGTCAACGTTGATCGTTTTCCTATGGTCAAGTATTTGCTTTCTGTATGACTTATCAGATTTTAGGCCTGATTTCACAGCATTTCTATCTCTTAAAATATTGTTGGCAAATCACAGTACTATAGGAAATTTAACATTGATACTTTCAACTCTATGATGATCTGAAGTGCATGTGCAGTGGCTAAGAGAAACAATAATTACAATGTGCAGTACCATTCTGCATTCTTAGTTTTATTGTTTCTTAGCTTCCATGACACATTTTAAAAATGACTGAGAGATAGATTATTATCTTTCTTACTTATTTGTATTATTCTAATTATGTTGTAATTCACATTTTGTGTTGACTACTTTTCTTTTTTTTCTTTCAAGTCCAAAAGATTTAAACACTATGGAAGTACTTGTTGAAGAAAATATTGATATGAGCACAGTGTCACAATCTTCTGATATACCTATAAGCTCAGTGAATGTGTAAGTTGTTTTTTCCTGTCGAAATTTGTGTATCTATTTGAATCGTTGTTTAAAAAGAAAACCTTATTTCACGTAACAACTTGTTTAATGATTGAAAATGTTGGTGCATGAATTAGTAATGTGGTATGAGCTACTTATAAGTAGTATATGACGTGAGTGTCAACGTAATGTCTGGCAGCGGAAGATGGAGGAAGATCAAGAAAGGAAGAGTTAGAAGAACACAATGGAATTTGTATGAAACGCATGAATAGTAGTGACAATGGATTGATGTTGCTTGCAACAGGAACAGTCCAGTTCGATATGATGAACTGATATTTTGCAAATTAACGATTTACGATATGGTTTTCCAATTTTACTGAGTAACTCTGTAATTTTCGTTAAATACAATTCGGTTGCCCCACCTGTGTTCTCGTTCACTACATTAACAATGTACTTACCTTTATTTACAAGTACATATTTCCATGTTATTCTGCTATGATTGACATTTAAGTTTTTTGAACCGTGATTTACTTTACTTCACAAAGATAGATTTTACCTTTGTCATGATTAGAAATATGTAAATTATTGTAGATAATAAAAGATTCATTAAGTTGAGATTTTTCACTCGGACTTCAGTCTTTGTTTACTGCTTGTAATTGTTGTTAATGAATTGTTATTTTATTTCAATCTTTAGTTGTAATATATATAATCTAGTAATTGAATTGGGACACCCGAGTGAGCAACGCTGTTATTAGGAAACGGGTGCTAGGTAAGAATGGTAAATCAATAGATGAAGTGGTGAAACTTCATGAGTTGAGGTGGTTGGGACATGTGTTGCGTATGCCTAACCACCGACTGCCTCGTCGAGCTTTGTTTTGTAGTGTAGGAGTAGGTTGGAAGAAAGTTAGGAGCGGCCAAACCAAAACATGGCAGAAATCCATGAAGTCATTGACGAGTGGACTGAGTCATGTCGGAAATTGTCGACTACCTGGTTGGGGTCCGCGAGATGATAATAATCGATGGTTAGAAACCCTGAATGAAACTGCTGAAAACCGTTTGCAGTTGCGCAGGTGCATTCATTTTTTGTGTTCTCTCAAATCCTAATCTTCTGGATTCTTCAACACCTCTAGTTTTGACTTTCTAAACTTTTCTCATTGAATCATACTTCTTGAATAATATCTTCTAATCTTACCCTTTACTACCTCTTCTACTATTGGATTTGAATTGACAATTATATCTCTATGCTGATGTGGTATGGTAACATGAACTGATGTACTTACGTACAATGTTCCACGTTGCATCTGACTGACTGTAATATCTAATCGAGTAATTGAATTCTATAGTCTATGAAGTTATCTTGTGTTATTATTATTATCAAGTATGCGCACAAAATTCAGTTGACGTTGTGAAGAAAACACTGATAGAAAAACGAATATTTTCGAAGAGAATAACTAAAATGTAAGTAAATAAAGAAAAATGTTGCATAATAAAACGTACAGTTAGTTCAGCTAACAATAAAATGGAAAAAGACTTCTTTCATTGAAGGAAGCTTTTGTAGTGTTCTTAAAGTAAGTAAAAGAAAGCTACGAAAAAGTGATAAGACTTTTTTCAAGGTTGTGAGCTATCGTCCCGGGGCAGTTGTCCCTTGGGCTCTGTGATCACGCTTCCTGATCTCTAAGACCAACGTAAATCTGACTTGCCTTTTCAACTTCCTCAAGAAACATCATTCCATGGTGTGGGCAACTGGCAAAAAGTAACATCCGTCCTCATGCCCGTAACACTATAAGAGAGCAACTTGCGTGACACTAAAAATACTTACTTACGCCTGTTACCCCCAATCGAGCATAGGTCGCCGACCAGTTTTCTCCAACCAACTCTGTTTTGGGTTTCCCTTCCCAATTTTGTCCAATTTTTGTTCATTCTTCTCATATCTTTCTCTATTTCTCGGCGTAATGTGTTCCTTGGCCTTCCTGTTTTCCTTTTGCGTTGAGGGTTCCATGTGAGGGCTTGTCTCGTGACACAGTTAGGTGCTTTTCGTAGTGTGTATCCTATCCACTTCCACCGCTTCTTCCTCATTTCCTCCTCCACTGAAATCTTGTTTGTTCTCTCCCACAGTTCGTTGTTGCTGATGGTGTCTGGCCAACGAATCCGAAGTATTTTGCGTAGACAACTGTTAATAAACACTTGTATCTTCTAGATGATGGCTTTGGTAGTTCTCCAAGTTTCCGCTCCATACAATACAACTGTCTTGACATTTGTATTGAAAATTCTGATTTTGGTGTTGATTGATATTTGTTTGGAGTTCCTTATATTTTTCAACTGTAGAAATGCAGCCTTTGCTTTACCAATCCGCACCCTCACATCTGCATCGGATCCACCTTTCTCGTCGATGATGCTGCCCAGATATGTAAAGGTGTTAACGTCCTCCAAGGCATCTCCATCAAGAGTGAGTGATTTGGTTGGTTCATGTTGTGTTACATCGGGGAATTTCGCTTTTTCTTTTATGTATGTTGAGACCTACTGCTGCTGCAGAGGCTGCTGCTACACTGGTCGTCTTCTTTTGCATTTGTGACACTAAAAATATTTTTTCATTTATTATGATATAAATTGTTTATTGACAAAAAATTTGGTGTATCATTCAGGTAAGATTTTAGTTCATTATTTGTCTATAACAACCAATATGAACTGATTGTGTAGCTCCTCCTGTTTCCTCTCTTTTATATCAACATTATTGTTCATTTTCAGAATTTCAGCCATTGTGGATAATGTACAATTGGTAAGTTAAAAATCATATAAGTATTATTTCCTGTTATTTTTTTCGAACTATTGATCCTATAAACTACTTTATGTAATCAGTTAGTCAGTTACAACGTAGAGCTTCGTACATATGTTCAAGCTGCCACACCATATTAGCACAGAAATACAATCGTCAACTCAAATCCCATAGTAGTAGAGTTAGTAGTAGACGTATTAGCAGTAATCAAGAAGATTAATGATCGAATATATCATTTGAGATGTACACCCCATAAGAATCGATTAAAAAAGGAGAAAAAATGGTCATGAGGAATTCAGAGGATTAGGATTTGAGAAAGGACACAGAATGAATGCACCTGCACCATTGTAAACGGTTTTCAGCCATATCATTCAAGGTCTCTAACCATCGGTTACTATCACCTCTCAGGCCCCAACCAGGAAGTCTTCACTTAGCGACATGAATCATTTCACTTGTCAGTGACTTCATGGATTTGTGCCATGTTTTGGTTTGGCTGCCTCTCGGTTTCTTCCACCCTAAACCGACACCACCAAACATAGCTCGACGAGGCAGTCGGTGATTGGACATTCGTAGCACATGTCTCAACCACCTCAAGTGAAGAAGTTTTAATACTTGATCTTTTGATCTGCCATTCTTATCAAGTAATTGTTTCCTAACAACAGCATTGCTTACTAGGTTGTCCCAAGATAAACGAGCAATGCTTCTAAGACACCTATGATCGAAAATATGCAATCTACAAATATCTTCTACTCTATTCTACACCGATGGTTAGAGACCTTGAATGACATGGCTGAGAATCGTTTGCAATGGCGCAGGTGCATCCACTCTTTGTGTTCTCTCTAATTCTAACCTTCTGAATTGCTCATAATCTTTATCTTTCTCTTTCTAAATTTATCTCACTGAATCATACTTTTCGAATTATATCTTCGCTCCCTAATCTTCTACACTGCTGCTAATACTTCTACTATCACTATCACTCTTGGATTTGAACTGAAACTTGCGTCTCTATGCTGATGTGGTATGGCATCCTGAACTAATGTACGTATGTACGAAGTTCTGCATTGTATCTGTCTGTCTATCTATCTATCTTCTTCTACTCTGACTGGCCATGTTTCGCATACTACTTTTTTTTCCTTTGACATATTACAAATCGAAATTATTTTTTATTCCAGCCAACTGCTCAACTCAACACTGAATTAATCATTAATGATAATAATAATAATAATAATAATAATAACAATCAGTTGGAAAATCTTGAACAAATAAACATTCCATTGGCTAATGATTTTGTCACAGAAACTGAGATCACACAAATTATGCCTCAATTAGAAGAAGAAAAAGAAGAAGAAAAGTTAGTGATTGCTTTTTATTATTTATTCACAATTGAGATGTATTTGTAATTAAAAACATTTTGTAAAGAAACATATCGACTGTTAATACAGTAAGTCGAATATATATATATATATATGCATTACGGGGTTGTGAAGATTGTTAAGTTACACTTTTTTGAATCCATGAATCGATCACTGTTAGACCACTCCATTAGAGAAACCTGGACGGCCGTTTCGTCCTGGTATGGAACTACTCATCAGTGGCAGTGCGCATCAACGACTCCTGCACCCCGCAGGATTCGAATCCAGGACCTTCGGTATTGTGCGCGAACGCTCTAACCGTTAGACCACTGAGGCATCTTCTCCAAGCTCTAGTGGGAAGACGTGACCAGTGAAGAAGTTCAACCTGTTCGGGTGTAGGCAGTGTCTACCGAAGACTGTGTATGAGGTTGCGCAACTCCGTGAATTTGATCAAGTTAGACATTAACACCGTTAGATACCGGCTCAGCGGTCTAATGGTTAGCGTGTTCGCGCACAATACCGAAGGTCCTGGGTTCGAATCCTTTGGGGTGCAGAAGTCGTGGATGCGCACTGCTGAGGAGTCCCATACCAGGACGAAACGGACGTCCAGTGCTTCCAGGTTTCTAATGGTGGTCTAACAATGATTGATTGATGATTTCAAATGTGTAAAAACGCAAACCTCCAAAACTGTGCCCCAAAATATACACATATGTCGATTGATCAGTTGTTACTCGATAATTTTACTCAAACGTCTAACGAAATGACTATGGAATCCCATATAGTAGTATTTATAATATAAAGGTATTCCATCTGAATGATTCTTTTTATTTGTTTGAAGCTTACTATCGCTATCACTCATGGATTTGAACTGACAATTACATCTCTGTGCTGATGTGGTAGGGCGACATGAACTGATGTACTTACGTACGAAGTTCTACGTTGCAACTGACTGACTATCACTTTACAATACTACCAATTGTCAATGCATCGTAATTATATTTTATAATTATTCCATTGATTTCGTTGAATGATATACTTTAATTATTTCATGAAGATTCATATCTATGATCTTGATACTTTGTTTTATGACTAGAACTATTGATGGTACTCTTGAACAAAACATACGCCCAATTTCAATATCTCAATTAAGTCCATTACATCCTGTTGAATCTGGCGAGAGTACTCGCCATCGTCGAATAAAAAAACACACGAGCAAGCTTATTATTGATGAAATTACTCGACTAACCGGTTCAGAATTACGTTGGAACATGTCACATGGTGAGGAGACTATGGTTACACGAGATACTTATTTGGCTGAATCAGCACCGCGTAGTCAAACACAACATCTGTTGTCACGAAGTGTTCCACGATTATTCTCTGTACCAAGTAATTTGGAAACTGCTCTTAGTTTAAGACTTTGTGAAGTAAGTCTGTTACTTGTTTATATCTTTAATCTGTAAAAGTAACAGGAAAAAGTTTATTATTTACGAAATTGAAATAATAAACAACGAATGTTCAGTGTTTAGAACTGGTTGCTTGGGTACTGACAATGATTTCGTGATGGTGTTATTTTCTGTTAGACTAAATTATTAACCTATCAATGTTAGGTCACAACTGAAAACTTGAAAGTACTAGATGGCTGTTTCGTTCTAGTATGGGACTCCTCAGCAGTGCGCATCTACAACCTTCCACAATATCTTGAATTGATTGGAGGTAGATATTAACGTCGTTGGATGCTGACTCTATGGCGGTCTAGAAGTTAAGCATTCATGCTTTAGACCAAACGCCCCCCCCTGGTTCACTTCGTTCGTACATGAGTCGTGGATGTGCACTGTTAAAAAGTCTCATCCTGGGATAAAACGTTCATCCAGTGCTTCTATGCCTTCAATCGTGATCTAACATTGATCAGTTCATGATATCAATGAAACTCCCCGACCGTAGCTGCTACCTTGACGTAGTGGTCGGGCTTGCCTATCGTGATGGCCCAACCGAGCTATACTGGCTGGAACATATGTTCCTGCAGGTCCTACCATGCCAGGCTGGTCGATTGGAGAACGATGAGACTAAAAGCAGCTAATCAAGGTTTGAGGGCGAAGTTGTACTGCTGACTGTGATGGAGGGGTGTGACAGCAGTAAGGTGTTTCCCTCGGACAACCAGCATATGCAGCGATGCTGCCTTCTCACAAAGAAGGAAGGGTTAGAAATGGTCGACTCTAAAAATGTCACACCTCACCTTACCTCACGGATTTCCGTCTCCTTGGGTAAGGGTGCCCACTAAGGGCTTTAAAATGAGTGGAGCTAACACTCAAAATATCTTTCATAAAAAGGCCGTGCGTGACCGGCCTCAAGCAGTTGTCCCTTGGACTCTGCGGTCACGCTCCGAAGTCTCTAAGATCAACACTAATCTATCTTCCTTTTCAGGTTCCTCAAGAAACAACCTTCCACGTGTGTCCAACCGGGAAGTGACAACCGCCCTCCTACCCGTAACAGCACGCGAGACCAAATTGATCAAAATCAATAATCAATGAAACTCACTAAATTTTCACAACCTGGATACTGTTAAGTTATTTACTTTTACATCATAGCTTTCAATCACAGATTTAATTACTGTTAGAACAGTCAACTTCATTCTATAAATTATCTAAACATTTGATATTCAATCCATCACAGTATGGATTGATATGTGCACAACGTATAAACAATCAAACTATTACACCTTCTTTTAGCTATTGATATGAAAGTCAGTAGTGAAACAATAGTTATCCAAAGCCTCAAGATCTTAGTTTTCAGTCGGTTGTTATTATTTATTTAAAACTTTAGTTAATATACTACTAACAATTGCATTTTAGAAATGTTAACAAATGCATTATGATGTCGTGGAGTTGAGTTGAGTTACTTATTAAAATTATAAATCGACCAATCTTAGACTACCATTAGAAACCTCTCGTGCTGTTACGGGTATGAGGGCGGTTATCACTTCCCGGCTGCTCACACCGTGGAAGGTTGTTGTTACTTGAGGAACCTGAAAAGGAACATAGATTAGTGTTGATCTTAGAGACTTCGGAGCGTGACCGCAGAGTCCAAGGGACAACTGCTTGAGGCCGGTCACGCACGGCCTTTTTATGAAAGGTATTTTGAGTATTAGCTCCGCTCTTGAAAGCCCTTAGTGGGCACCCTTACCCAAGGAGACGGAAATCCGTGATGTAGGGTGAGGTGTGACATTTTTAGGGTCGACCTTTTCTAACCCTTCCTTCCTTGTGAGAAGGCAGCATCGCTGGAGATGCTGGTTGTCCGAGGGAAACAGCTTACTGCTGTCACACCCCTCCATCACAGTCAGCAGTACGACTTCGCCCTCAGACCTTGTGTAGCTGCTTTTAGTCTGATCGTTCTCCAATCGACCCGCCTGGCATGGTAGAACCTTCAGGAACATGAGTTCCAGCCAGTATAGCTCGGTTTGGTCATGACGATGGTCAAGTCTGACCACCATGTTAAGGTAGCAGCTTCGGTCGGGCCATTCGATGCCTGGAAGCACTGGGTGGCCGTTTTGACCTGCTATTGCAATCATCAGCATTGCATATCAACGACTCCTGCCTCTCGCATGATTCGAACCCAGCACCTTCGGTCTTGCACGTGAACGCCAAGGGCAGAAGTCATGGATGCGCACTACCGATGAGTAGTCCCATATGCGGACGAAACGGCCGTTTTTCAGTGCTTCCAGGTTTCTAATGGTGGTCTGACAATGATCAATTCATGATTTCAGTATGAAAATAATCCTCCTTGTGTGAAGTTATGGGGCTAGACATTTGAATCTACCAGAGGAATGCTTTAGTACAGCTGAGAGTGGAGAAAGTACACTTTCTACCCTTGCATTGCTCTCCGATGGTCATACGTATATAGCCACTGCCCCAGGGAAGTCTTCATGACAGACATGTTGCTTACAAATGAAGAGGTGTGAAAAATTTCAAAAATCAAATTGTTTATTTTAGTATTACGAAATGAGCATCGGAATATGTATAAAGTTGGCTAAATTAATAGAGTTTATAACACTGTAAGCAACTTTCATATAGTTTAGTGATTTTTTTTGGAAATTGTTGTAGTAAATGTAACTTTCACAGTAGCAGCTAACCGAATATTTTCTTATCTTTACAAATCATATAAGACGATTGGACATGTGTTATGTATGTATGCCTAACCACCGACTCCCTCGATATGTGCTGTCTGATGTAGGGCAGGGGGTAGGCTGGTAAGAAGCTAAAGGGTGATCAAGTCAGAACTTGGAACAAATCTATGAAGTCAGTGACAGCAACTAGTGATAGGGAGTGAAATAGTCGAGCGAGTAGACTGCTTCACTTATCTGGGGAGTCTCATCAGTGCTGATGGCCTGGTGACTGACGAAATCTCAGCTCGGATACAGAACGCTCGATTAGCTTTTGCCAACCTGCGTCACTTATGGCGTAGGCGTGATATCCGTTCTCTAATCAAAGGACGAGTGTACAGTGCAGTAGTTCGCTCCGTCTTACTATATGGCTGTGAAACATGGCCAGTCAGAGTAGAAGATATTCGTAGATTACTGGTTTTCGATCATAGGTGTCTTCGAAGCATTGCTCGTATATCGTGGGACACCCGAGTGAGCAATGCTGTTATTAGGAATTGGGTGCTAGGTAAGAATGACAGATCAATAGATGAAGTAGTGAAACTTCACCAATTGAGGTGGTTGGGACATGTGTTGCGTATGCCTAACCACCGACTCCCTCGTCGAGCTTTGTCTTGTAGTGTAGGAGTAGTTTGGAAGAAAGTTAGGGGCAGCGAAACCAAAACATGGCAGAAATCCATGAAGTCATTGACAAGTGGACTTAGCCATGTCGGTAATTGTCGACTACCTGGTTGGGGTCCGCGAGATGATAATAATCGATGGTTAGAAACCTTGAATGACGTGGCTCAAAATCGTTTGCAATGGCTCAGGTGCATTTATTCTTTGAGTTCTCTCAAATCCTAATCTTCTGGATTATTCAACCCCTCTAGTTTTGACTTTCTAAACTTTTCTCACTGAATCATACTTCTTGAATAATATCTTCTAATCCTAATCTCTCCGATTACTTCTAATACCCTTACTACCTCTTCTACTATTGGATTTGAATTGATAATTACATCTCTGTGCTAATAATGTGGTATGGCAACATGAACTGATGTACTTACGTACGTGCGAAGTTCTACGTTGCATCTGACTGAGTGACAGCATGGCTGAGCTATGTTAATAGGTGTAGACTACTACGAGGTTGAGGTCCGCGAGATTAATATAAGAAGGAGATGTTTGACAATTTATAATGAATCATACCAATAATTCGTTTTTTTACGTTATTTAAGCCTTATTTATTTATGAACTAATGTAAACTACTTATTTTTCTTAGCTTTGGTGTTATCATCGTCGTTTATGTGAAAAAGCTTTACAAAAAAGAAAGTGGGATGAGTTATCAGTCGATCTTGATGAGGATCCAGTCCAAACGAAACGTCATCAAACGAAATCATTATCAACAACTAAAATGAATACTATTACAGAAGTAAATGAATCATCAATAGAAATGCAAAGAATCGGTGCAGATCATTCATCAGTTGCAGTTGGATCAGAATCTCTTTTTGGAACTAGTAATATCATTGATGTAACTGGTAATACTAATAATCAGGTGAGTTAACAACTATGGTTTGTATGATGTAAACTCATTTAGTTTACCTGTTTATATACCCCGTCCCTACCATCTACTGCTTACTTACTTACGCCTGTTTCCCCCAATGGAGCATAAGCCACCGACCAGCATTCCCCAGCCTTCCTTCCGAGTTCTGTCCAGTTGTTGTTCCTACTTCTCTTGTCTGTGTCCATTTCTCGGTGTATTGTGTTCCTTGGCCTTCCACTTTTCTTTTAGCCTTGATAATTCCAGGTGTGGGCTTATCCTGTAACGCAGATGCGTGCTTTCCTCAGTATGTGTCCTATCTACACTACCAGCGCTTGTTCCTGATGTTTTCCTCCGGTGGGTTCTGATTTGTTCTGATGATGGTATCTGGCCAGCGGATCATAAGTATTTTGCATAGACAGCTGTTAGCAAACACTTGTATCATGTGGGTGATGGCTTTCATAGTTCTCCAAGTTTCCGCCCTATACAGTAGAAAACTGTCTTGACATTTGTACTGAAAATTGTGACTTTGGTGTTGGTTGACAGTTGTTTTGAGTTCCAGATCTTGTTCGATTGTAGAAACGCAGACCTTGCTTTGTCAATCTGTGTCTTTACATCTGTATCATATCCACCTTGCTCATCGATTATGCTGCCAAGATATGTAATGGTTTTCACATTGTCCAAAGCTTTTCCGTTAAGTGTGATTCGGTTGATGCATTTTGTGTTGTCTCAGAGAATCTTGCTTTCCCATTTGTGTATGTTCAGACCTGCTTCTGCTACATCAGTCGTCTTTCATTTGCTGTTGCGTGTGCGATAGAGCCAGATCATCTGTGAAGTCCAGATCGTCCAGCTCCTCCTTGTGTATCCCCTACTTCTTTCCTGATGTTGACGTTTTCATAATCCAGTTAGTGACCAGGAGAATGCGAATGGTCGAGAGGAAGCAACCTTACCTGACTCCGGTCTTGACCTCAAATGAGTATGTGAGCTGTCCCCCATGCACGGTTTCCCAGTTTAATTCATCATACGAATTCCGTATCATGTTGATTAATCTCGGAGGCACTCCGTAATGTCGAAGAAGCCTCTGTAATGCTGTACTGTCTACACTATCAAAAGCTTTGTTGTAGTCAATCAAGTTGATGTAGAGTGGTGAATTACATTCAGTTGATAGTTCCACAATGGTCCGTAGTGTTGCATTTTGGTCGGTACATGATCGATCCTTACGAAATTCAGCCTGTTGATCTCAAGGTTGGGCGTCTACAGAGTCCTTCATTCTGTTTAGCGACACCCTGTTGAAGACTTTGCCTGGTATTGAGAGAAGAGTGATGCCTGTGGAGTTCACACACTTGCTGAGATCGGCTTTCTTTGGTATCCTGATGAGGTGTCCTTCTTTCTAGCCTATTGGTTCTTGTCCTCTCAAATATTGCTGGAAAGGATGTGGAGTGTCATCGCAGTTACTGTTTTGTCTGATTTCATTACCTCTGCTGGAATGTGTGATCCTGCTGCTTTACCGCTCTTCATTTGTCTGATGGCCATACTAATCTCTTCAGTTGTTGGTGGGCCAATATTGATTAGGAGGTCCGTGGATACAGCTTTAATGTTGGGTGGGTTCAGTGAAGCTGGTCGATTCAAGAGTTCCTCCACCCACCTGTTTCGTTGTTCTTCAATGTTAGTGGTTGCTTTCTCTTCCTTGATTTTCATCGGTCGTTCTGGTTTACGATAGTTGACGACTGATTGCAGTCTCCCTTAGAATTAATCTTTAACGTCTTCCTTGTAGTTGTTGGTAGGTGTAGAGCATTGGATGGCGTTCATTGTAATGCCCTCTTTCTTTGTTTTGAAGGAGGCTTTGATGATCTTTGGTCGATGAGATTCCCATCCTATCATAGTATCTTTTGTGCTTGTTTGGATAGCATCAGTGCAAATCCTTGTGTATATGAACCATTTTATTCTTCATGGCCGGAGTATACAAGTAGTTCTTCTGAAGTTAGTCGTACTTGTCCAACCTGCGTCCTATGTGTTTCACTGATTCTCAAGTACATCCAGGTTGTATCTTTTCATTTCTGCAGCAATTTGGATGACTTTCCTCGTTTCCCAATTGTACAAACATCCTATGTACCTAAATTAGTTGTCAGAAGTAGCTTCAGCTTCGTGACTTCCGAAAGAATTCGGCCTTTATCAGACGTCATAATTCTTCAAAATTGAGACCCAGCTCCCAGAGCAGAGTGAAAATAGTTTAAATTATTTTTTCTTGTTAGCTTTTTTTTAGCAAGTTAGTTTTCTACGGAATGGGGTCAGTTAGTCAGTCAGTTGCAACGTAGAACTTCGTACGTAAGTACATCAGTTCAGGTTGTCATACCACATTAGCACAGGGACACAACTGTCAGTTCAAATCACATAGTGGTAGCGATAGTAGAAGTATTAGCAGTAATCAGAGAGATTAGGGTTCGAAGATATCATTCAAGAAGTATAATTCAGTGAGATAAACTCAGAAAAAGAAAGATAGAGATGACGAGGAATTCAGAAGATTAGAATTTGCGTGAACATAATGAATGGATGCACTTGCGCCATTGCAAACGATTTTGATTCATGTCGTTCAAGGTCTCTAACCGTTGATGACTTTCATTTCACGGACCCCAAGCAGGTAGCCTACATCTAAGCAACATGACTCAGTCCACGGAATGGGCTTGTTAACCTCATGCACACAACCCGTCCACCTTTATACTTGTTTGAGACCGTCAGTCACCCCAGAGGAACGCCAGGTGGGGTTACCACTTACAACTGATGATGCATATCAATAGTTTTACATTCGTCGAAGAAAATATTTTGCCGGTAAAATTACAATCCCCTACAGAGAGTCGTATGATAGAATTAGTTGAACAATCGTTGTTAGCAACCTATTTATACTCCATGATGGGATAAACAAGTGTGTGTTTCAGTAAACACACTACGAAAAGTACCTAACTGCGTCACAAGACAAGCTTTCACATGGAACCCTCATAGCAAAAAGAAAAGAGGAAGGCCAAGGAACACATTACACTGACAAATAGCGAAAGATATGAAAAGAATGAACAAACATTGGACAGGACGGGATAGGGAAACCCAGGACAGAGTTGGTTGGAGGAAACTGTTGGGCGGCCTATGCTCCATTTGGGGGGTGATAACAGGCGTAAGTAAGTAAGTGTTTAAGTAAGCAAGTAAGAACATAAACGCCTTTATAAGTTCATCTCATCTCATAATGACTACTAATCTTATGGATGATTTGATTTGAATGAATTCAGTTTATAAACTCAAGTTTGATTTAGACTAGTTAATTTCTGTAGACAGTAATAACAGTATTAATAATCTGAGATTATCTTAGTGATTACATCAGTTTCATTCTTATTGTTGTGATACACTGAATTTTTTTTCTCACCTTTGTTCTAAATTGAAGACATCATATTATTCACATCACACACAGTTAATTATTATTAATATTCGTAATCATCCTAACAGTATCAAGATCTCATTGAATTTGTTATGAACGTTTTTTTCTGTATCAAGATGTTATATGTGTGTGTTGTTATGACTATATTGAGCGCTTACATAACTTGGACCTAACTTTCGGACAAACTAACTAACTAATCTTTTCTGCCCAAGTTACTATTATATTCATACATCTACCGCCGACCTAGTCATGTATGTATAGCATCTTTGTCAATTTTACTTTCATGTGTGTGTGTTGCTCTAGTAATCGCGGCCGTACTCGTCGGTCCCTCACCTCAGGTTGACCGCCAATTTTACGTGCATGATATCCGCACTAACGCTATCTACCTCGCTGAGACAGGTGCCCAGGTTTCTGTCGTACCACTAGGTAGCAGCAAGTCTTAACATATGATGCTTCAACTACGCGCTGCGAATAGCTCTGTCATTCCTACCTATTGTACTTGACAGCTGTGGGTCAACCTGAGCAACCGACGACAGTTTCTGTGGACGTTCATCATTGCTGATATTCCCACAGCCATACTCAGTATCGATTTCCTACAGTACTATGAATCGCTAGTCGATTCCCGTAGGCTGCATCTAATCGATACTTCATCGAACAGTAAATTAATAGGCTTTTGAGCCCAAACAGGTGTGTTCAAAATTACAGTTGTATTTCATTCACGTGATGACATTTTCCACGCTTTACTCGAAAAATTTCCCCTGCTAACCAAACCATTTCATATCGTTTGGAAAGAGGATGGGATAAGTTGGCGACCATGTGTCGACTACCGAACATTAAATGTAGTAACAAGTTTCAATAGCTATCTTATCCCCCACATACACGTCATCATAGCATCTGTTAAGGACACGACTAACGATTCTAAGATCGATCTGATACGAGCATACCACCAGATCCCAGTCGCTCCTGAAGATATCGAGAAGGCTGCTATCACGACTCCTTTCGTCTATTTGAGCTCCTACAAATGCAATTTGGATGACGGAATGCTACTTAAAATTTCCAAAATTTTGTCGAAAGTATAGCACGAGACTTTGATTTTGTTCACGTCTATATTGATGATCTGCTAATCGCATCATCAGATGTAGATGAACATTATCAATATCTTACGCATTTATTCGAATAATGGAATAGTAGTTATCCCAGACAAATGCGAACTAGGCAAGGCAGAAATAAGGTTCCTGGGTCACATCATTAAGCAGGAGGGTATTCTACCTTGTGAAGACAAAGTACGTACACTGTACCGTCCTCATTCAAGGAAGTGAAGGCTTTTCTCGGTTCGGTCAACTTCGGCCGACGTATCATTCCTCACGCGGCAGAGTATTTACGACCACTAACCGATTTGCTTCTCGGTAATCCACACACACGAGAGTTGTACAATGCCGCGCGTACTGCATTTTATGAGACTAAAAAGGCTTTGGCTCAAGCCACGCTTATCTTAGCGGTTGATGCTCTAGATTTCGCAATAGAAGCCGTTAAGCATCAAAACAACTCTGAGAGTTGGCAACCTCTTGAAGTTTTCTCACGACGCCTTGCTCCC